GCGAAGGAGGGCTCCCTGCAGTGACAGCAACCAAGACGAGATTAGGGAGTCGACTGGACACAGCGACACGTTCCGGGTGTCACCGCCTCTCCTCACCCCCACATGGGACCGTCTACTTGCAGGAAAACGAGCTCAGGGCTCCCACTGACTCTGCATTATGGCGAGTTGTAGAATTATTTCATTATCTATTACAATGTAATAATACTAGAAATAAAGCACACAACAAATCAATGCAGTGCACTTGAATCAACCCGAAAACCCCTCCCCCACCCCCACCTTGTTTGCAGATAAACTCTCTTCCACGAAACTGGCCCCTCGTGCCAAAAAAGGTTGGGAACCGGTGAATTCAACAAAAAAGGGTCCGTCCTGGTGGTGGAGGAGCTGGGAGCACAGGAGGCTCTGGAGGCCGCCACTTCAGGGGAGAAGCGAACCAGCGCTGCTTGGCTTCGTGAGAACTGAAGGGGACTTCTTCATAAAGGCTGACAGATTTTTTTTTCATCAAACACTAAATATTTTAAGCAAAACCTCCCTAGTGGGCTTAATTTCCAAGCTTCCGCAAGTACAAAATCCAGACAAGCAACTAACTCAAAATGTATCTTCTGGGCGACTCACTTTTTTTTTCTCTGTCTTGCTCTAGGTCTGGCAGTGAAGGAGCTGAAATGAACCAGATGTTAAAAAATTCCCAGTGTCTGGTCTTTGAAGAGGGGAAGGGACATGTTACTTGGCGACCGCTTCTGCTGGGGATGGGAGGGCCGTCCTGGCTCCAACCTGCTTGCATCCCTGATCGCGGGCTGTGGTCCCAGGGGACCAACACAGCCATCCTTGTTTCAGGCTGAGTTTGAAAATGAACTGATAGAAATAGGCAGAAGAGCCAGCCACGTGTGGACGTAAGGCAGTATGCGCTCAGGAGATTCAAGTCACCTCAGTCAGATGAGCTCCCCGATAATGAAGCTGTCAGAAGCGGGAAGGGATGGGCCTCGGACGTGGCTGCGAGCCAAGCGCCCCTTGGAGCGCGGCGCTGCTCTCCTGCCTGTCCGCCGCGCTGAAGCCGAAGCCGCATTTTATCCTCCGACACTGCGTGTTTCCTAAGTGCCGTTCGTGAGGAAGGAGTCCAGGGACCGGAGGCTGCGCAATGAGACCAGGGCAGGTGGGAGGGCGGCTCAGATGCTGGGCTCCGCGGGAGACTCTGGAGCGGAGAACAGAAGAGGGGGTGTCGGTCAGAGAAGTGGGTCTAGAGTCCCCAGGGAGGGGGCACGTCCTGAGACAGGAAAGGTGGCCTTGCACAGAGACAAGCTTTGAAATCAGCTGACATTTAAGGGGAGGGGCCGGGGTCCTGCCCGAGGTCAGACCCTGGGCCTCCAGGGCGTGGGCGTGGGCGGAGGCCGAGCTCACAGGACGGCGGGTGTGTGGATGCCGAGCTGCGCCAACGCGGCAGGTGGGCCCACGCCCAGCGCCAGTGGCAGTCAGGCCCCAGGCAGGCCTGGCTCCTTGGGATTTAAATCCTGGTTCTGCCCCTGTGTGACCCGCATGGTCTTGACAAATCCTCTCACCTCTGAGCACCGCGTGGACGTAGAATGTTCGTTGAGCCTGAAGTGTTCCAGGCCCACTACGCACTGCGTGGCCTCACTTTCCAGATTGTTAACGGCAAATAACCATGATACTTATTCCCATGGTTGGTTGTAAGAGTTAAATGAGGTAACATCAAAGGTTTAGAAGTGCTCTTGACGCTGGCAAATTTGGAGGTGGAGACGGGGGTCATGTCAGGATCGGCCACAAGGTGGAGACAGACTCCACCAGATGAGCAGCGGGCCGGCCGGGCTGGTGCCGGTTCACAGGCTGAAATGGACTCCCGAGGAGCCAAGCGCGCCTGAGACGAGTAGCCAAGAGCCCGCGACCGCTGATTTTTCTTTAAGAGTCAAACGAGCCTGATATACGGGCCGTGAGGGACGTGGGTTTGTTTCCTTCGGGGGAGGGGCCCACGGGTGCTCAGTGACTTGACAGCCACACATGGGGGGCACCCCCAGTGAGTTGGGGCTTCCCCTTTCCATGTTCAATTCCCGGGAGGGAGGGTGCACTGGTTGGGCTTCCTTTGCCCCAGCCCAGCTCCCAGGAGACATGCCCTCCGCCCCTAGAGAGGCACCCTTTCCTGCCATGGCGCTCAGCCCTGGACTTGTGCCTGGGAGTCACAATCTGCCGTGGTGGCAGAAGCAGGTTCCAGAGACCATGGCTAAGCTGGTCTGTGACAGGGGTCTAAGCCCTCCGGCGGCAGGGCCCCTCCCCACCCGCCGACTGCCTTGCTGAAATCAGCCTGTGAGCCCAGGCAAGGGCAAGCGTGTTCTAGCCACAGCAAGTAAGGCACGCGTGTGGTTTGGGAAGGGCAGGAATGCTGGTCTCTCTTCAACTCCCTGAGGAGTCCTGGGAGGTTCCTGTTCAGCCTCTTTGCCCGGTGCACCTGGCTGGCCCCAGGCCTCCGGCGGAGCAGCTAGAACGCTTCACTGTCCGGCCAGGCGCACGCCAGCCAAGCAGGCTCGGGGTTCCACTGCGCCGGGCAGCGGCAGCCGTGGCTCTGAGAGCCGGCCCCTGCAGGTGCCGCCAGCCCCCCAGCAGGTGCGTGGGCCTCCCCCGCCCCCGCCCACTCCGTCCCCGACCCGGGCCCAGCCCCGCAAAGGTGGCCCTGCTCCACATTCAGGGTCCATCCCGAGGGCGCGACTCCTACACTGACCAGGAGGTAGGCCCTTGCCTGGTCCCTTGTCCTGGCCCTCCTAGAGATCTGACATTCCCCAGGTGTGACTCTCGCCTTCCTAGAGGAATGCCAGGTCCTCGTAACCCACCGGTCCCTTGGGAGGCTTGGCAGGGACAGCAGCTGTCGCCCTCTGTGGCTGTTGACATGGAGGAAGGGGGGCGGTGGATGTGGCACCAGGCTGTGCCTGTCCCGGAGGTCCCTGGGACAGTGCGGGCCGCGGCGGCACGGTCACGCCTGTCATTGCCGCCACGGAGGGCCCCACGAAATTGCTCCAAGTCCGTTTTCCTCTGCAGCCAGCGACAGCAGCTCCACAGACCAGAACCCTTACCAGGACCTATGGGACCGGTGGGTCCTGACTTTTGCCTTCCTTACAGCCTCTTTCTTTCTTAAAAAATAAAGGTGTATCTTTTATTTTTTACAAAGGTATTTATTCTAAAGTAAGGTTTATAGGGGGTACAATTTACAGTGACAGTCACCCTTTTTGGTGCACAGATCTATGAATTTTGACAAACATTCACAGGTGTGTGACCACCACTGCCATCGAGAGAGTGTGTCTGTCACCCCCAGAAGCCCCCTTGCACGCGGGCCCCTGGCAGCCAGCCGCTGACCCACTCTCTGCAGCTTTCCCGTCTCCTGACCTTGGGGTTCGCACTTGCTGATCGCCCTTCAGCCCCCTGCCCACCGTGGTCCCTGATCTCGTGGTTACTGCTGCTCCGCTCAGAACCCCTCTGAGTCACCTCCTTTCCATCATCTTTCAGCTCTCGCCCCATGTCATTCTCCAGGGAACACCCCTGGGCACCCCCGCACCCCATACTCCGTCCCCTCTTTTACACACTAACAGGGACCCTGCGTGGGATCAGAGGCTAACCCCTCACCTGTTAGACTCTAGACCCCACGCAGACAGGAACCTGTGTGTTTTATTCTGTTCTGTGTCCCCAGGACAGAGGCGGTGCTCAGTCAAACTTTCTCGAATGAAGGGAAACCCCTGGGAGAGAACAGCTGTCTCTGGCCTGGGCCACCGCAGTGCACCGGCCTTGGGCGTGCGCAGCCGAGACGGCCCCAAGCTCTGGGAGCTGAGACTCGGACTGACAGGCAGGAGGAGAGGCCAGGACCCGGGCCAGGACCCCCTCTCCTGGCGCCAGGGTCTCTGATGGCATGGGGCTGCTGTGGGCTGTCCACGGGCGCTGGCGGGTGTTTACGGACTCCCACGTCCGCCTGGTCCTGGAGCCAGGAACCTGGGAGTCTCTGCAGGGTCTCCAGTGTCCCTGGTGTCTGCCCCTGTGGCTACCACCCCTTAAACTGGCTGCCAGGGCCCAAGCCCCATCCCCTCCCAACTCCTGAACTGCTCCACTCCCATCTTCCCAGCCCCAGAGGGCCCTTGACCCTGCCCTGGACCGTCTCAGCGTCCCCTCCTGCCTACCCCGTGTTCTCCGGTCACACACTTTACTCCTTCCAGCTGCAGACCGGCAGCGCACTCCTGCCTGGGGCCCCTGTGGGCGCTTGGAGGTCTCAAGGGAAGCGCCCTGGAAGCCTCGGTCGGGTCTGTGGCTGCCCCCAGCCGCATCCTGGGGCTGACCTGCCCTGCCTGTGCGCTCCGCAGTCCTTAGGCTAGGCTGTGGGCTATGGCCAGCCGCTCTGAGGGGCCATCACACCCTTGCGCAAGGGCTTCTCCGCCGGAACAGTGCCAGCACACGGCGGGCGCCCAGCAATCGCACGTTGCTGACCTCGCACGCGCCGTCCCCCGGCTCAGGACAGCTCAAGGGGCTTTTCCCGCGGGAGGCCCGCCCTGCCCCCCCCCTCCGCCTGCCGGGGAGAATCACGCTGCTCTCCGCCGTCTCCAGGGCTTCCCCCGGCGACCACCACTGAACTCTGCCCCTTCCCGCACCCGTCTTTCACTATCACCCTCTGAAAGCCCTAGGAGCGGGCAGCCTGGCCTCTCTCGCGCCAGCACTGCTGGCTGCACTCAGTGACACTTTATATCCTTAATTAGATAATAAGTAATTGATGAGAAGCCCAGGGACTTAGAGATTGCTTTTTAAGAAACAGATTTGGGAACTTTCTGGGGCTGTTTTCACTTCTTCCACCTTTCTGACCCGTAGAGCCAGGACAGATCCCAAACCACAGAAGGGATCTTGGGCGCGACGCCCTGCACTCCGCGGGCGCCCAGGGGGCGGGGTCAAGACGGGAGCGGGCGGGGATCTGGGCGGGGCGAAGTCTGGGGCGGGGTCAGGGCAGGGCGGGGCGGGGCCTGGGCCGCGCGCTTCCTGGGCCGGTGGCCGCGGGGCCGCAGCACCGAGCAGCCTCTCGCGGCCGAGCCATGCCGGCCGCACGCGTGGAGTACATCGCGCCCTGGTGGGTGGTGTGGCTGCACAGCGTCCCGCACCTCGACCTGCGCCTGCACCGGGTGGACAGCACCTTCAGCCCCCGCGATGAGCACTACCAGGAGGTGAGTCCGCGCCGGCCGCCCCAGGCCCGGGCCACCCCTTCCTCCTCCCCAGCCCCCCGCTCTGCACCAGCCTCTCAGACCTCCCCCCGCCATCACAGCCCCTTCTCTTCACCCCTCTGCCCCTTCCCCCCAGGACCCTCGGCCCTGGGCCCTCCCGCCTGGGAAGCTCGTGGGTCCGGAAACCTGGAAGGATGGGAGTTGAGCCGCTGGTGGGCAGGGGCGCGAAGACAGCCTGCCGGGGGTGGGGCTGACCCTCCAAGGGAGGGACTTTGTGTCTGTACCCGGGTGCTTCCTGCACCGGCCCAGGGGCTCCCGGCGTTTTCCTTCTACGGTTTCAAGACTCACGCTCCCTTTCTGGGGCTGGGTGCGGAGAAGTTTGGTCAGAAACTAACGGGAATCTCCCAAGTTCGGCCCCACGGCACCTCCCCCGAAGCCCCCGCCTGCTGCAGGAGTCGTGCCAGCCCCTCTTCCTGGGCCACTCCTGGAAGTCCGCAGGGCAGGGGGAGGTGGCCGAGAGGTGCCTTCCCTCTGGTCCCCTGAGAACCCACAGCCACGTGTGGATGTTTTGGGGGAAGGCGGCCTGTGTCAGCCCCATCTCACCAGCAGCACCCTCCTGTCCTGTCCACACACACACACACACACACACACACACACACGCTCCCCAAACACACCTAGACCCTGAATGGTTGACGTCTTGGCTTCTTGGCCAGCCACTGCCCTCCTTGCTCCTTGCACCACTGCCCTTTCGTCTTTGGTCTTTGCACCCCGCGGCTGGGGGTGGGGTGGGGTGGGGTGCTCTCCCAGGCGTCACGTCCCAGGCAGAGCTGCAGAAAGGTCCAGCCTCCTCAGGTCCGGCCTGTCCTCACAGAGCCAGTTCTCTGCCTGTCAAAGACGGGCTGGGCAGCCAGGGCCGGGGCGCTGGTTTAGAGCCGTGGGCCCTTTTTGGGACTTTGACCCTCCCGCGGCCTCTGCCTGCAGTGTCGGGTTCTCAGGCGCCGTTTCCTTGTGTGGGGCCGTCTGCTTGGGCCAGCGGCGACTGAGCCTGGAGTCAGCTGTTGGCCTCTTCCTGCCAGGCCTTCCCCTGCAGGTCTGGGGAAGGTCCAGGAGCGTGGGCAGTGGGAGCTGCCTGGGAGTCTAACAGTAACCCCTGGTGCCCCCAAGCCCCAGGCGGTTGGTGCCGGCCCTTCCAGAAGGAGGGAGAATCAGGACCTTCCCTGCCTCCACCTGGCAGGTCCAAGGGCTTGCCTGGCCCGCTGCCTCCGGATCCGTGCTTGCCCCTCCCTCTCCCAGAGCCCCATGTGGCCTGGGCAGGTCCCTGTGCCCAGGGAGGCTCTGGGGAATCTTCCCTCCCTCTCCCTACAAAGGCGAGAAGAGAGGCAATAAGATTTCAGGGACAGCTGTGTTGTTGCGTGTGTGTGCGCGCGCGCACGCACGCGTGTCCTAAACCCTGTGTCCCAGGTCCCCGGATCCTGCACCCAGGGTCTCCCATCGTAGTTTTCTCCTCTCCACTGGAGGAAATCCAAACCGCTCACTGGATCAGCCAGCTCACCCCTGAGGCCCCCAGGGACAGCACCTGTCTGGCCGGCAGCGGTGGCCAGCATGGCCTGGGCCTGCTCCATCCCCCTCCGTCCCACAGAGAGGGGGCATCTGAGCTAGAAGGACCCATTCACAGCCCTGCCCCTGTCCTCCCAGGATTTGGAGCCCAGTGCACTGCTGGGTATCAGATGACCAAAAGGCATCCCCTTCCCATGGGCCACTGCTCCTGGGCAGCCGGGCACCCAGCCCCACCCCCCGCGCTCCTTGCCCCACGGCTCCTTGGGCCTCCTGAGGGCGCGGAGTGCGAGGCGAGATCGATGGGCTAGGCCGGGATGGGCAGTCTGGCTCTCGTTGTTATTTAAGACACCTCCTATTTTGATAAGTCCCCCTGCTGTCTGACTGGACGTCCCCTTTCCCCTGAGCGGCAGTCATAGCCAGAGTCCAGCAGCAGGCCAGTTACCGCCGTGGATCTGACCGAGGCAGCCAGGGCCTGGGGCTGGGACTCAGCCACCTGACTGTCTGGGTCGGAATCCCAGTTTTATCACTTACTGTGTGACCGTGGCAGGTGCCTGCACCTCTCTGAACCTGCCTTCCCTCACCTACGAGTATTAAACGAGATGTCCCATGTAACGTGCTTAGTACATAGCACACAGTAGGACCCATAGTAGTGGGACCCAGTGATATGAATCATCATCCGGACTGGCGTCAAGGTTCAGCAACCTGCTCAAGTACATACCCCATAGGGGATACAGAGGCAAGAAATCTGCAGACACTGACCAGGGAAGACTGCAAAAACACTTGCAAAAATGGACAGCGCCAGCTTGCGGCGTGGTGTGTGTGTGCACGCACATGTGCGCACCAGAGACTAAGTGGCAATGGAAACGGCGGCGCGGGCCTGGAGCAGCGCTCAGGGAAGGAGATGAGCTGGGCGGGGATCTGGAAGGCAAAGGGGGGTCATAAAAGAGGCCAGGTGACTAAAGAGCAAGTCGCCTGGTAAATGGACTGTCCCGAGCAAACCCAGCTCCCAAGCTCCTCTGAGGAAGCAGGGGCTCCCGCCCACTTTCTGGGGTCTTGGGAGCAGTGGAAGCCCCCTGGTAGTGTGTCCTTCCACCCCTCCGCCCCAGTGGGCTTGCCCCACGTCCTTGCTCAGGCCCTGGGGAGGTTGCACTGGAGCCAGCAGAGCCAGGTGAGCCGAGCAGGGGGGCGGGGGGAGCCCTGGCCCCACGGGCACCCCCTCCTTCAGGCTGCCCCCTCAGCTGTGTGCCCCGAGGGGAAGCAGCCCTGAACTCCTAGCCTGAGCCTCCTCCCCTTTGACTGGCTAGAAGGAGTGGAGGTGGGGATGACGGGGAACCTGGTAGGTTAGTGGCTGTAAAGCATGTGGCCAGGGCCTGGGGCACCACAAATTGCTACATCCCCTGCTTGGGAAGGAGGAGGCCCCAGCTGTCCAGGTATCTGCTGGGCAGAGGCGGGGACAGCAGAAAGGGCCCCGGCACTGCCTCCAGCTGTGTCTCACAACACAAGCCACTTCGCTTTCCTCCTTCAGTTGCCCACCTTCCCCTGCCCCCTCATGGGGAGGCCAGACACTAGTGAGCTAATGTACTTGAAATGTGCTAATGTCTTAGGGCTCCAAGATGCCGTGCAAGCGTGCACCGTGGCTGCTGTCAACACGCAGGGGCCGCGTGTGAGCTTCCTGCCCGCCCTGCTGCGTCACTGGACTAGCCATTCTTTTGGGACACGCATGAAGGAGCAGTGGTGTTTTTAACTTTTTATATTTAGGCGTGCATTTTCATGTCTTGACTTCAGGTGATTCTGTTTATAGACTCCCTCAGAGAGTGCCAAGTGTGTGTCCCCAAGCCATGGGAGGGGACAGAGTGGGGCCTAGACCCAGAACTACTGGCCCCCCACTCCCCCCTCCCTGCTTTGAGGGCAGACCTCAGAGGAGAGGCCAGGCAGGGAGCCCCCAGAAGGATCTGGGAGGAGCCACGGTCTGCGGGTCTGTGGGTCTGTCGGGATGAGGAAGCCCCATTCATCCAGTCCAAACATTGAGTCATGGTCATCAGCTGGATGATCACGCTGCATCCTCCCCCACCCCCAGCCCTGGGGGAACAGGCTGGTGCTTAACCCTTCCCAATCTAGCCTCCAGCTCCCCTCCCCCCAGCCTGACCCCTAGGCGGGCTCACTCTGCGTCCTGCGTCGGGGAAAGGGGCTCAGGTGGCTGCCCTTCCCCCACTGAGTGCAGAAGCCCCTTGGCACCCAGGTCTAGCCCTCAGAATGCCATTGGTCACTGCTGCCCCAGCTTGGGTCCTGGGTTCCTGCCCTGGGTTTCTCATTACGAAGTGACAAACCAGAGCTAACCAAAGGCCCCCTGACGAGGAGAGAGGCTGGAGACTGAGCCCTACTGCACGAGGTGCTGGGCAACGTGGTCAGTCGTCCTTGCCAGGCACTGTCAGGGCAGGACAGTGTGTGAGCGGGGCTCCCGGCTCCCTCTGGACGAGGGCTGCTCCCTCCTCCCCTTGTGCCTTGCACATGGGGACTTGCAGTGCTAATTAGCATCAGGAACATAATTGCCTATTAGAAGGCCACAGGGGACACCAGAGGTGGCTGCGGGAGATGGCTCTGTGGTTAACTCTCCCCACGCCCTCCCCCGCCTTCCTCCTCTCCCCTCCGCTCCGCACCTCCTTCTCTCCCAGCCCCCTCTGCCCTGCCCCACCCTTGCCCTCCCCGTACCTGGGAGAGTTCCCGAGGTAAACTTAACCACATCCTCGGAGTGTGGGCGTCCGGGCAGGACTGCATTATCTGTGACCCGAGCGAAGCCCACTGCCCCGCCCGGAGAGGCCCTGTCCGCCGCCCACCGCTCCGGGCTCCCAGGAGGTCCGGCGGCCCAAGTACACTGTGAAAATAGGAAACGAGGGAGCCAACGCAGGGACCGAGGGCGCGGGCATGGCCTGTGCTTGGAGAGACTGAAGTGGCACAGCCCCCATGTTGCAGTTCTTGGAGGCTCTCCCTTGTGGGGTGGGACACACGGTAGAGTCGGTGGGTCTTCCTGTTTGGGATGGATTGGGAGGCAAGCTGGAAGTCAAGGGTAGCTGGGAGGAAGCCTGCGTGTTAACCGGTCTCTGATCTGTACAGAAGTTTTGTCTGGCTTCACGTTACTTTTTTTTCCCCTTAGGAATAACTTACAGGAAAGTGAACAGCAGGGGCGGGGGGGGGGTGTGGGGGGGGGGACCCCATGCCAATCTAAGTCTGTTTCTGATCCCCAAGAGGCTCACTCCCTCATGCTCCTCCCCAGTAGTCAGGCCCACCCAAAGGTAGCTACTGTTCAGGCCTCTATTGCTGCAGATGCGTTTCTCTGACTTCACGGTTTACAGAAATTAAAGTGCACTGTCTCTGCTGTTTTGTCTGGTTTGTTTCCTTTCACGTGGCGTCTGAGATTCATCCATATGGTCGTGTGTGGCTGCCGTTTACTGCTCATGGCTGCGTCGTATTCCACGTCAGGACTGTAGCACATGCTCTGTGTCTCTCCTCTCGTTGAGGGCATTCTGGGTGTTCCCCGTGTTTGATGCGACCTTTGTTAAACTTCTGTGGATATTCGTGTCTGTTTCTTGTAGGGGACACGAGCCCCCCTTTCCGTAAGGCAAACATTCAGGAGCGGGGTTATTGGGTAGGCTCTAGGGGATGCACATGGTGCAGTGGTTTGCAAAGTGTTGAGGGGATCCCTGGGTTTTAGCGGCGGGGCCCAAGAGGCCAGCGAAGGGGTGGCCAGGATGAAGCCAGGCACTTCCGCCTGCTCCTCAGTTAGGCGGGCAGCATACCCGTCTCTGCTAAGCCAGCCTGTCTGAAGGAAAGATTAAGCCACGTTCCCCGTCCCTCACCTCCTGCCCAGCTGACCGCAGCTTGTTCGTTGTTCGCTGGTCCTCCCCCAGCCCAGCCCGATTGCCTGGCGCTCTATTCAGAGCAGGAGCTGCAGTCAGGAGGAAGGACGGCAAACACCCACCTTGTCCCAGTTCCTACACCCACTGCCCTGTGGGAGCTCCAGGCCTGAGGACAGGACCCTTCCCAACCCTGCCCCCTCCTACCACCCCGAAGGGACCTGTGCTGACCCCAGGCATCTGCCTCTGCAGTCGCTGCTGTTCCTGGGGCTGGTGGCCGCCGTCTGCCTGGGCCTGAACCTCATCTTACTCACGGCCTATCTGATCTGCGTGTGCTGCTGCAGACAGGACGGCGCAGAGCAAACCAAGCAGCGCAAGTCTTGCTGTGTCACCTGGTCAGCCGTGCTGGCCGGGCTCGTCTGCTGGTGAGTGTCCCCCTGCGCTGGGCCTGACGCATATTGGCTCGTGGTTCTCAGTGTGCAGGAGAGCGAGGCGGGCCCAGTGGGAGGAAAGTGGACCTGGCCACCTGCATCCTGCTGATGGCTCGCCCACGACCGTGAACCTACAATACCTGTGACCGTGGCTCCACCACCAGCGCTCCCCACGAACCCCAAGTGGTTGGTTCGTCAGCTCTCTGGCCATGTTCTCCTGGCTGAGCTCTGGGCACCTCAGTCGGAGAGCCTGTCCCTAGGGTGCGCACTTGCCAGGCAACAGGAATTAGAAGCCCAACGGGGGTGGGGGCTTCTCTAGTGTGGCCACGTGAGAGCCTGTCCAGCCTTGCAGGGCCGGGCTGGCAGCCCCAGAGGTCAACTGATCAGTTTATTGAGTGTCATTGCCAAGCGGCCTCTGCTTTCTGAGTCCCTGTCCCCTCCCAACTGCTGCCTGAGTCTGTGAGGTCAGAGAAAGTCTGACTCCAGCCCAGATCTGCTCCACCTTCTTGCAAGATCAATAGCTGTTGCTGCCATCGGCAGGGCTTCTTTGCTTTGGATGAAGAAGTGTGACTCTCTAACTTCAGGCTAGAGCCCACGCTGTGTGCACACATGCACTGGCCCTGTTGTGACCTGTGGCATTTTTCCTGTTTTCATGTCTACAGTGGTTTCTCTAAGAGCCTCAGGTCTATATCCTAAGACCTGCTGGGGGCAGCCACCCTCAAGGGGTAGAGTCCCTTAGGGCTTAGCACCCCTTTTAGGCAAGAACTCCTAGCGGGAGTGACTCCAGCAGGACAGAGGGCAGATGGGACACCGTGAGCCTGGGAGTGAGGATGCTGGGCTCTGCGTCCTGGGAGGCTCACCTCGCCACTGCAGCTTCCTCCATTAGGGCGTGTTCACCGTCATGTCCTGCCTGCAGTGCCGTGGGGATGATGAAGCACTGAGCACATGGGCAGGACAAAGGGCTGGGTGAGCCAGCCAGGAGGCCACGGCTCCAGTCATAGACTTGAAGGCAAGAGTTCCAGCCCAGATCTGAAGTTGGAAGACAAGCGTGGGTCCCTGCAGAGAGGCGCTCCTTCAAAGTCACCATGGTGGAAAGCCCTTTCCTGGGACTGAGCGTATGCAGGTGGGCAGGGGAGGCGGGACCTGAGGCCGGCAACTGAAGGAAGTGCTGGCACACAGACAGCCCTTTCGTGTGAACTTAGAATTTTTTTTAAAGATTTTATTTATTTATTTTAGAGGAGAAGGAGAGGGAGAGAAACATCAATTGGTTGCCTCTCGCATGCCCCCAAACCAGGGACCTGGCCCCACAACCCAGGCATGTGCTCTGCCTGGGAATTGACCTGGCGACCTTCGGGTTCACAGGCCGGCACTCAACCCACTGGACCACTCCCACCAGGCCCACCAGGCCTGACTCAGATTTTTTAAAACACGACAAAAGACAGAAGAATACTATGGAGAAGTAAAAAATAACTTTGGAGGGTCAATTCCAGTAAATTATCATTACCTGCCATTGAAGGGAAGCTCAAAACAGAAGGATTGCACTTGGCATGACTCATTCTAGAGAACTCAATGTGTTATTGGTGCCGGGCAAGAGGGAGCCAGTGGTGAGAGAGACAGGCACCCTTTCTGCTTCCTCTTAGTTCCCGGTGTCCTGGGAAAGGCACATTCCTGGGCCACTCTGGTACCTGGGCACAGGTTGGGGGCCCCCAGCCTATGCTTTCAATAGGCACTTCAGGCGGTCTGCTCTGGGCTCCTTGGACCCCTTCTCGTGGGACACTGAACTCGGGGTCAAGGGCACCCGGAAGGAGGTAACAGTTTCCCAGGAGACTGCATCCTAGCTCCTGTCCCATTTAAAGAAAACAGGAAAAGCATGCATGTACGCATGTGTGTGTTTGTCTTCCCCCCAGGACTGGTGTTTTAGAAGAAACCTCAGGAGGCTGCTTGATGAATGTGCAGATGACCCCCAGGGGTGCAGGTCGGATAAAATGTGCTATAGATGAGAGGGAAGATTTGAGATGATTTGTTTAGCCTGGAATGTTGGACTAAACCCAACCAGATGAAGTTTCATGGAGACAAAGTGCTCTTCTTGGTTAAAACAAAACAAAAACCAATTCAGCACCCCAGGAGGGAGGAGAGACTGGGCTTCGCCGCAGTTCTAGGAGGGAGTCCAGGGTGTTTGGGGACCACCAGGACAGGGGCAGGGAGAGGGGAGTCCCAGGATATCAGCACCCCCACCCATACCCAGAGCTGGACGGGCCACCTGGGCTTGGGCTCTTCGCTCAGCAGCCATGTTTAAGGGCAACGTTGGCCGGTTAGGGCAGAACCTGGAGAACAGGGGTGATGCAGACAAGGGTCTCCAGGGCCCGTGTCTGACTTGGGAGCAGGAGACAAAGGGTGTCACAGAGACACATTTAGGCATCTGACGGTGTGTCTTGCAGAAGTGGAGACAAAGGGTGTCACAGAGACACATTTAGGCATCTGACGGGGTGTCTTGCAGCCGGGCTGCCCCAGAGGGCACCCGGGAAGCAGCGGGTGGGCTTCAGCTCAGTGTGAGACGGAACTTTCTAAAGCTGGAGGGTTTCATGGGGACGGCTGCCCCACAGGGGCCCTGGGATGGGGGAAGGATGGAGAGGGACTCCCCGACCCCTGGAGGTTTCAAGGGAGACAGGTGTGGTTTCAGGAGGCCTCATTGGTCCCCTGCCCAGTTGTGCCAGTCACCTGGGGAGCTGGCGAAGATCCAGGGTCCTGGGCCAGCAGTCCGCTAGCCTTTGGAGTCATGGGACCAGAGGGCAGGAGTCTCTTCCTGCTGCCTAAAGGAACTGTGCTGCCTAAATGAACTAGTCCACCAGGTCAGGAACAAGCTGGCCCTGACCCCTCACCTCCCACCCCACCTGCCAGAACTTTAGCCATCGTCCCCTGCCCACCGCCCCCCTGCTCAGGAAAGAGTGTTTTAGCTAAAGTGGAAAACCCACCCCGCATGGATATTTGACCACCTCTGTTCATAATCAAAACCTGGAAGCAACCGAGATGTCCTTCAGCAGGCGAATGGATAGGTAAACAATGGTCTGTCCAGACAGTAGTAGAATACTACTCAGCGCTGAAAAGAAATGAGTGTCAAGCCACGCAAAGCCATGGGGGAGACTTAAATAAATGCGTGTTAGTAAGTGAAAGAAGCTGATCTGAAAAGGCGGCATCCTACGTGATTCCTACTATGTGACCTTCTGGAAAAGGCAGAACTATGGAGACAGTGAAAAATCAGTGGTTGCCGGGGCCAGGGAGGAGGGAGGGGTGAGTAGACTGATGGAGAGGATTTTGAGGACCAGGAAAATACTCTGCATGATCCTTAATGGTGGACGCATGTCATTATATATTGCCCAAACCCACAGAATGCACACGAAGTGTGAACCCTAATATGCACTATTAACTTTGGTGATATGACATGTTGATGTAGGTTCATCACTTGTAATAATTGTCCCACTATGGCGGGGGCTGTTAACAACGGGGGAATCTGGGGGTGGGGAGTGGCAGGAGGTATATGGGTCATCGCTGAACTTTCCACTCAATTTTGCTGTGAACCTAAACCTACTCTTAAAAATAGTATATTAAAAAATTCTCTGGTGTCACCTCTACCTTCATTTGGGGTCTTTCCCGTAGTGCTGCGGTAGGCGTTGGTTTCTATGGAAACAGTGAGACCAACGACGGGGTGTACCAGCTGATGTACTCCTTGAACAACGCGAACCACACCTTCTCCGGGATCGACATGCTGGTAAGATCCTGGGCAGCCGGCCGGGCCAGGCGCAGCCCGCGGGGTCAGTGTGGTCAGAACAAGGGCCCCAGTCAGATCCCGGCCAGCTCGGCACCAGGGGGTGCTGGACGCCCTTGGGGGCCGCAGTTGGCCCTGCCAGGAGCAAACCGGCAGCCTCTGCTCCCCGCGTAGCGGGAGGAGGGCATCTGGGGTGTGAGTAGGGACCGAAGGAGAACAGCTGGTGGTCCTGTGGGGGCACGAGGCAGCGGTGGGGTCCGGCCCCATTTGTCTTCGGGAGAGCCGCACACTTCCCCGTCCCGCCTGGGGGACCCTGAGCTTGGAGAATGGGCCCCATGCTATTTCTGTGTCCACAGGAAGTGCTGCGTGTTGACTACTGTGGGGTCCGGGAGGTGTCATGGGGAAAACTCTGCAGAAACAAGCCAATGCCCCTGGGGGTGGGGGGCAGGAGTGAGACCACCTGAAACCCGGTGAGATGTTCCGGGCACCGTGGGTCCAGCTGAAAGCTCAGGGCGAAGGACTGTGCTGGGCTGGCCAGAGGAGATGCCGGACTTTTAGGGGACGAAAGAGCCACTCTGCTGAGCCTTCGGCCCGAATGACGAAGACCAGGAGGGTGGGGGGACCAGGGTCTTCTCAAATGTAGACCAAGTGCGCGTCACCTTCGCTGGAAGCACCAGGGCCCGTGGGCTGATTTTCCGGGCAGCGCCGGTGCCTAGAAGGGGCAGGATCTAGGGAGCTGTCAGGGAGACTGGTCCTTGGACATCATGCCGTTCCCAAACCCCTGCGGCCCGGCAGAGGGTGACCTAAGCAGGTGGCCCACTTGTGTCAGACAGCCTCAACCGTAAAAGGCAGCCCGACCGAAGCATTTGGCACTCACTGGAAGAGGATTCGACCTCGTTGCCTCTCCTCCCTTAAGCTCCTCTAAAGCTTTAATCTCTCAGCCCTTCAGGAGGGGCTCGCCTTAAAGAGACAGCGGAGCTGCCTCTCAGCGCCCAGGATGGCAGGGGCGGCAGCTCCGGCCTCGGAGAGAGCTTTCTGGGTGCCAAGGGACAACTGCCTGGCCAGGGCCCAGTTCTCCCACAGAGCTTGTCCCTCTACACCTTCTGTGCCCGGAGACCTGTCTGTGGGGACGGGGAGCTCCCTGAACACTGAGTCTGGGCAGCTCCGTGGGGCCAGGAGAAGTGGCTGGAACAGGGACGCTGAGGGTGGCCTTGTGGACTGAATGCACCCTGACCAGTGCAAGGAGGCTGGGGGACGGCCGGGCCTGCAGGGAGCTTGCCCTCGGAGCTCCCCCACCCACACCCCTGCCCCAGTAGTGGAGGGGCACCTGGTTACTGCCACGGGATTCTTCCTCCACCCACCAGCATCAGGACCCTGGAGGAGGAACTCAGCCCCGAAAGGAGAATCCCCTGCCCAGGGGAGTCCCAGACCCATGACCTTCACTGGCTGGCTCGTGACCATTGTAAAGAATGGCCTTTTCTCCCCCAGAGGAAGAGGAAGAAAGCCCCAGAGCCATCCCGATGGAGCACTTGGGTGCTTCATGCCCTTATCCTGGGGGAGGAGAGCTGTGCAGGGAGATGAGCCGGGGGAACAGGACCCCCGCGGGGCCCATCCGCCAAGGGAGGGGTGAGTGCTCCTGACCGGGCTTGGGCATTCGCAGCTGCCCCCCACCCCCGTTTCCCTCAGTGCCCTCATGTTCCCAAAGGGAAGGGCTCTGTGTGTGCCTGGGGGGAACCCCTCGTCCTCTCCATTTCTGAAAAGGGAGGGCAGAACCCCAAGTTTTGTGACGGTCCAGCCAGTAGGAGCCCCTCCCATTCTGACAACAGCCGCCTCCTGCCTCCTCTGGCTGAGCCCCAAGGCTCCCGGCCCCTGGGCTCCAGCAGAGAGGCAGGACCTCCGGGGCTGCTCGGGGCCTGGGGCCGGGCACCCAGCGTTCCCGGTCCCGTGGGCTCCGGGGGAGGCAGCAGATCTCTGAGGGCCCCTAGATCCGAGGGGCAAAGGCCACATGTCAGACAAATGACGTTAGTTAAGATACAGTCCATGAAAGTGCCTGGTAGTCTACAAAGGACCCTCCGAATGGGGCGACGGTGACAGGGAGTGCGGTTACAATAATTACCCGTGGCACCGTAACCACCTTAGGCGAGAGAGAAGGCTTGAATTGGCAGGAGGACTTGGGGAACAGGTCAGGTGACTCAGACCTGAGCCCGAGAGGTGGACCCTTTCCTGGACCGGAAGCCCCTCAGGTGTCCCTCAGTGGGAGGGGGCCCAGGCTCAAGCAACGCTCAGCCAAGCGGGGTTCTGGGTCAGCTACACGCTCTGATCTGGGGAGTCGGGAGGGGTCCTTCGGGAGTGCCGGTGGGTCCTGTCCCTGGATCCAGTGCCCCCTATCTGTGCCACAGTGAAAGGGGCCTGGGCTCCAGTCACCCAGGGGACCAGGCCCACCTCTCTCCCCTCAGGGTTTCAGCCTAAAATAAGGGTCTTGGGCTCTGCCGCCCCTGAGCCCGGCTGTCTCCACCGCTCACGGTCCAGGGGCCAGTGTGGCTCCTCCGGGCTCCCGCAGGAGCCTGCAGCAGGGCCGTGGCCGAGACACGAGACAGGCGGGCACAGGACGGTGGCATTCCCTCCCCAGCCTGGAAGCTAGTACTTTCAGAGCGAGAAGTAGGATGGACGAGGGGTCTGGTCTCCACCCTCCCCTGCCGGGATCTGTGATGGGGCTCCTCCCCACCCACCTGCCGAGGCTCCACCCCTTCGACTCCTAGCACACCTGCCCTTCTAGGAAAGCTCGCGAAGGAGAGGAGAGTCCTCCCTCCCAGAGGCTGCATCAGGATCCCCTGGAGGGCTGGATAAACCCCGAGGGCTGGCCTCGCCCCCGTTTCCAGGTCCGGAGGTCTCTGTGGGGCTGGGAATTTGCATTTATAATGAGTTCCCAGCTGATGCCCCTGCTGCTGGTAACCCAGGACCACAGCTCCATCCAGTGGGAAGACAGTGGCCCCTGCCTGCTCACTCACTCGCCTCTAACCCCGCCCCAGCCTGGGGAGCTGAGCTGGCACCCTCGGCCACCGACCTGTTCCTCTTCTGAGGTGTCCCTGCTCTGCCTCCCTGCTGGGAACTCTGCCTGTGCTGAACCTCTGAGGAGCTGGGGGCGATAGGGAGTAGGGGCTGTAGTAAGAGGTCAGGGAGGTGGGTTTTATCTTTTTATTGTTCTGTTTCCTATGAAGAGATATCAGGAGGAAAGCGGGCCTGGCAGATGTTACAGCCTTTTGTTTCTTTTTTTCAAGGAGAGATTTAAGATAATAGAGAAGTTAAAAATGTGGAGCTATGGAAGGGAATAAAGCAGTCTTACAGAAAACGTTTACAAATCATTTATAACGCTTTGTCTCACGTTTATCATATAGGAATATGAAAATATCACATGGTACGAGGTTTTTTTGTGTCAGATTAGCATGTAATAACAGTGCGCTTTGGATCAATGGGTGCAATACACTTATACGTTGTTCTTATTGAATTAAAAAAGGGCAGCTTATCAGGGTGATGTTTACTCTCTGTATTTACTTTCACATGGTTTTCGCCCTTGAGTGAAGCTAAAAGCTGCCAGATCGTTAAGGCATGGGCCCCCCCGACCCTGCACCCCAGTATCTCGTCCTAAACCAGCTTGTGAGAACTAGGAACAAGCCAGAAAACGGAACAAGCCACTGACAGTTACAAAACAAAACAGCAAGACAAAGAGGGCTATTCTCCTTTCTGGAACCGGGAACCCACAGAGCAGCGCAGATGTGAAAACCCGCGAAGGGGGCTGTCCCACCCCCGCCCCTCAGTCAGGAGCGTCATCTGCCCCTCCTGCTGAGCGTGGACTGCGGGAGGTGCGGGCCCCTTCTCCTGTGTCATTTTATCTTCCCTCCAGGCCCGGGATTAGCCGCACTCCCCCTTCCAGCCGGCTGTGCTTGTTGGTTTAGCAGCAGAACAGACAACTTCAGAACAGCATAGCTCTTCTTCCTCTTAGGGCCAGCACCCCGCCCTGAGAACGCCCGCAGGGAGGGCTGCCCCGGGGGGTTCTTGGGCGGTGTCCCTGGGTCTCACGGGACCCTACACCTGGGCTGTCTGGGCTGTTGGAGCGTCTTTCTAATACGAAGCTCTGCACATGCCTCTTTGTCAAGCCACAGGCAGTCACTGCCGCTGTTCTTTCCTCTCTGCCTTTGAACAGCAAGCTCCTCTCTTCAGGGTCCACTCAACTCTGGGCCCTTCAGGCCCAGCCAGGGGGCAGGAGCCTGTCCTTCCGCCTGCAGGACAGACGCACAGGGCAGGGCACGGGTGCACAGGGACGGTGCTGGTCTCCCCTCCAGCACGTGCCACTGTCTGCCTTCACTCGGGCTCTGGGCATAGCTGTCGCTGGCTGCGCAGCAGGCCTGGCTCCCGTGGGGAATTCAGAAACCCTGCCGTGGGAACGAGAGGTCAGGCAACAACAGAGGGGCTCCTTGGCTTAAACGTGTGATTCCTCACTCTGAAAAAGAACTCATCCGCCAAAGTGTTTAAGGTTTTAAGGGCATCTGCAAGGAGAAAACCTGGGTATGCGTTCGTTTCCCCAGCTGGGTCTCCCTTTAGAGTGAGGGGCCGGATCTTGGCACCTAGGGTAGCGGCCTGCCCCCTGGATGCAGGGACAAAAGGGTTGGGTGGGTCGTGGCGCTTCTATCTGCCATCCCTGCTCGGAGCAGCAGCCTCCTGAGCCGTTCAGGGCGGGGGGTGGCGGGCATGCAAGGTGTCCTGGTCTGAGCCCAAGCAGCTGTCCTCTGCCACTCATAGGCCTTCTCCAGAGTCAAGGGCTGGACCTCTCTGGCCTCCTTCCGCCCCACGGCCAGATCCCCAACCGCAGCCTCTCCCTAGGTGTCCGGAATCACCCAGAAGATGAAGGTGGACCTAGAGCAGCACCTGGCCCGACTTAGTGAGATCTTTGCCACCCGGGGCGACTACCTCCAGACACTGAGGTTCATGCAGCAGATGGCCGGCAACATTGTCGTCCAGCTGTCAAGGGTGCCCGTGTGGACAGAGGTCACAGCCGAGCTGACCGAGCTGGCTGACCAGACCGGTTACGTGGAGTACTACAGGTGAGGACCCCGCGGGGCGGCAGAGGCAGGGCGGAAGGGCTGCGCCAGCATCCTTTATCCAAGCCTGCTTCCCAGGGCCCAGGCAGGGAGTGCCACCACAAGGTCTTAGTAAGCCATTAAGTGAAACCGGAGAATGCAAGCGCTTTCGGCGTCGAGTGGTGAGCATGTAGAACAGCCTCCTGAGACAAGCAGGCGCCGCGGGCCGAGGGAGGCAGTGCTGTGCCCGGGCCCCAGGGCGGGGGTCCGGCCGTGGCCTCCTGGCACGCAGCGCGGCGCTCCCCCGGGACTGCATTCTCTGCAGCGGGGCTGGGTCAAGTGCAGGCGGCTTACCTGCTCCTCACTGGCCAGGTCTATGGGGCAGGCGCCCCTGCTCCTATAGACACAGCCACAGGTGCCGGGGGTCAGGGAGATGCTGGCCTCTTTGCCTGCACAGAGCCCCCCGATGCAGTCTCTTAGCAAGCACAGAGACGCCCCCTGCCCGCGTGAGGGGAGCCGCGGGAAACTGCCACACCTTTGCCCTACTCAGGCGTGCAAACCCATGCCTATGTCATGTATTCTTTGGGGGCCTATTTATGTCTGCCCTGCCTCCCCATTCCTCAGGCCCCATCCCGGGTGAAGACACCGGACGTAGATCAGCTGACCGGGGACCGGCTGCCCTCCACCCCATGTGCAGGGTCTAGTGGAGGTCCCTCTGGGACAGCCAAGGAGGGAGGCAGCAGTCTGGGCTTTGGGTGTCCCCTGGCTGAGGGTCAGCGCGCACTCACGCAGCGCATGTCACCCGGGCCGCACCCGGGGCCCAGGCGGAAGAGGCATGAGGGTGGAACGGATACGTGAATCCTCACCGATACGTATCAGCTCTTTGGACCCCTCCCCACCCACTTGTTGGCTCCTTTTTAAGCCCTTTGCAAAGGTCAGAGCCTTTACCTCAACATTGCACAACGTACTCTGGTTTTCTGGATTCATTTCCCCTTTATGAGAAAGCCCCACCCTGGGAGGAATCAAGACCGCAGAAAATGCCCCTCTTGGCCGCTGGGCGGAGACCTCCCTGCCCTGGGCTCCCGCCTTCCGGCGAGATGGCAGGGCCCTGACGAGGGGGAGCCCTGAGGTCCCGGGTCGGTGTATCGCTCCCCGTCCCTCCCCTGCGGCGCGTCCCGTTCCTGCATTCCTGGGTGTCACGGATGGCTGGATTGAGAGGGACCTTGGTCCGGCCTCCCACCGGGTGAATGCTTATGTGGAACAGTGCCTTTTTCCCAGGCGACGGAGAGAAACCATCAACTCTAAGGCCCTGTGACCCAAAACAGTGGCATCTGATTAGACCCGTGACATGAGGGCCATTCATTGCATGACCCTTTGAAATCTTTTTGTTTCCTGAGAGGTCTGGGGAGGTCAACATGGGCATCGATTCTGACCCTGCCATTCTGTCTAAGTGGACCCAGAGTAGGACCGTGTACACTTAAGGGCCTGATGTAGGCATTTTGAAAATAACCAGGAGGAAATAAGTCAGAAGTTCTAAATCAAAAGGAACTTAATTTTAAGGTGATTTCATTTAAAAATGGGAAGGAAGGGTGGTGGCAACTGCCCAGAAGCTATTTCAGTCTGGCTGCTTGACAGGGACCGCTAGGAGTCCCATCCCCAGCCCCTACCCCTTGTTCAGGTCAGGGTAGCAATTTCTCCTCCAAGGCTGGTACCTGCGGCTCCTGAACACCGACGACACTCTGTCTCTTGTCCTCACCTTCTGCTGTTTGCTCGCTTCTTCCCTCACCTGAGCTGCTCTAGAACAAGGCTTTATTTTATTCTTTAATAATTTTTCTTTAGATTTTATTTGTTTTTAGAGAGACGGGAAGGGAGGGAGAAAGAGAGGGAGAGAAACATTGATGTGCAAGAAACATCAGTTGGGTGCCTCTCACGTGCCCCCTACTGGGGACCTGGCCCTCAACCCAGGCACATGCCCTGCCTGGGAATTTTTATTATTATTGGTTTTAGAGAGAGAAGAAGGGAGGGAGACACTGATTTGTTGTTCCACTTATTGATGCATTCATTGGTTGATTCTCATTGGATGTGCCCTGACTGGAGGTCGAACCTGCAACCTTGGTATATCAGGGTGACGCTCTAACCACCTGAGACACCCAGCCAGGCAAGGCTTTATTTTGTTCTTGAACTAACCAGCCTTAGGGGCTGGGTCTCCTCCTGACAACCTCCCCATTTTTGCTTTTTGGATGGCCCTAGATCATAGCCATCCAGCTAAGCAAATATTTTTTAGCACTTTTTTACAAGGCCTGGCTAAGTATCAGAGGTGATTAAAAGCCTGAACAGACTGCCCTCTTGGAGAGGTTTCCTGCAATGGAGCAAGCAAGCCAGCAAGCGAGAGCTTCACCGCAGGCCGGATGTGGGAGGGGCTGGGGGAATCGGGGCCTGAGAGGCTTCCTGAGAGCCCAGCTCTGGGCTGGAAACACACTCCCCAGGTCATCACCCGCCTCGTCCGGGAATGTGCATCTGCCTCGCAGAGCCGCTCCTGGGAACTCCTTACACCAGGAGGCGTGGCTGCAGAACAAGGTGCTGAAACGCAGCCCTAGGCCTGGAGAGTGTTAGAAGCAACCCTAACTCGATTTCCTGCCGGTGGGAAGAGACGCAGCAAGAAGGCTTTGGGTTTGAAACATGACACCAGGACTCCATGAGGGGCTGGCTGGCTGGCTGGCCTGGCCCCTTGCAGGAAGCCTGGGAGGTGGAGAGCCGGGCCATTCCCAGGCCAGGCTCCCCTGCCGACCTTGGTTTCCCAGTCTGTCAATGTGGGATCCTCACCCCAGATGGTGCCCCAGGTTCCTCCAGCTCTGGCTCCAATTCTAAGAAAAATGGCTCCTTGGTGGCCTCGTCCTAGTAGAGGGCAGGCTCTGCACTGTCCCAGAGCCCCCAGCTCCGTTCCTGGGCACCTGCAGTGGGCCCACCCTGCTCTGTGCAGGGGGTGAGGGCTCTGCTCCGGCTCTTTGGGGATGGAAAGAGCCACACTTGGCTGCCCAGGGGCCTCCAGCATGTCCCACCCCCTAGGGACCCCGCTGTCCCTTCCTTCCAGCTCCGTCCCACTTCCTACCCGCACTCAGACTCTTTTCCCCTCTTTATGGTATGAGTGAAGCAAAAAACTTGCTGGAGAGAAGGGATCAATGAGTTTATTTGGCTCTTGCATCCAGAAAAATAATGAGCACAAGACTTCCTTTTGGGGGACTGGGAGAAGTCCCTTCTCCGCCCCAAACCCCCTCTCTGGGCAGTTATAACCGGGGGTCAGCAGGCCTGGGGCTGCCGCCTGGGCCTGCCTGATGGGGAGCTTGCTCTGCTCCACCTGAGCGTCCCCCCTCCCCCCAGGTGGCTTTCCTACCTCCTGCTCTTCATACTGGACCTGGTCATCTGCTTCATTGCCTGCCTGGGACTGGCCAGGCGCTCCAGGTGTCTCCTGGCCTCGTGAGTAGTCCCACCTGGGGGCTGGGGACAAAGACCTGGGCGGGCGTGTGGGGCGACGGTGCCACGATCAGAGAGATGCGCTGGGGGGCAACAGCCTGAAGCCACCAACGCGTTATCTGGACACCAAGCAAGGACTGGGCTTCCCTCCCTGTGTCCTCTCCCTCCTGGGCCAGCCCAAGCATCAGAGCCTCCCGCTGTCACTAACCAGGACCTCCTCCTTAAGCCAGCGCCCTCCCAGTGGCCTCTCCAGCCCAGGGGCCTGTTGCCAGGGCTCGGGGTCCGTCTCCCTGTCCCAGCGGTCAGCAGGGGCCCGGGAAAGCAAGCTCATGCCGAGGGGAAGGGCACTGACGGTGGTGGGGCAGCCGCCACAGGGCCCCTGCCCACCGGCCTCTGCCCGGACCCCACCCACAAGCTGCCTGTCTTCCAGGACGCTGTGCTGCGGGCTGCTGGCCCTGCTCCTCAGCTGGACGTCCCTGGCCACGGACTCCGCCGCAGCAGTGGTGAGCTGGGGGTGGGGGCGGGCCTTGGTCCGACCAGGACCATCTCAGGTAGGCGGTACGTCGTCCGCGTGTCCTGTGCAGAGCCCCCAGGGCAGCGGCAGCTTCCAGCCTCAGTTCCTCAGCTAAAAATCCCAGAATCTCAGAACCAAAGGGGCTTCGATCTCCCACACGAGGCCTCTCACTCTTTAGAGGGAGACACAGGCCCAGAGAAAGGAAGAGGCTTCCCTGAGATTTGGAAGCATTTGGGGCCAGAGCCAAGAGAAGACATCTGAACCTTATCCCTTAGTCACCTCGCTGGCCTGTGCCCGGCCACCTGCTTGTAAGGACATGCACGGATGACCTGGGACTTCTCTCTGGGTCTGGTGGGGTGGGCGGGTCAGGCCCTCGGCCTGGAGGAGCCCCCCGACACCCCGCGCTGGCTGCACGCCCCTGGGGCACGGGGGATGTGGAGGCGGCACTCAGCTGGCCTCGGTCCCCTTGCCCTTGGACTCAGCCCAGCCTGACACACAGTGCTGCGTGCTCACGGCTGTGGTGCCTCAAAATGTTAAAAGAAAAACAAGAAAGCCCAGGTGAGGGAGCTTCCTGTGTAGGCGTTTGAGTTAAGCTGTGTGCGTGAGTCATTCGTTCATTCATTCACTCACTCAGTCACTCAGCTGTTGCGTGGCTCTGGGGCAGGCAGTGGTGCCCAGAGCGGAGGACAGGTTTGTTCCTGACTGAGCGGCAGCCTGTGGACGAGACTTGTGGGCAGAGAGTGGCAGCCCCGTGTGAGTCAGGGCAGCGGAGATGTGTGCTGTGCGCGCGTGTGTGGGAGGCAGGATGTACCGGCGGATTTCGGGGAACCCCTAGCCGACTCAAGGGCCACAAACTAACTGCGTCTGTTCTGCCCAAGCTCCCTAGAGACAAAAGAACGGGGCCCCTGCTGGAAGCCCTCTACCCAAACTCCTGCCCTGCCCGGTGGCCTGGGGGCTGGCGCCCCACGTGCCCCCATGGTACCCACGGAACACATGGGTCCTGGCGCTTCCTGGCTCATATCGGCTTTCGGCAGAGCTTGTCCGGAAGGGAGAGGAGGTGGGCAGCCCTGTGTGGTTTCTTCCCCTCCAACCACGCAGTGTCCACCCTGGGCAGAAGGGAGAACAGGACAGGAGGTGTGAGCCTGTGTCCCAAGAGCAAGGGCCCCTTCCGATACTGGGAGCGGCCGGTCGGACAGCGCACATTGATCTCGAAAGCATGCTGACATCGGGAGCGGGGCGGGATGTTCACAGTCCAGGGGCCTGGCTGCTGTTGGAGCAACACGTACAGCTGCCTGGCCCCCAGCCTCTCCTCGGGGACAAGGGGAAGTTCAGGGAGGCTCCCATGTGGCGCGCCTTCCTGGGGCTCCCTCCTGGCCCCGGGCAGCCTCGACCTCCTGGAAGCAGCGGCAGCGTCCAGCTTGCCCCCCCCCCCCCCGCCCCGTAAGCTGCCATTTGGGAAGCAGGCTCCTCCTGGCTCCTTCTCACCAGGCTTCGGTGTCTGGGGAAACCAGAGGCGATTTAATCTCCCAGACGGCACTCTGGAATGCAAGTGCGCCAGAGAGAAAGGCCACTTCCCAGACTGGTGTAGTCGGGCCCCTGTGTGCCAGAGCCAGCGTGAATGAGCCTTTGACTGGGCTGCGGAGCCTGCTGCATGTTAATACAAGTGGGGTGAGGAGGAGCCAGTGCAAGGGAGGGGTGGGGGGAAGCAGAGAGTCAAAGGCTACTGCAAGCAGCTTTTGTGCAGCCTTCCTGCCCCTTCCCCCTCAAGCCTGGCTCTTTTTTTGAGAGCTGTAGGACCAGACAGACACTGTGCCCTGCCCTGTCCCCCACCCCCTGCCTTTCCTGTTCCCGGAACCTCCACAGGGAGGGACAGGGCCTCAGGAGCTTTGGCTGCACACCAGTGCTAACTTAAGGGGGAGCTCCCTGGGAATCCGGGCACCCCTGGGGGAGTCACGGAGGTTCCCCAGGGCTCTGCTTTCTCTGGCGTGAAGCGAGGCAGGTCACAGCCCTTGCGTCAAAGGGCTGGACGAGGTGGGGGGCCCGTCCGTTCATTGGCAGGACGAGGTGGGTGGCCCGTCTGTGGGAGCATATAGGAAATGTTCGATAAACAGTAGCCATCGCTGGTTACCACAGTTATTGTCATTACGTGAGGGTCCCAGGCGGAGTCCTTCAGGCTGTGACCTCCAGTCCCAGGAGCTGCCTGCAGCCTCAGCCACCACCCGGGCGGGGCACTTGGGTGGCCTCTCCACCTGCCCTAACTGTGCTCAGCGCCCCTTTCCCTCCCTGCCCCACCCTCATCCTCACCTCGTGGATAATGCACATCCAGGTCCCCATCCTCGTTGACAGGGAAGCTGAGTCCTCATGGGAGAGTCTGAAGAGGACTGGCCTGGGGTGGGGGACAGAGAGGCCACCTCCCTGGTGGAGCCTCTGACAGGGCCTCCTGCCCCTCCTTGAATCCCAAACTTGTTGGGGTAACCCAGACCAAGATGGCGGCCTTGCTCTCTCTCCACCCCCAGCTCAGACAAGCTCCCCTTGCTCTGCTCCTCCAGTAACAGCGTGGGGGTGCACCTTGGCCAGCTGTGCTGTCTCTCCAATTGGCAGCAATAAACCAGCCTGACTGCGGGTGCGTGTTATTGATTTGCACATAGAGCAGTTCTCTCCAGACCTGAGCGCGTGGCTGTTTGAGTAGGTGTGTGCGCACGCACAGATAGGGCTCTGTGGAAGCTCTGTGTGTAGAGGGGCGTTAGTCGCAAAATACATCCACTGTCTAGAACATACGTGTCACAGTATAGCTTGCTACTGTATCCCGTGCCTAAGACAGTGCATGGCGCCTCCTAAGTGTCTATCGACTACATGGATGAATGAGTGATGCCCCAGAGGGGGGCCCTGAGGCAGCCGCTCCTGAAGGAGAACAGGGCACTGGCCGTGCAGGGCCGTGGAGAGGGGTCCGCGGGGAGGGGTTCGCGGCTCAGGTGCACACGCTGGAGCAGGGGTGGCCCCCAGGACCCGGCTGGAGGACCCGAGCGTACGCTGTCTGCTCTGAGAAGTGGAGGTCCCCTTTACCCAGTGCCCCGCCGGACCCTGGCTGGGTCTGGGGAGGGCCTGGCTCAGAGGGTGACCTTCCTGCTGCCGCCTCTCCCAAGGCCCGGAGCTGCTCCCTGGGGTCACCTAGCCAGGCCGTGCGGTCCAAGCCCCCAGGTCGCCATTGGCAGAGCCTGGAGCGCACGTCCTCGGACTCACAGCGCCCCATGTTTTTGTGAGCAGGACCTGCCCTCAAAAGCTCAAACACGGGCCCGGCACCAACATAATTCTTTAAAGAGAGTCCGGGGAAGGCTTCATCGAGGGGCACCCCCAGAGTGTGGGGGACTTGATAACAGCAAGACAAGAAATCAAACAGAGATGAGCAAACGAGGCCAAGGGCAGACCGCTCCCTGACACCCACCCTGCAGCCTGCGCTTGCCCCGGCCCGGCCCCGTCCGGCCCAGAAGAGGCATCGGAAACGCGCGATACTTGATACAGATTAATTCATAAGTCGAATAGTGTTTTTCTCTCCATATTATAGAGGAGGCACCTGAGGCACAGAAAGAATAAGTCACTGGTCCAAAGTTAGAGAGCTAGGAAGGGGCGGAGCCAGGACTCAAACCCAGGGAGGCTGGTGTCTGAGTGCTCTTGTCCACCCAGGACTGAGCCGAGGTCCAAGTGGCCAGGGCTGAGGCCACATGCCCTCCTCCCCAGGGCCCAGGCGTCGTGACTCCCCCACCCCCTTCCCTCTCCCTGGCTTAGGGCACCAGTGACTTCTGCGCAGCTCCTGACACCTTCCTCCTGAACATGACAAAGAGCCAGCTCAGCACAGGTAAGGCCAGCCAGGCTGTGCTCTCCTCGCCCATCTCAGCCCTGTCGCCGCCCAGTCCCTCCCAAACCCCGCACTTCGTGACCAGGGGCACCTCTGGGCCATTTTGTAGAACCCACCTCCTTTGGGAGCTCGGGAGTAGCCCGGTCACCTGCGAGCTCCTGCCTGACGTCATGTTTGCCTTGCAGAGGTGACCCGCTACTACCTGCACTGCAGTCAGAGCATAAGCAGCCCCTTCCAGCAGGTACAGCTGACCCTGCCCACAGCACCCCCGTCCACGTGCTCCTCTAGCCCCCAGCCCCTGCCCCGGCCAGGGAGGTGGAGGCGGCTGGTGTCCTTTGCTTCGCTGTGGTCCCCTGAGGGAGGCCGTGCTCTTGGTCAGCGTCTAGATCAGTGTTTCTCACACGTGCGCCCAGCACCCAGGGCGCGGTTAACATGCGGATGCTGTGAAGCAGGCCTGGGGTAGGGGCTGAGAGCCTGCATTTCTCGCAAGCTCCAAGACGAGGCCAGTCCAAGGACCACACTTTGAGTAGCAGGAAGCAAGAGGCCTCTCAAGAAGCTTGAGAGATGAGGGGAAGCTTTCCTGCAAGCAGGAAGGGCCGTAGTCAGGGCCATAGTCAGGGGCGTGAGGGCCGTAGTCAGGGACGGGGGTGCAGATGCAAGCCGCGGGGCGGGGCGGGGCTGACGCGGACAGGCCCTCGGCAGCTGGGGGCGCTGGGGAAATGAAACCTCACAGTGGGGCCGCCGTCTGTCCTGGCCCAGGCACTGACCGTCTTCCAGCGCTCGCTGACCACCATGCAGATCCAGGTGGCGGGACTGCTGCAGTTTGCTGTGCCCGTCTTCCCCACGGCAGAGGTAAGGCGGGCTCCCCGGCATCCACGCTGGAAGAGGGGGAGCCCCAGGGCCAGGGCCTCAGAGAGCCCGGCAATGGAGAGTGTCCTTGCCCCATCGCCTGGCCTTAAAGGTTGCTGTTTGTGGTTTTATCCACAAGCCCTGCCCCCCCCAGCTCAGCCCCTGCCTCTCTGTCTGTCTGCATGTTTGCCTCTTCCTCCCGCTTCAGAATGATCTGCTCAGAATCCAGCTCCTGTTAAATTCCTCGGAACCCAGCCTTCACCAGCTGACAGCCATGCTGGATTGCCGAGGGCTGCACAAGGTGCTGGGCTGGCCTGGGGGGGCAGGGGTGAGTGGGGGCGTGGGGACGCCCCAGGTGGCGACATTTTCCCAGAGAAGCCAAGAGAGGCTGGAAGAGAGCTTGCCTGGCCTCCCTGCAGGCCTGGGGACGGGGGAGAAAGCTGGGCCACAGGAAGTTGGAAGAGGTGCTTGGCTTCTTGATTCTCTCCAGTAGCTGGGACAGGGAGACTCAATAAAAGTGCCAGGGGGCGAGGTAGCAGGACTGGATCAGGTTACCTCTAGAACACTGGTGAGGGCCATCTGGTCAACCCATCCATCTCCCTGAGTTGCCAGTGGACATTCCAATCTTGTGATGACCAGGGTCGTCTCTCCAGGAATTTGAACCATCAGACACTAATGCAGGGAACACACTGGGAGCATGTGAGCCCCGCCCCCCCAAAAGCGATAAGCCAATGTACGTTGACAGCTTTCACATCTCGTGAATGTAGAGCAGTCACACTAATGATCATGGCTGCCATTTACTGAGTACTTGGTTCTACACTCAGCCTTGTTCTGTGTGCTTTATATCTGATATGTCATTTAGTCCCCACAGTTATACTGTGAGATACATATCATTTCATGGGAAATTTTATAGATAAGAAAAACGTGTGTGGATGGATGGAAAGATAGATTTGTGTACATATGTATACATAGATGAGAGAGAGAAGTATGTGTGTGTGACTTGAGAGTCCAGAATTGGTAACTCGAGGCTTGGGTGTTGGGTCTTGGCAGCCTGACTTAAGAGCTGAGACCATGGGCATCTCCCCAGTACCCTCGCTCCCTCCCCCTCCACATCCAATCAGCCCCTTGGCCGGCGCTCGCAGCTACGCTCTCAAATACATCCCGCATCCATTTATATCACTCTCGCCAGCCTCCGCCATGGCCCTGCCTTCCTATCTGGCCTCCCACCCATGTCCTTTCGTATACAGCAGCCAGAGAGGTTTAAATTAAGAACAAATTGGATCACATCCCTTGTACCCTACACCCGCCGGTGTCGTCCCGTCACGCTGTGATAACCTGAGACCCCTCACCTGCCCTGCGAGGCCCAGCAGGACTGGCACCTTCTCAGCCTGTGTCCTGGTGGCCTCTTTCCTCTTTCCTGAACGTGCCACACTTGTCCCTTTGCCTCACAGCTCAAGGTGCAGTCCATTCCTTCTTGCCATCCTGGCCTCAGTAAATGCCCCCCGCTCCTGGCTCCCCTACCCAGATCCCCACGACCTGGCCGGTCTTGTTCAGAGCCCACCCTCCAGTGCCTAGCACACAGTAGGTGTTCAGCAAATGCCTGTAGAGCGACTCAAGGAGCCCCATTATGTTGGGCTCCAGAGCGTGGGCCCTTAGAGGCCGTACGAGGTGCTTGGGATGCAAAGGGGAGGAGATGGAGATCCAGGGCCAGGCTGAGGGACGGGCTTCCCAAGAAAAGTGCAGACCCTGGGCTGTGCCCCGCTCCCTTCCAACTGCGTGTACCTCCTCTTCCAGGACTACCTGGATGCCCTCGCTGGCATCTGCTACGACGGCATCGAGGGCTTGCTCTACCTCGGCCTCTTCTCCCTCCTGGCTGCCCTGGCCTTCTCCACCATGATCTGCGCGGGCCTGCAGGCCTGGAAGCGCTTCACCACCAGGTGGGCTGCCTGGAGGGGGCTGCCTTGGGGAGCGGGAGAGAGGCTCTGCTCCAGCTGAGCTGAGGGCTGATAACCCACAAGGGACCAGGGCCCCCGAGGGCCCAGGCACCCGGCCCCAGCCGGCGGCCTAGCTTTCTACCGAAGCTTCTCTGAGAGTCCAGACAGACCCCCAAAAGGAGGCTCCCGGGGAGTCAGGGCAGAAGTGGGTCTGAGGACGGCGACAATGTCATGCTAGAGTCTGGCATCCTTTGCTGTTCCCCTCCTCCGCAGGACTCTGTGGTGTGAGAAAATGAGGAGAGCTTCCACTGCTGGGGGTGCCCCCCGCATGCCAGGAGGCATAGATTGTAGCAATGTCGCTGGGGAGATAGACAGAGATGAGGTGGTAGATCAGACGAGAGGAAGCAGGTTAGGGAGGGTCAGTGTGCATGTGGTCAGGATAGTGGGCTGCCTGGAGGAGGTGGATGTGAAGTTGGGACCGGGGCTGAGTGATCTGTGGGAGGCGGGGCCAAGGACCATGTTTTAGGCGAAATTCGAGCGCACACCTGTGGCCAGGGGGAGAGTCCTTGGAGGGAAGATTGGGAAGCAGACCGGGACCCCGCTGCCTTGGAGCCTCCGCCGCCCTTCATGGTCGCCCCTGTTATACGTGTTGTTCTAGGGAGAGAGACTACGATGACATTGATGAAGACGACCCCTTCAACCCCCAGGCCCGGCGCATTGCCGCCCATAACCCGCCTCGGGGGCAGCTCCACAGCTTCTGCAGCTACAGCAGCGGCCTGGGCAGCCAGGCCAGCCTGCAGCCGCCAGCCCAGACCATCTCCAACGCGCCTGTCTCAGAGTACATGTACGCAGGGCTCCCGGGCCTCCCCTCACACACCTGGTCCAAGGGAGACAGGTCTGCGGGTCCAGGGGTGGGGGGCGGGGACGAAGGCATCAGAGGCTGGAGGGGGTCCCCTCTCTGCAGCCACGGATGCTTGGCAGGAAGGCATCTTGGGAGCATTTAGTCACATGACCCCTGCATATCCACAGGTGTAGGGGGAGGAGCCTGCTGGAGACACCGGGCCTTTCTCCACAAGCCCACAGGGTGGGTCTGGGGGCCGAGAACCTGTTTTCTCACCGGCCCTCCTGTGGAAGTCAGAGTCCCTTCCCCATGCCTCCCTGCCCTGAGCTCTCCTCTCTGCCCCGCAGGAACCAAGCAGTGCTCTTCGGTGGGACCCCCCGCTACGAGAACATGCCACTCATTGGGAGAGGCTCCCCGCCTCCCACGGTAACCTGGGCTCCCCCAGTGGGTGGGCAGGAGCTCTCGAGCCAGGTGTCTGTCGGGGAGGGAGCCCCTGCCTTTCCTCGGCTGGACGAGGTGCTTCACCTGCCCCCAGCAGGTAGCTTGGAAGGGACCGTCCGGTTGATACCCAAGGAGCACTGGAGACTCAGGGACAGGGCTGGGCCCTGAGGACCAGGATGCTCATGGGTGTCCAGCAAGTGCTCCCGGTAGCAAGCACAGTGCCAGGCCCGGGGAAAGAGATGGGACCCAGCCCCGGTCTTCAGGAAGCGTATAATCTGCAGAAGGGGACAGTCAGCAGAGCTGCTGGCTATAAGTGCCACAGGGCACTTTGGGACCTGGAGGGTAGAACCATCCCCGCTGCTCTGCGGATGGAAGATGACAGATGACACCGAGGCAGACATTAGCGCACCAGGCCTTGCCCTGGGCGATTATGCCCCCGGGGGAAGTCTGGCCCGGTCTCTTGGCACTTCTGGTTGTCACACCTGGGAGGGGTGGCTGCTGGCATCCGGTGGGTGGGGACCCGGGGTGCTGCTAGCCCCCGACAGCACACAGGATGACTCCCACCACAAAGGCCGGCCCCAAAGGTCCCTAGTGCTGTGGTTGGGAAACTGTGCTCTGACCAGCCAACCGTGTCCCCTTGTGTGACCCCACCTTGCTGTTTCTGCCCCGGGCACCTCACCTGCTGTCCTTTCATAAACGGCTCCAGAGCCGGGCCAAGCTCTTGAGTCCAGGGTCCTGAGGCCAGGAGGCTGGGTGTGTGGAAGTCAGCACCTTTCAAACCCCCGCCTGGCTTTTCTCTGACTGAAAGCCTCCTGGGTTCCTTTTCCTCACCACCAAATGCTGGGGACCCAGGAATGCAGACTGATTTTAATATGAATCTGAGGTAATGAGGGGAAATCTGCTGCTGTGAAAAACGAATTACTCAAAGCACCATGATGCCAAAGAAAAATGACTTCCGGATTACCTTCTCCTTGGAAAGATCCAGGTCACTGTCCCTGACGTTAGCAGAGACAAGCAAGAACTGACCTTGTTTGCAAGGCTCCAGAACTGAATCAGCCTTGCTCCCTGGAACTAAGGCCCGCCCAGGAACCCTCATTGCTCTGGCAGAGTTGACTGCCCTGCCCCGGGAAGACTCCCCACGCCACCCTCCTACTTTTGCAAGGGGCATGAGGGGACCCTCCCCCACAGCACAGAGGTGTGGACAGGCGCTCCAGTAGCGACCAGATGGCCGGCCGGTCCCCACCCTCCCTCTGCCCACTCCATCTTGCTAAGGTGGCTTATGTCAAACAAGGCCATCAAAATGTACAGCCCATTCCCTTGGCTAGAAATGTGTCTTCTCTTAGCTCAGCCATCCAGAGTCCCTCCTGTCCTTCCGGCACCGTGTCCTAGACTCGAGGAACAAAACAAACAGGGCAATTGTTAAAAATACCAACACCGGGACTTCAGCCCAGACTCCTGACACTGTCTCCAGGGAGGGCTCCCGGCGGGTGGAGCAGGCAGCCCAGGTGATCTGCCTGGCTGGCAAGTCCGGGAAACACGGCTCCCGGGGGCGCGCAGCAGAAGCCCCCGAAGGACTTGTTAGTTGTTTCGCAGGCCAGGGTGCCCCTCGCTGTTTCTGATTCAGAAAATCCGGGGTGCGGCCCAAGGATTTGTGTTTCTAGCATGTTCCCAGGTGAGGCGGAAGCTGCCAGTCTGGGAACAGGCGGGAAACCCCCGCCCTGGGGCATGGCTTCCTCACCCTCCATACGGCTGCCGTCATTCTTCTGTCATGGGAGCCCAGCCATTCTTTGCCGTGGGCCCGTCCTGGGCACTATCAGATGTTGAGCTGCATCCCAGTTCCGCGCACTCAATGCCAGCAGCGCCCTCCCTCCATAACCCCACCCCCGCATTGTGACAACTAAAAATGACTCCAGACACTGCCAAATGTCCCGGGGGGGCAAAATCGCCCCTGGTGTGACCCTTGCCCCTTCCCCTCCCTGCCAGCCAGACGCATGTGCTCCCTCCCTGGTGTGAATGGCCTGCGCCCGGGCCCCGAAACTTCCCTGAGGCCAGGAGACAGGGTCCCCCCCCAACCACCACCCTTGCTACTTGGAGTCAGCAGATCGGCCGCGTGCGTGCGGAGCTGGTCAGAAATGCAGGTGCTCAGGTCCTGTGACGTGAGAGGTGGCCATGTAAGAAGCCACGTCTCTACGTCTGAGCAGCAGCTGACGTCTGCTGAGCACGCACTTGGTGTCAGGTCCAGCCCTTGGAAGAGTTTCTAATGCACAGCCGAGGCTGGGAACCTCTGCCTCGGGGGGTCTTGCCTGCTTTGTATCATTTTATCCTTTCAGTGTAAGAGCTGAGTGCTCTTAGGTCCATTTTGCAGGTGGGGAAACTGAGGCTCAGAGGGATTAGAGAACCTCAGCCAAGGTTGTGGGATGAGGAAGACACACAGCTGCGACTGGAGGCTGGCTCTCGGGGCCCACGCACCTGTGCCTTCAGCCGGCTCGCTGTGAGGGCTCCTAAGCGCAGAGGCGCACCCCGGCGCTGTCCCTGCTGTCAGGGTGTGCACAGGAGTGGACTAGGCAGCCACAGCGGAGGGACAGTGGCTGGTCAGTGAGGGCGTGGCACGTTTGAGGCTGATGGCCCTGGGGCGCAAAGCATCCCAGACAGGAATCCTGCCTGAGCCACTCTAGTACCCTCCAGTCCCCCCGATGCCCTGTCATTAAAACTTGGTGCCCACCCTGGCCGGTGTAGCTCTGTTGGCCGGGTGTCATCCCACAAAGCGAAAGGTCACCGGTTTGACTCCCAATCAGGGCACATGCCTGGGTTGCGGGTTTGATCCCTGGTCATGGCCATGGAGAGAGGCAACCGATGGACATTGCTCTCCTTCTCTTCTTCCTTCCCTTCTCTCCCAAAATAAATAAAATCTTAACAAAGGAACCTGGTCCCTGACCACTGTGGCTGGCCTGGCTCTCTCCCTCGGCAATTCCCAGTGCCTTTGCTAGTAATTGTCCAGTTCAGCTGGTAACATGGGATGGCCCTGTTCTGACGGTCCCCTCTGCTCTCTCCCACAGTACACTCCCAGCATGAGGGCCACCTACCTGTCCCTGGCAGATGAACACCTGCGGCACTACGGCAATGAGTTTCCAGCCTAACAGCCTTTCAGAGGGCCCTGCCTCCTTGATCCGTTTTGGTTTGTCATGAATTCACATGAGAGCTGCGTTTCTTCAATAGAAACCAAAGGCACGTGGACGCTGCTTGCAGGACGGGATGGGTCCTGTTCCCACTGAGGAGCCACCGAGAGTCCGGCAGCGTCACCCCAGCTCGGCTGCCCCAGGCAGACGGAAGACCAGCCTCTCCCTCTCCAGCCTCCTCTCCACACCAGAAACAGGTCCTTTCAGTGTAAGAGCTGAGTGCTCTGAGGTCCATCAGCTGCTTGGCTGTCCCTAAGCGGGCAGCCTGGTTCGGCTCACCCCACACCCCGCCCTCGCCAGGTGGGGAGGAGCAGTGAGGAGGGGCTAGGCCAAGCGATCTCTCTCTCTCTCTCTCTCTCTCTCTCTCTGAGTTACCCGTCTCCTCCTGGCTGCATGGATGGGTCGCATTTTCCTGTGGGTAAAGGCAGAATGCTGATCTAGAGGTGCTTTTAAGGAAGGCAATGTCCTCAGTGAGACCAGAAACTGTCCAAATCAGCCCCCCGGAGCTTGGGGGCCCCTTCTGAGCCACAGTGGGGAGGTGCTCTGCATCGGAGGCAGGGGGCCCCAGGGCCAGGGGACCGCAGCCTCATGCCTGGCAGGTTTCTACAGGGACACCCGGCGGGAGTAGGGGAGACTGCCAGCCTCGCTGCGACCCTCCCTTCCAAAAGCGATGCTGCGGTGGTTCACAGCAGACAGGGACGGTCTCAGGTATTAACACACTTTGAAAGCAACTGTAACTCTTTTTTTTTCCCCAGTGTTTTACATACTTTGATTATCCAAAGAGTTGAACCTCAAAGCACATCCCGTTTTTATAACAGACTTGGGGCCCGTTCCATACACTAGATTTATGTCGCATCCCTCTTCAGATTTTGCTGACACCCGCCAGCTCTTTAAGGATCCAGGGTTGGGGGAGGGGGGACTTTAAACAAAGTAAAGATGAGACTTCCAGTCCTAAGCTGCTGTTTGATGGGAACGTGTGTCCATCCCCCTCCCCCAAGATCCTTTAAGAGAGGAAGGAAGGGCAAGCAGCATGGACGGCCCCCTCCAGGGGAATGGCCAGCCAGTGTTCCCCTCCCTTTTGTCTTCAAGTGAGTTTGTCCGTAAAGGTTTTAGCAAAGCTGGAGAACTGTGTCTTGAAACGAAGACAGATGTCTTCCCTACCTCCCCCACCTCCCTGTCCCCACCCCATTGTCCCAGGCCCCCATACTGTACCTGCTGGGTGAGAAGGAGCTTGTTCACCAGGAGAAACTAATAACCCATCATTCTGCCTGTTGAGGAGCTGGGGTCAGGGTCTTCGGCGCTGCCAACATCCTGCCAACTCGGAGTATCAGCACGGAAGCCTCCACTGCCTCACACGCCAAAGCAGGGACACTGGGTGGCATGGCTTGGGACAGGGGCTCTGTTTCCATTTTGGAAGAGCCACCTTCTCCTCAAAACAATGACAGCAGAGTGGTTCTCAGCCCCCAGCCAAGCCCCCATAACGCAATGGGGCCGCAGGGCAACCAGCACTCTCAGCTGCATTAAACCTCTACGAACCGTGTACCATAAACACACCTTTGTATGGCCACGTCGTGGACAGGTAGAAGCCCCGTGACAACAAGCTGTTGCTTCTTAATCTTTCATTATTGGCCACTAGAGAGTTGTTTTTAATGCATGAAAACTAAACTAGAACCCGTGCGTGGTTCCTGGAGGAGCCAGGCAGGCACCGCTCTGCTTGGTGCCTGCGCGCCCTCGCCGGGGGACAAATAAACCACTTGTACTAAAATGTGCGCTCACAGTGTCCGATTTCCTTGGCTGCGGGGATGAGGAGGGGACTGAGGGGTCACTTTTGGCTGGGTTATGCCGTCGAGAGCTTCAAAGCAGATGTCAGTAACGATTTCAGTGTGAGGACTGAAAAACGGCTACTGAAGGAACGTCCCAGCCTCTCATTTGGCCCCTTAGCTGCTCTTTCACTCAGACCCTGTTTCTGCCCTAGTCTTTCTCCAAAGTTCCTTGTAACGGTCATTGCTCTTAATGTTGCTAATAATAAGAAGCATGCATTGAACACCTGCGATGTACCAGAGACTGTCCCAAGTATTTGTTCATTGTTAATCAAACCCACAATAACCCTATGGGGTCACTCATTTTGCAAATAAGCCAACAGAGGCGCAGAGGGTAACTTGGAGCAAGTGCCAGAGCGTCAACCCAGAAGCCCAGCTGGGTGCCTTTGTGCAAAGCTGAGGGGGCGGGGCAGTGGCCCCACAGCGGGCCGCTGCCGCTAGCTCTGCCATGGGTCCTTCCCGTTGTGGCCATTTGGTCAGACTGCGGATTCTTATACGACCTGCGAGGGCAGCTTGGCAGCAGAGAGGAGGCTGGGGTTATAACTTCCACGTCGTGGATGAGGACACTGAAGAGTGGGTAGTCAAACGACCTGCCAGGTCACAAGCAAGTAAATGAATACCAGAGCCCGGCATCACCAACCAGGGCTCAGGGCTCGGAGCACTGACTACAAATCGGCGTTTTCTCCGGATCCTGCCCAGCGCCCATTTGTAGACTTGGGTAAGCGCCTTGGCAGAGCCCCTACAAACGTTTATTGTCACCCGCGTGTGGCTAACTCTCGCTTAATTTCCCTCCTAACTCTGGAGGCCTCCAGAGGAGAGACGAGGGAACCGCGGCGCTTAGGTCTTTCCGGGCCCCGAGGTCACGTGCTCCACACCCCTGCGCCGCAGCGTCCCCCGGCCGGTCAGGTTGCTAGGCAACGGGTCGACGCCGCGGCTCGGAGCCGTTGGAGCGGCGCTGGGGAAGGCCCTGCAGCTCGCGCGTTCCCCCGGCAGCCCGGCGGCAGCAGAGCGGACCCAGAATACGGGCGGCGCGGGAGAACGTCTGCGGCTGAAGAGGAGAGCGGAGAGTGAAGGCGGGAGCCTCAGAGGGTAATAATCACCGAGAGAACGAGGAGTTCCTGCTGGGGGCGTCCTCCGGGGATAGCTCCGCCGGGTGGTGGATGTCAGGACTAGCGCTCTTAGGGGGCCCTCCCCGTTGGCCCTCGCTGCCCTCCGAAGTTCCTTGTAACGGCCATTGCTCTTAATATTGCTAATAATAAGTAGCGTGCATTGAGCACCTGCAATGTACCAGGGACTGTCCCAAGTATTTATGTTCATTGTTTTTAGACGCGGGACCCTGCAAGTGCTCAACACCTTGCCTCCTGCACCCCCTACTGCCAGTCAGCAGTCCTGCTACGCCCTGCCTCCGGGAGGGGGCGGGAGGCCGCTGCAGGATTTAACAGCTGAATGGATGGGAAATACAGCCTGCGCTGGGGTGGGTGGCGCGAGGGTGGGCGTCCAGAGGAGAGCTCGCTGGTGAGAATGGAGGGAAGGGCACTTACAGCGGCTGAGCACCTAGTGGGCGGCAGGTCCTGGAAATGCACCGGTCCATCTAGTCCTCAAGGCTAATCACCAATTCAGAGCCAGACGGGTCCGGGTCCTGGCTCTGTCTGCACTTATGTGCTCTTACCTTTGGCAAGGTACTTGATGTCTCCACGCACCGGTTTGTTCATCTGCAGAATGAATTGTGGTAACTGTTTGGGGGGAGGGGGCTCGCAGAGTGCCTGTGGCCGCGTTCACAGCGCGCCCCGCAGGTCCTTAAAGATTCTGGGTCTTCATCAGGTATATGAAGTTCAGATATTTCCTCCAAGTCTGTGTCTTGCCTTTTCATTTTCTTAATGTTGTCCTTTGAAGTGCAAAAGCTTTCAATTTTAATGAAGTTATTGTTTTTTTCTTTTATGAACTGTGCTTTTGATGCCACATATAAGAAATCTGATCCAAAAAAGCCTTAATTGGGGTCACAAAGATTTTCCTCTATGTTCTTCTACCTAAGATTTATGGTTTTTTGCTCTTACATCTATGCCTGTGATCCATTTTTAGTTCATTTTTGTATGTGGTGCGAGGTAGGGGTCCACAGTCATTCTCTTACGTGTGAATGTCCAGTTATCCAAGCACCATTTTCATGCTCAGCTAGCTTGTGAGTTGCCTTAGTACTTTTACTGAAGATCGGTTGACCATAAAATGTAAAGGTTTGTTTCTGAACTCTCAGGTTCGTCCCATTGATACATATATACATCTATCCCTATGCTAGTACAACAGTGTCTTGAATATTCAGAGAATATTCAAAGAAATTTAATATTGTTTGCTGAAAAAGTGAAGTAATGAAACTATAATTAGAACTAATACAAAGCATACAGTTGGTACTCATAAAACCTGTGGATTCCTAGCAAAGTCTATGTAATTAGATTTTTTTTAATAGACTCATTTAAGAGTGCCCCAGAAGGCATTCATAGATGCCAACTGCAGTACAAAGTTGCTTGGTAAAGCAAATGACTACTGTAACATTTCTGTTGCATTTTTTAATCTGTTCCCTAAGTTTAGATATTTGTCTATAGGGTTTACATAAAGCAGGGAACATGTCCTCCAAGCATTTTTCTACCAGGTCCCTTTATCATTCAAAGATATCCGCACCTGCTCACAGGTGACAACCTTCGGGTGACAAACTCTCAGGTGTTGAAAGGCCTCCGATGTGAGTCCTACCGTGGCAAGACTCTTGTAGAATCAACCTTCCTCCTGCCCCCACCCCCGTCCCCAGCCACTCACCCAACGGCTCCCTCCCTCGCCCCCGGCAGGCCCCACGGCCCCACAACCTGAGCCCTCAGGGACTTGCCACCAGAGGCCCGCGTTCCGAGAGTTAGGAGTGGCCAGCACAGGAACAGCTCCGCGCAGCTCCACAGCTGGCAGACCCCATCCATCAGGTGACCGGCAGTTTAAGCCAGTGAGGAGCATCAGCCCCCCTAGAGTCTGCTGCTGTGAGAGGGGTTAGAGGGGTCTGGGTCTCTTTTGGGCCGAGAGGAGAACGTTTTGTGAGAACTGTCCACTGCATTTTTAAGTCTCCCAAGCAGCACCAGTAAAGAAAACCCTTCCTTGCATTGCATCCGAGCACTTGCTTTTTCCACACTCTTCCCAAGCGTGTCAGGTCTCAGAATGACTGAGTGAGTGGCCCGGCCAAGGTCAAGCAGCTGGTGAGTGTCAAGGCGAGAACTTGAAGTCCAGACCTGGCCCGGCCTGCTTTCCAGTTCCCCGCTGTGCCTTTACAACCCATAGCACAAATCAGAGGGTTTCTCGAAGGCCTGACTATTCTGCCTGTTGCGGAAATGGTCCGGCCTTCCCTCCTCCTGTCCTTGGCGGAGTGGCATGGAGGGAGGAGGTTCCAGGGGGCTGCAGAGGGTGGCAGAGGGTAGAGTCCGGTAACCTAGGACTCTGCCATGGGCGAGCCTTTGGACAATCCGGTGGTTGAGTGGGACACTTTCTAGAAAGGCCCAAGGCGCTCAAATTTTTGTGCTGTATAATCAGATCCAGTGCCAGGCAAGAAATTTAGCCCAACATAATCACCATCCTCCTGCCTTTCTATAGACATATTAGCTCAGTAAAAACTGGATCTTTTCAAGAGCTTTGTAGTTGGGCAGCCCAGCTCTACCCAGCTCTACTTACCATCTCTGTGATCCCGACATCTCTGAACAGCTCTGAGTATTGGATTCCTCCCAGGTAAAATGGAGATTTTATGGTCCACTCAGAGGGCAGCGGCAAGGGCTGAGCAAGATAATGCCTAGCACATCGTCGTAACTCAGTGAATGATTTCTTAAAATAAAGATTCAGCTTCTGGACAAATCCCCTAGAACCCCTCCCCTCAACCAGATTGGGGACCTGGAGCCGTGTCCCCACCCCCGGCAAGGCCCGTGGGCCCCGGGCAGCAGCAGCCAGGCAGGCCCCCCGACCCCCCGCCACTGCACACTCTCCCTCTGCCCCTGCAGCCGCCGCCACCATGGAGATCGTGTACGTGTATGTGAAGAAGCGAAGCGAGTTCGGGAAGCAATGCAACTTCTCCGACCGCCAGGCAGAGCTGAACATCGACATCCCGCCCAACCCCGAGCTGGCCGAGCAGTACGTGGAGCGGAACCCCGTGGACACAGGCGTTCAGTGCTCCACCAGCATGTCGGAGCATGAGGTGGGTCCCTGCCCTGGGGCCTGGCCAGTGAAGGTGTGGTCTGGGTGACTTCCGCCACCTGGAAGCCAGGTAGAGAGGACCAATGTGGGCGCTGGAAACGTGGGGGCAGGCGCGCCCCACGGAGGCCAGGTCGAGAGCAGACGCAGCGCCCAGCAGTCCCTGGACCAGGCGAGTGCCCGTCAAGATGTTCTCTCTCCCAGGGCCTCTGGCCTTCCCTTTAAGACTCTAGCGTCGCTCAAAGCATTTGGTACAGAAAAAAGACATGTTCTGAGAGGGTGGAGTTTTGTTTTATTTTATTATTATTTTTTTTCTTAGAGAGAGAGAGGAGGGAGAAAGAGAGGGAGAGAAACATCAATGCAAGAGAGAAACATTGAGTGGTTGCCCCTCACACACACCCCGACAGGGGACCCAACCTGCAACCCAGGCGTGTGCCCTGACCAAGAGTTGAACAGGCGACCTTCGCTTTGCGAGGCAATGCCCAACCAACTGAGCCATGCCGGCCAGGGCAGGAGGGCGCAGAGATTTCTCCCCACAGTCAACCGCCCAGCTGTGAAAAGGGAAGGTTGCCGTAGAAAGTTCTGGTCAGAGGGACCCCCAGATAAGGGAACTGGGTCACGTTGCTGTTCAGTCTCCCAGCGAGTTCCCCGCCTGTCTGAGCCAGATGGTCAGCTCCTGATTATATCAGGAACTGCTGAGAGAAAATTAGATTGAAGGCGATAACCCATTTATCATGTCCCAAATCAACCGAGTGAAAATCACATTTGATTCAATCAAAACACGTGGTGAATGGGGTGAATGGCTCCAATAACTCACAGTTCAAAGGAACGGCAACGGCAGGTCTTGCTTTCCCAGGGCTAATTGCTGTCACGGAGACCAGGGCCATTTGGCCATGGCATAGAGATGACGGCCACAAAGGCCACACATCAGGGTCTCCTGTCAGCAGCTCTGCCCTGCGAAGACGTCTCCCTTTTGTGGGAGCTGCTTAAAAACGGACAGGGGAGGGAAGGGACTGCCGCGGGGGCACGGGGTTTCCACTGGGGGTGACGAAGACGTTCAGGAAGCAGAGAGCGGTGTCGGTGACACAGCGTTGTGAATGTCCCTAACACCACTGAATTGTGCCCTTTACATATTTAAAGCGGTGAAATTCATGTCACATGTATGTTACCACAGTTTTTTAAATGGGAAAAGATGGAAAGGAGGCAAACTGGTAAGTTTAGGGGGTAAAACTGTTTCCACCCCCCTCCCTGCCACGGAGAGTAATGGGCAAAGCAAATCCAGTCTTGGCTGTTCCTATGTTCCATTCCTGTGACACCGTGGGTGGCGGGGCAGGGAAGGAGGTTCACTTCTTTTTCCTTTGGGATCTTACGGAACAGACGGGTGGGGCCCCGGTAAGGTCGGAAGTGGGTTTTCCATGGCCAGAGCATCAGCTGCAAAGCTGCTAGCCCCACACAGTGGCACGTGCATGGTTGCCTGTGGCCCCTGACGACCAGTGACCACCTTCCTGGTCCCTGAAAACCTTGTGGTTTTGGCCGAAGACACTTCATCGGTCCATCCCTGAGCGCTCAGGGCCTCCAGATCCTGGGTTGCAGAAGCGGCTGCGTGCTCACACCAGAGGCAGGTGTACTCACCCGGGGTTCTCTGTTCAGGCCAACACAGAGCGAATTGAGATGGAGACCCGGGGTGTCAACCACATCGAGGGCGGCTGGCCCAAGGATGTGAACCCCCTGGAGCTGGAGCAGACGATCCGCTTCCGGAAGAAGGTGGAGAAAGACGAGAACTACATCAACGCCATCACGCAGCTGGGCTTGGTGAGGCTCCCTCCGGCTCCAGCGGCCAGAGCCGCGGCTATCACTCCGCGTCCCCAACCCCATGTCAAGCCCCGATGTGCCTGGCCCTGTGCTCAGCTGCTGTGGCCACACAGGGGAAGACCACAAGCTACCTTAGGGACCTTCTGGCTGGGCGCGGGCAGACAGTCCCCCACAGCCGACCGGAGGGGAAGGTGGGGAGGTATGGAGGCTGAACAGGCTTTAGAAAGAGTCTGAAAAGTAGCCCTTTGGGCAAAGAGAACCCCCAAGAACCCCACCCACCAGCTACCTACCAGTAGAGAACATTTGTTCATTCAACACACTTGGACCAAACTTCTGGAGCCAGACACAGTAAAAGAGTACAAAAATAAAACTCACATACACCCTGCACCAAAGAGTTGATAATCCACCAGAGGTCAAAGACAAATACAGAGAGATCACTTCAGAATGTAGAAAGACATGCTGTAGAAGAAGGGATGACTTGCCATTTTGCCCCATAATGAGAGAGAGTTGATTTCCTACTGAAGGGATCGGGAAGGCTTCCTGGAAGAGGTGGCACTTGAGCTTGGGCTTTTCCCTGATGGACATTTGGAATAATGGGACGGGCTTTCTGGGTGAAGGAACCAGAAGATGGGTGCTATATATGGAGTCACAAGTACTTCTGTTTGGCTGGAGCCATGTTTCTTCACCTTTTTTTCATTGTTGTCCCCAAGGAACGTTTTTAGACATGCTTTTCCTAATTGCCTCCCCCCATGAAATTTCAATGCCACAGGTATGCCAAGTATCTGTTCATGTACTGTATGTACATCTGTGCTTTGTACATAAAAAGTAATATTATTTTACCACTGAGAACCAATTTTCATCCTGTTGGGCGTGATGCTGTCTCACTGAAAATGTGTGAGCTGGAAGGGCGCGGAAGGACCGCCCTTTACCACTGATAATGCCCGGTGTGTCCTCAGATCATGGAGCACTGCATCAAGCAGAACAATGCCATCGACATCTACCAGGAGTATTTTGATGACGAGGATGCCGTAGAAGTGACAGAAGAGGCCCCTTCAGCTAAAACCATCAATGTTTTCAGGTATTGCTATAGTTAGGCACGTGCTGGCCAATCCCTGTCACCTCTGTGGGTGGGTGTTTCCAAACATGACTCCTTATCGAGCCCTCTGTGCTCCCGGGTTGATCTGGGGCAGGGCAGCATAGCGCCCAGCAGCCGAGTGGTCCCTACCCTGGGGGCGGGCCCGGTTGGTGGGAAGGGAGGACGGAGGCTGGCGAGAGAGGACGTGAATGCGCAAAGCTGTGCGCAGGGAGGACCGAGTCACGCGGCAGAAAGCGAGCGCGAAGTGCTGAGCAGCAGCGATCCAGCTCCCCGCGGGCAGTAGGACCCCGTGCCCCACTCTCAGGAGAGTGGACCTGGGAACAACCTCTAAGGACAGCAGCTTGACGGCAGGAATTATCACACAGAGACACGTGTGTGACAACACTGTGCATGAATGGATCACAATTTATCCACTCACTGAAGGACAGTTTGGTTGTTCCAAATTTTAAGAACTAAGAATAAAGCTGCTACAAACATCCGCATGCAGGTTCTTGTGCGAATGTAAGTTTTCCACTCATTAGAGCAAAATACTGGAGCAAGGTTGCTGAATTCTGCAGGCTCCCTTTTATTTTCCTATTAATGAGAAATCAAGCCTCAGGCTCAAAATGTTCAGCAAATAAAAACAGCACACTGGAATTTCATATTTTCTTTCCATTGTTTTCATTTTTATTGTTAGCTTTTATTTATGGCTCTTGAGATTGGTGTTCTGATAAGTCTCATAAACTTTGTTTCTGTGTTTATGCTTAAGTAGGTTTGAAAATTTTAAAGAAAAGAGTAAGTAAGACATTTGGGGGCCTTGCGCCACAGCTTTCCGCCCTTTGCTCCCCCGAAGGGACCCCCAGGAGATCAAGCGGTCAGCCACACACCTGTCCTGGCACCCCGATGGCAGCAGGAAGTTGGCAGTGGCCTATTCTTGCTTGAATTTTCAACGGGCACCGGAGGGCATGAGCCACGAGTCCTACATCTGGGACCTGGGTGAGAACCAGAAAGGCCCAGTGGCCAGGGAAACCTGAGGGAGAGGGCCAGGGGAGCGGCAGGCTGGGGGACCCCAGGGAGGGACGGGCACCAGGAGGAAGCCTCTCATTCCATCCCTGTTGGGGGTTCAGGTGCAGTCAAATCAGGGAAGCAGCAAACCCGCTTCATTGCCAGGTCTGTAACCAGGGCCTTCAAGACCATATCCCATGCGGTCCCAATTCTAGGCCCCTGAAGAGAGTATCAGCTAGAACCACATCAGGAGACTGAGAAGGGACCCACGGGGGAAGGGAGAGGACTCACCTCCGCCCTACCTTTCCAAGTGCTTGACCTTAATTCATGGCAAATAGGAGCAGCATGCCCCGCCCCCAAGCACGGACCATTGTTGACAGAGGGGCTCACTCCAATGGCAAAGCCTGGCAGGAAGCAGGCGATGGTGGGTGTCACGCTCTCCCATGTCCCTTACTGTTGTCATTGAGAAAATGAACGTAAGCCGTTAGTAGTAGGGGTAGGTGCCAGGCAGAGATCTGGGCACTCTGCCCTTGAGCAGCTCAGCGTGCTGTGTGGTGGGCCGTCAAACCCTCAGAATACAGACAAGCAAACCTTAGGCTCAAACCCTCCTCCCGCACCAAACCTGGGAAATGGACTTGAATTACAGTTACACGCGCACACACCCACAGCTGCGATTCCCCAAAATAAAGCCATTAGAAGAGCGCTAGGGTCAGACCCTGGCCGTGGGGCCCGGGGTGGCAGCCCCGGGAAAGGCTTCCAGGCCACCCCCCCAGCCCCCGCTGTTTGGCCCCTTGCTCTCCTTTCCAGGCCTGGTGGGATATTCTGAGATTTTCCCCCCTGCTCTATAGAAAACCCCAACAAGCCCGAGATTGTCCTGAAACCGCCATCTCCTCTCATCACCTTGGAGTACAACCCCAAAGATTCCCACGTGCTCCTGGGAGGCTGCTACAACGGGCAGATCGGTAAGCGGGGCTGGGTTCTTAACCGCCAAGCGCCTTGGTGCAAAGACCTTTTTCACCGGGCAAGCTCTGAGTCCAGTCGACTACTGGCAAGCTTGCAAGTGGGGTCTTCACGGGGAGCCACCAGGCAGGTCTGAGAACGACAGTTCTTTGGACAGGAGACCTGACAGAGCTCCAACCCCACGGCGCCCCTCCTGTGGCTGCCGGGCTACGGTCTCCCCAGGAAAGCGGGGTGTCGTTTTTTCACAGCTCCCGTGGAATGGAGAGCGTGGCGTCTTACATAGGACAAGTTAAAATGCAACAAAACTCACTGTTCTTACCAAGGGTCAGCTGTTTTTCTTGACGCAACGCATTTTGGACTCCTGCAAGCCTCTGCCTAATTTCCAGAGTTCTAAAAAAGTCTATTGTGACTGTTTTTTAGTAAGTTTTCTCATTACTTTTATGAAAGAGAAGGTTTTCAGAGGTCCTTGCCCCACTATCGTTGCTGGTCGCGCACCCAGAAAAGCGAGCCTTTGAATTGCTAGTGAGATCGGGAGAGACCCACCCACGTGGACGCTGAACGCCCCTGGCTGCTCTCCACCGCTGTCCCTGGAGCAGCCAGTTGCTCACCCCGCCCCGTCTGCACCCCAAGCCAGACTTGGAGGCGGTGGGCATGAAAGGGCTCCCCACCCTCCTGCCTCCAGAGCCTCTTAGCCTCCCCTTCTTCTTCCGGGGGGCAGGAGCCAATTATGACTGGGCCAGTTCTTGTCAGAAACGCTCTGGGGCCACCGGCCGACACCGCTGATCTCCCTCTCAGACCTGCTGCCGCCTTCCTGGGGAAGCCGCCAGGTCAGGGAACAGACGCGGGCTCCTCTAACCCCCCTGCCACGTCCCCAGTGCCAGGGCTCTGAGAGCCGGAAGTGGAGCCACGCTGCCATGTTTTATTCAGGAGCCCTGCCTCGCTCATCATTCAGTGCCCGCGCAGTGGCTACCCTGTGCCTGCTCGGGCCAGCCCGGGCTCCGGGGCTCCGCCGCCTGTAAGGACCGCCACAGCGGGACCCACCCTTGGGCTCTCCTTTGCCCAAGCAGAGCAAGCTCAACTGAAAAAAAACCCTTGCCAGGCCAGGGTGGTGCGGGGCGAGTGCTCTAGACTTGGATTCCGTAAATCAACGCTTAAGGGCCAAGTACTTCTGTTGTTTGTCTCACAATGTCAGCTTTCCTAGAAACAGCTCTGAGTAACAGGGCGGGTCCTTGCTGTTCACTTGTGGGAAAATGGAAACAAAATCTATTAGGGCAGAAAGCAGATAAGCTTTGGTGTTTCTGGTAAAGCAGAAGAGGTGAAACACTAATAGGGGTCGGAGTAAAGGGCGAAGCTGCCTCTGCGACTTATGTTTTCCCATCAGAGGCAGCCAAGGCACAGCGGATAAAGGGAATGTGTTTATGCAGCAGGAGACATGCACCAAATGCACGTTTACTTTCGGGAGCTTCTCCCTGTGGCGGAGGCGCTCCTCTCTCTCTGCCTAGCTCACTCCATCCCCGGCTCTTCCTCTGTCTTCGTTCCCTCTCCCCTCCTCCAGGAAGCTCTCCTGGACCACCCTCTTGTGTCCCCCACCGGAGAGATTGCATCATGGGCTGTGTTTGCAGGGCCCCTTCCTGCCTCCCAGGCACAGTGCCTGTCCTATTCTGAGCAGCTTCCCCAGGGCCCAGGGTGGCACTCAACGCTGGCAGGAGGTCAGCAGAATGAATGCCACGTGCACTCTGGGAGCCTTTGCACAAAGCTTGTGTGGGGGCTTCAGGGCCCCACAGGAAACTCAGGCTGGTGTGAACCAGGCCCCGGTTCTAAAAAACCGCATACCTGCCAAACCAAGAGAAGCAGCACCCCTGTGCCCCCTTCTCCCCGTACCAGGAAAGGAGGCCTGCGCCCTCGTTCACCTGCCCCCGTTTCCTCCCCGCCAGCCTGTTGGGACACCCGGAAGGGCAGCCTGGTGGCGGAACTGTCCACCATTGAGTTTAGCCATCGAGACCCCGTGTACGGCACCATCTGGCTTCAGTCGAAGACGGGCACGGAGTGCTTCTCGGCGTCGACAGACGGGCAGGTACAGACGGGCAGGCCCTGACCGGCCAGGCGCCGTGGGGGCGGGGGATGGGCAGCAGTGACAGTTACCAGGTCCCCAGCCGGACTCACCACGGGATGTTTCCTTTTGCTTCTTATTTTTAAATTGAAAAACAGGTAATACACACACGCGGGACAAAATGCAACAGGTACAGAAGGGCCGGCGAGCCTTGCAGTGGCCCTCCCGGCAGGCACCCGGGCGCCCGGCTCCTCCGTCCTCCTGCAGAGACAGTCTCTGCGAACGGAGGCACACGCACGTGTCTCCTTCGCCCTCTCTTTGCACACCTTACACATGGACCGTTCTTCATTTGATGTATCTTGGAGATGATTTCACATTTCCTAAACCACTGCCCTGGGCCTGTTAAGGGCCGCAGTGGGTATGGGACAATTTATTTAAGTGGATGTTAATACTTTGTCGTTACCAAAAAATGCAGCAGAGTGTTGTTATACTCATGTGAAGGTACACCGACAATATCCGTTCCTGGCAGAGGGCTTCCTGGGTCAACGTGCATGCGCATTTATAACATTGCCCTGTTGCAGGGGGCCTGTGAGATGCAGGTGCTGGACCACACCTGGTGACTTTGACACAGCAGGTCTGGGCCGAGGCCCCAGCGCCTGGCTTTTGTGACGCTCATGCATGACCCTGATGACCAGACCGGCTTGGGACTGTAGACCAGGGAAGTCATTCTCAAAGCGTATTTGTCCCAGTGGGCTGTACACCTCTGTCGCATGCCCTGTTGACCACAATGACGGACGCCAGGGAGTTGGAGGAGGTGTGGGGGACATGAGCCAGGAGAACGGCAGGACCTCAGGTCTTGAAGTTGTCCCCCCCCACCATCAGGTCATGTGGTGGGATATCCGGAAGCTGAGTGAGCCCACCGAGGTGGTGATCATGGACATCACGAGAAAGGAGCAGCTGGAAAATGCCTTGGGGGCCATCTCCCTGGAGTTTGAGTCAACTCTGGTGAGTGTCCCTTCCTCTCTCTTCCCCTGCTTCTGTAGCCAGGGCAGCTGGAGCCAAGAGCGGGCGGTGGCTGGTGTATCAGGTGCTGGCGAGCCCCAGGCTGCTGCTTGCCTTGCGCCCTGTGCAGGTCCAAGGAGCATCTTCCTGGAGCTGGAGGGGCTTTTACAATGACTTGCCAGCAGGGGGCAGCAGAGCTTCCTGAGGAAGGAAGCCATTGTCATTCCCAAGAAGTTCCTGGCTTGGCTAGTGGCTGAGCTGGACAGAACGCAAGCTTTCAGACAGGGCCAGATTCCAGAAAAGCCCCCATTCTGTGTGAGAGGACCACCCCGGGACCAACATCAGGAGCCAGGCTCTGCCTCTGCCTTGCATGGGACCCTGGGCTGGTCACTGCACTTCCTGGAGGGAAGTACCGGACAAACCGTAGCACAGGCGTCATAACAGAACTCAGTAATGAGAAGCAACAGTAAAGACCAAAGGTGGACAGTAACGTGAATGTGTCAGAAGAGGGGAGCTTCTAGAAACAGCTAATGAAGACTCCCTCCAAAGGCGGGGGGCAGGGAGGAATCCAGCTTTCTTAGATGGCCCTTGGCTTGGGCTGGCTTCTGGTTTATGACTCTCTGAAGCCCAGTCCTGCACCCCCCCCCCACCTTGGAATTGCTACTGGTTTGCTCTTGGTTCCCGTGGCATCGTGTCTCGGCCCCTGAGTGGGGAGGTCCTCTGCCTCGCGCTTGCCCTGGGCACCCTCACCCGAGGCTGGGGGATGGACGCTGACAGGGTGAGGTGAAAGGCAGCCAACCCCGGGCACAGAGGTCGAGGAGGGAGGGCTCAGAGACCACTCTGCCCTGGAGCCAGGCGTTTCCGGGCCAAGCGCTAGACCTCGTGACTGTGCCGCCACCAGTCCGACCTCCCTCGTGCCTGTCACTGAGTGCACACCCTGTGCTGGACACTCGTAACTGCCTTATGGGATGTGCTTGTGGAATCACCTGTGACCATCTTGGGAGGTAAAGTTATTATCCCTGATTCACTCAGATAAGCCTCGAGTCTTAGTGAGGTCGAGCCGTGTGCTGCAGAACGTGAAGCTGGACCCCCTCCAGGGCTCCGACTGCAAGGCCCGGACCCCACCGGACCCGCGCACCCCGGGACCGCGGCTGGAGGCGTGACAGGCCATCCAGCTCTGGGGTAGCGCGTCTCCCCTGCCAGCTTGCAGGAGCCCTGTAGTCGTCTTTATTACTTACTTTCCAGGACCTCTTACGCTGTCTCCTCATTTTCCTTTGACCACCCAACTTATAGATGTTATTTTTTTTTAATTGTATTTTTTTACATTTTAACACGAAATTTACCATCTTAACCATTTTTAAGTGTGCAATTCAGTAGTGGTGAGTGCATTCACATGGTTGTGCAACGGGTCTCCAGCTCTTTTTCATCTTGCAAAACTGAAACTCTATACTATATATATTGAACAACAACTCCATGTTGTCCCCTCCCCCAGCCCTTTCTACTTCCTGTCCCTATGAATGTCACTCCTCCAGGTACCTCATTTAAGTGGACTCTTACGGTATTTGTCCTTGTATGACTGGCTTATTTCACTTAGCATAACATCCTCCTGGCTCATCCACACTGTGGCAGGCGTCAGAATTTCCTTCCTTTTTAAGGCTGAGTGATGTTCCGTTGTACAGACAGACCGCACTTGGTGTACACGTTCATCTGCCGCCAGACCCTTGGCCGCTTCCAGCTCTTAGCACGTGAATAACGCTGCCATGAACTCAGGCGCGCAGCGTAGCCCAGTTTTGCAGGGAATAGCTGGAGTTGGGGGAGGGGCTCTCCCAGACTCACGTTTTATATTACTCATTCAATCAATTGCTCGGCCTGTAAAGAGACATTCAGGACCTTTATGCCAAAATACCTCGTGGACACAGTGGTGCGGCGTGAAGAGGGCTGGCGATGAGCCTCCAGAGCTGGAAGAGTCAGGGGGGCCTCATTGAGCGCAGGGCCCTTGAGCACGTTGTTAAGAAGGGTGGGGCCTGATGCGGCAGGGAAGCGGGGGCAGCTCTCTAGGGGTGGGTGGGACACAGCCCGAGCGGAGGCTGAAACCGGGGGTCGCCCCGGAAGGCTGCTCGCCATGCCAGCCAAGTCGGGCCTGGCGTTGCGCGGAGGCTGCCACTCCTGTCGCCCCTCCACAGCCAACCAAGTTCATGGTGGGCACCGAGCAGGGCATCGTCATCTCCTGCAACCGCAAGGCCAAGACACCGGCCGAGAAGATCGTGTGCACCTTCTCTGGCCACCACGGCCCCATCTACGCCCTCCAGAGAAATCCGTTCTACCCGAAGAACTTCCTGACCGTCGGCGACTGGACCACCCGCATCTGGTCAGAGGAGAGCCGCGAGTCGTCCATCATGTGGACCAAGTGAGGGGGCAGTTGGGAGGTCGGCAAGGGATGCAGGAGGGTGGAGGGGACAGAGAGGGCAGCCCTGCTCAGGAGTGGCCTGAACATCTGCATGTCCACCCATAAAATGAAGAAAATGCCCCTCTCCAAACACCCATGCTTATGCCAGGAAGTGGCCTGATCCAGCCCCTTCACAGGGGAGCGCGCTGCAGACCGCCTGGGTCGGCGATAGCGACAGCCAGGAGTCCCTTTCCGTAACCCTCAAGACAACTCTAGGTGTAGGTGGCATTGCTGTCCGGTCACCTCATCGTTTGTGTGAGGGAACCGACCTTCAGGGAGGCAAAGCCACTTGCTCCCGATCTCCCAGTGGGCGACCACATATTGATTATCCATTTATATGTCCGTGGACACCCGGTTGCTTTCACCTCTGAGTTGTGACTAAAGATTCTATGATCTCAGGCACACAGTTTTGCAGTGAGTACCTGGAGGTGGAGGGCGGGGGGGGGGGGGCTCTTCCAGACTCACGTTCTGCATTACCTGTTCGATCATTTACTTTATCTGTAGTCACGCATGCAGGATCTTTATGGCAAAATGCCTCATAGACACTTTTTTTGAGGAACCTCCATACTGCGTCCCACAGTGGCCGCACCCATTCACATTGCCTCCAGCAGTGATCGAGGGTCCCCTTTTCCCTGCATCCTCGCTCGCACTTGCAATCTTTTGCTTTTCTAACAGTAGCCGTTATAACAGGCAACGTAGTATCTCGCTGCAGTGCTGATTTGCATTTCCCTGATGATGAGTAGTGCTGAGCGCCTTTTCATGTACCTGTTGGCCATTTCTATGCCTGTTTTGGAGAAATGTCTGTTCAGATCCTTTGCCCATTTTTAAGTTGGGTTCGTTTTTGTTCTTTCCCCACCCCCACCCCCATTCAATTGTATGAGTTCCTTATATATTTTAGATATTAACCCTTTATTAGATATATGGTGTACAAATATTTTCTCCCATTTCATAGGCTGTCTTTTTATTTTGTTGACTATTGCCTTTGCTGGGCAGAAGCTTTTTAGTTTGATGTCCTCCCACTTGTTTATCTTTGCTTTTCTTGCCTGTGCTTTTGGTGTTATATCCAAAAAGTCACTGCCAAGACCAATGCCAGGGAGCGTTTTTCCCTCCTTTTTACACTTTCAGGCCATACATTTAAGTCTGTACTCCATTCCAAGCTGATTTGTGTGCGTGCTGTAACATAAGGATTTCATGCTTCACTGCAGAAACCATTTAAAATAAAGATTAATCCGAGTGGGGAGTAAATACTGATCCCAGTATTAGGAACTCCTCTGGGCACCTCTTTCCTCTGCTTCTTTCGACGAGTCCCAGGACGCAGACCCAGCAACACGTGCCCCTCCCCTGGGGTTAGCTGCGCAGAAAGGCCAGCGGCCAGCCTGCAGGAAGGGCCAACCCCGAGCCCTCTGAAGTGCAGCACGTGAGCTCTGGGTGGGCGAGGCTGGCATGGCCGGAAGCTGGACACAGGAGGGACTTCCTGGCCAACACAGAGATCCCGCAGCCCAGGAGGGGCTGGGTGAGCAGAGCCGTGGCTCAGCAGCCTCCCCGTGCCTCCCCGCCCCAGTGGCCCCTGACTGGCGGCACCGGCCCCCCCCCCCCACCGCAGGTACCACATGGCGTACCTCACCGATGGCGCCTGGAGCCCCGTGAGGCCGGCGGTGTTCTTCACCACCAAGATGGACGGGACCCTGGACATCTGGGACCTGGTGTTCAAGCAGTGTGACCCTGCCCTCAGCCTGAAGGTCATGCACACGCCTCCCTTTGCATCCAGGTCCTCAGGCCCAGGTGGCATGGGCGACTGTGAGGCTGAACGAGGGGTGGGGGGAAGAAGAGGCTGGGGGCAGGGGGTCAGAGGGCCGCGACAGCCAGGCTCAGAGTGCGAACTTCACCCCGGGGGTCAGGGAGTTGCCGAGGCTGCTTGAAGGGGGCCAGGTGGCTGGCCTTTCCCAGGAGCCAGATGATCAGAGGCTCACTTTGCTGCTCCCTCCTTCTCAATGCGTCTGCCTGGCCCTTCCAACAGGTGTGTGACGAGGCCCTCTTCTGCCTCCGGGTGCAGGACAATGGGTGTTTCATTGCTTGCGGCTCGCAGCTGGGCACCACCACGCTGCTGGAGGTCTCGCATGGGCTGTGCACGCTCCAGAGGAATGAGAAGAACATAGCTTCTTCCGTGAGTGCGGGCGCCAGGGACGAGATGCACGCACGGTTGTGTCCCGCCTGGTCACTGCAGAGCAGGCCGGCCGGGAAACGTGTACGGCCGCTCCCTCTCGCCTCCAGGGAAGCGGGTGGATGTTCTGGGGAGGCAGCGTGGTGTCCTGCAAGGAACGCTGTAAATGGCGGTTGCGGGGCAGGGGTGGGGGTCTGAATCTTCCCTGGCTTAGTCACTAAGTAGCTAAGTGGCCTTGGGCAAGTCACTTTACCTCTTCAGGCTTCAGGTTTTCATGTCAATCAAAGTGGTTTGACTCGCTCAGTCTGTCTAGTTTCAAGCAATATACAGGGTCCGGCCCAAATAACACCCTTTTTTATTACAAACACGTTTATTACAAAATCCTAAGCATGTCATTCTGCAAGATAGCAATGCCGCACTCAAGCACACTCTACGGCATTTTAGGTGACATATGCAAATTGCTGTCCATCTTGTGCCCCACCAACCACACACCCAAGCAAGCCTTCTTCCTGCCGGACCCTGTATATTTTTTTGCGGCAAAACTTGTCAAATGAAGACTTAGGAGACTGCCCAGAGAGGAGACAGGTGGCAGGGGACGGCCCCGAAGATGGGACCCTGGGGGCCGGGACCCGTCACTAGCCCTCACGCTGGCAGGGAGCCCTAGAGGCACCTCCCCAGGACTGGGCGGCAGCCGGTGCAGAAACCCTGGTGCTGAGACCGAGGAGGGCCTGCTGGCTGTGCCTGAGCCTGTGGGCCCACCTTTGAGCTGGCCCTTTGGTGGCCCGGGGCCACCGTGTTGTACAAATGCAGGGGGCGTTCTTCACGCTGGCGCCCGTGTCCTTGGAACCCCTTAGAACTGAGTGACTTGCCCCCCTGCCCCCGCCACCTTCCAACCCGTCAACATTCAGCCCTCCGTCCTTGCCCGTAGCCCTGAGTCCAGGCCTCTTTGGGGGCTGCTGTGAGTAGAGCAAGGACCACCCAGCCTGGCCCCTGTGCTGGGAGCCCTGGCGGCCACCCTCTTCCCACGGGCCTCTCTGTCCCCCTGTGTCCCAGATATTCGAGCGGGAGACCCGGCGGGAGAAGATCCTGGAGGCCAGGCACCGAGAGATGCGGCTGAAGGAGAAAGGCAAGTCGGAGGGCAAGGACGACGACCTGAGGGAGGAGGAGTCCGCCGTGGACCTGCAGGAGCTGGTCACCAAGGCCGAGGAGGAGTTCTTCGACGTCATCTTCTCCGAGCTGAGGAAGAAGGAGGCGGAAGCCCTGAAGAAGTCCAAGCCTGTAAGGGGCCCTGGTGGGGCCCATGCTGGGGCGGGTAGGAGGCCTGGCACCGGGTTCCGCCTGTTTGCTGCTCTCCTGGGTGACCTCGAGCACATAACGTCATCAGATGAACCTTAATTTGTCCATCTGGCAAATGGGAGGCATTGCCTTCCTCCAGAGGAATCCTGAGTCTCCGGTTGGACGCAGGCTCCGTGAGGGCAGGAGCCGCGCTCCGTGCTGGTAGGAATCCTCCCCTTCCCCCCGCCTGCGGTGGGCGCCTGGCACACGCACTGAATGAGGATGGGGCTAAGGGAGGTGTCAGACAAGAGTGAGCCTTGAGGCCCGGGGCGGGGCGGGGACGCTGTGACAATGGCGGAGTGGAGGGCGCTCTGGTGTCACGGTGCGAGCCGTGCGGAGCTCATGTACCCATGGCCTGGCTCCAAGGCACTTCCTGGCTGTAACAACTGGATTGGCTGCCTCACTTCTTGTTCCTTAATTTTCATTTGGAAACTGAGGAGATATAAAAAAGGTGCCTGGTCACCTTCCAGGCCCTCTTCAGTGCCAAGGGACAGAGGAAGAGAAGGACGTGGTCATTCTGGGTCACTGCCGTGCAGGACTCACAGATGAGGTGCCACGATGGGGAAGTGCAATGAGCGGCACGGAAGGGAAGTGAACAAGGGAGTGTGTCCGTGTCCACGCTCCTGCGCAAGACCTGATGCGTCATTTGGGGGTGTGGCCCAGTACGGCATGAAAATGAGGGGCCCCTTGTTCAGAAAGTCTTGAGAATTTAAGACCATGACAGCAGAGCAGGAAAGCAGGTGTGGGACCTCGCGTGATCACGGGACTGGGCCTCTCCTCCCCCGCCCCCCCCTTCTGACTCTTGGTCTCTGAGCTTAGCCGGCAGTTCTGGGGTCAGAGCTGAGAAAGCACCGTGGGGTCCTCACGCTTGTTTCCAGTCCCAGCTACAGCCCTGTGAGGAATGCAGGCGAGGGGACCCTGGGGACTCAGGGGCCGCAGCCGAGGTCACCCGGGCGGCAAACGCCAGAAGCAGGACTTGCACCTGGGCCTGTCGGATGCCCCCGCGGGCCCCACTGTCCACACCCACTGGCTCTGAGCAGCCCCGGGCCCTCGTGGCTGGCACCTCAGCCTCCCGCCCCTTGGCTGCCTTTGGCCTCAGGGCGCGGGGTGGGTGGGGGCCCGCCCCCATCGGTGATTCTGCGCTGTCCCTCTCCAGCATCAGCCGAGTCTGGAGGGAGAGGAGGAGGCAGAGGAAGAGGAAGAGGCGGAGGGAAAGGAAGAGGCCGAAGAAGAAGGAGGTTCTGAAGAGACTCCAGCCTAGAAGGTCAGCCCTGCTGGCAGCACCCACACGTGGGTGCCTCCGTCTCCCACTGCTTGGCACTGCCTCGGCTTCATAAGTTGGGGCTGAGCTCCTGCCTTGAAGTGCCACTGGGGAAGGGCAGGGGGAGCAAGAGGGCCCTGACCCAGGCCCCACCCATCGCTGGCCCCACCCACTCACTGACCCCTGTCCCCAGCCACCCCCTGCAGGGGAGGAGGGAAGGGGCAGGGCTGGTCCCTGAGACAGGTGCCCCTGTCTCAGCCACCGCGGAACCTCCACCTCAGGTCTCACCTGGCCTCTCAGCCTGGCCCCGCATGTCCCCCTCAGCTTCTCTAGGGCTGCCTGGCCATCATTTTCCTCGACAAGCTTTCAAAGCCTCATCTGGGCTTGTCACAGCCACGTGGGGCCTTGGACAGACCTGGGGCGGGCAGGGCTTCCCTTCTCCCTGACCTTCCCTGTCCACCTGTGACCTGGAAAGAGAAAGCCCACCTGGGTTCAGATGTCTGTCCAAGCAACGCCCCCAGCCTGTTTACCTCCACGAGGGTCGGAGTAGGTCCAGGAGTCGAACAAGGCTATTCCTGTGCTCTGCAAGCCTTCTGTCATCTTAATTCTTGTCAATTAAAGCAATGAGGACAATGCTAACGGTTAGTGCTGCCTGTGCATCCCGCACGGGGAGTCGCGGGGTCCCTGGAAGGTTTGTTCTCTGACTATCCTTACTCTGCAGAGGGAGGGCCAGGTTCCAGGAGAGGTGTGGGGGGACTTGCCCAGGTCGCAGAGTGAACAAGGGGCCCACAGGGCCAGAAGGCCAGGCCGCTCACCCCCGGCCCTGAGCATCGGTCACTGTGGGCCAGGCCCCAGGCAGGAGCTCCGGTGGGCTGCCCTGAGCCCACCGCACCACAGAGCACTCAGTGGCCGTTGCCAGAGCGTCATAGGCAAGAGGGCATTCAGAGCAGCCTCGTCCCAGGAGAAGTCCCCAACCACCATTCATCCTGTGGGTGTCAGGTGATCCTGACAGGACTCTAAATGTCCTTTTTAAAATGCCTGCGTTGCAGATCTTATTGGGGGGAGAACCAGGGCCAGCCGCTCTTATGCCCAAAGGGGAAAAAAAAAACATTGAGCATCCACTGTGGCTAGATCTTGATAAAATAGTCTTGGCGGATCACGTTTATTGGGCACTTGAGCTTCAAAATAGCCCCAGAAAGGGTGCTGTCACCATTCGCCACCCCTGGGTCACAGGTGTGCCCAGTGAGACACAGAGACAGAGAGACAGAGAGACAGAGTGAGCGGCAGGCCCGGACTTCAGCCCCCAGTCCCGGCCCAGCGCCCACGCCCATCCGCGTCTATGCCCAGGTCTCCCCGGAAGAGGCTTCCAGGCAGAGGGTGGCCACAAGTCACGCATCCCTCCCTGTAAGGTCTCCTGTGATGGCTCCGTCCCTGTGTGAGGACACAGGGAGCCCCGGAGCCATCCATAGAGCAGTGGTTTCAGCTGGGGGCGATTTTGCCCCCAGTGGGGCACCTGGCAACGTCTGAGCGCGTGCTGGAGTAACGTGACTGGTTGTGAGAAAGCCACCGACATCCAGTGGGTAGAGGTCAGAGATGCTACTCAGCAATCTATAGTGCACAGGACAGGCCCCAGACAAAGACTGAGCCCTGACTTAGAGAGGAAAACCTGTCCAAATGAAACACGCCGGGAGAACGTCACAAGCTCCCTGCTGGCCCAGGCACGCTGATGGAGCTGCCAGGACGATGCGCTCCAAAGGAGGCTGTTCTTTTACTGCCGTAGAATTTTGGCTTTGGCTTGTACTGGGAAAGGCGGGCCCCCTCCTGGGGCCGGGAAACTTTTTGCTGTGGATACCGAGCGCGACACTGTGCTGTGAGGGCCTTTGTGGAGCGGGTGTGGGGGAGGAGAGGCGGGCCCCGCGGGTGTCACAGGGCCAGGGGCGCGCAAGCTTGGGGAGCACAGTGCCCATCACTGCTCGTCCTCACAGCCTCGACCTGCCCTCCTCATCGCCAGCCTCACACGGTTTCTCCCAAGGGGAGCAAAACAAAGCCACGAAGCCTCATGGCAGAACCGGAGGCGACTGGGGAAACCCCCGGCAGTGGGCGTGGAATGTGGAATGTGGAATGTGGATGACGGCCCGGTGCAGGGACACATCCAGGCAGGGTCGGAAAGTGGCCAAAGCAGCGGCCAGACCCACGAGTCCGTAGCACAGTTAGGTCTCTCCGGCCCACACACACGTGGGGAGAGTGTTCTTCTCTCGGACCTGCTCTGCTCAGCTGACCTGGTAACTAGGACACGTAACTGATGGCGCTTCAACTTGCTGTCAGACCACCCAGCGGGCCACGGCGGGATCGCTGTCCCACACTCCCTTCTGGGTGGCAGCTGGCTACCCAGGACAGGACCCTGCAGAAGGACCCCCTTGCCCTTTGTTAGAAACAAAAGAAAGTGTCCCTGGGGTCCAGAAGCCCCTGGGATGACGCTGTCCCAGGGGAGCAAAGGTGGCTGCTGGTAACCCACAGGCTCAGACTGGCACCCCCTCTTGGCTCTTCCCTGGCTCCCAAAACCACAGACCTAGGGGCCAGCGCGTCTGGGTGCCAAGGGCCTTGGGGATGGAGATGGGAAGACAGGCAGCGTGGCGGTTCATGGAGCTCCCAGGCAGGCGGGAGGGTCTGGGCTTTGACATCTGCATCCAGCGAAGGCACAGGCCCCAGATGGCAAGTGCCTGAGCATGTGCCAGGGCACGTGCCTTCGCTCCACACTGCGCCAGGCACCGGGCACCGCTCTGTTCTCCCGGAGCTTGTGCGCTAGTGGGAGAGACGAAGAGCCGACAAACGCCGATAAATACAGAATGACAGTTGTGCAAAGTGACCGTTTAAGGGAAAGTCCCAGGTGCTATGAGAGGGATAATAGGAGGAACTAACTAGACTCTATAGAGGAAAGGAACTGTCAGAAAGGCCTTCATGTGAAAGCGACAATGAAGCTGAGACCCTGAACGAGTATGAGGAGACTGGGCAGTACGTGTGCAGGTGCGCGTGTGGGTGAGTGTGTGGGTGTGTGTGCGGGTGTGTGTGCAGGTGCGTGCACACGTGTAATTATGGAGATGCACAGCGGAGGGGGCGTTCTAGGTAGAGGAGAGGAGACAGCTGGTGCTGCTGCTCCGTGACCGACAAGGAGAAGTCGCTGTGGCTGAAGCGCAGCCACCGAGGGCTGGAACGGACCTGGAGAACACGCAGGGACCTGACGGTCCGTGAAGGATTTTCACTTTTCTCCTAAGATCACTGAGAAGCAGGGAAGGTGGGGTCAGATGTGCTTTTTTTTTTTAAAAAACAAAAACCTCTGAGCTGGTCATGGATGATGGCCTGGGGGAGGCAGCCCTGGGGCTGGGTAGGGGGACAGACACAGGGTGTCCGGTGAGAAAAGATGGCGGCTTGGAGGGCGGTGGTGGCTGGAGTCCGCCTGCACCTCTGTTACTTACCTTGTGGGGCCGGGGGCGGGGGTTAGGGAGAGCAAATGAAATAACACATCAACAACACAACTGCGTTCAAAGTGAACACTCTGTCAGCTGCTGTTACCTTCCTCCCTCGCGCGGAAGCCTCCAATGTCCGTCCAGGACAGCCTTCCCCGTGGGCACCAAGCTCCAGATCAGCGGGAACTGCTCTGAGGACGGTTTCTCAGGATCTCTGCAGCATCAGAACCCCAAAGCTGGAGGGACGCTGGGCTTCTCCAGGGAAACACCCTCCGGAGGTGTTTGCTTCTCTTTCATTTCATCTCCCAAGCTCTAAATAGTCGTATGCAGCTCACAAGCAGGGGCCTTTGGTCCCTTGGGCCCTAGGGGTCGCAGGGCTTTAGGACGTGCTCAGAGCTCATCGAAGCCAGTAGGTTCCCACGGCAGGTGGGTTTGGAGGGAGGCGGAGAGTGTCACACATCTCTGATGAAAAATATTGTTGCTTCTGAGGAGTGATGGTCACCAATGGCACGCATGCTCTGGGGGGCAGCAGCGGCCTTTCATCAGGTGAGGGAGCTTTTTTTCCCCTGGAACCTTCAGGGACATGAATGAAGAGCTTAGTGTGCTCAGAAAAGCCGGAAAACAGGGAGGAGACAGGAAGGTGAGTCTGAAGGAGTTAGCCAGACAAGTGAGTGGGAGGCGGACCTCCGAGACGGAGAGGCAGGACCAACGCCCAGGGACGCCGGGAGAGGAGCCCCTTCAGGAGGGCGCACGTGCGTGAGCGCGGCCGGGGCAAGGGCAGGAGGAGGGGACGAGCCAGAGGTGAGGCAGACGAGACCTGGACCCCAGGTACAGGTCGGACTCCCAACGGAAGGCAATGGGGAGCCATGGCAGGGTCTTAAGTGGGGTACCGGCAGCGACCTGACTTCTAGAACAACAACGGTGTCAGTAGGTTGGCACGTGGAGACACCATGCAGGCTGCTGTGGCCATCTAGACGGGTCACAGAGGTACTCCAGCAGGGGTCGAGCCTCAGGATTTGATTGCAGAGGACGAGAGGAAAGAGGAAGTCAGAGAGGCTCAGAGGGGCTAGAGAGGATGGGACGGGGGAGGGGGAGGGTACTGACCAAAACACAGAAGTCAAGCAGAGGCAAGGCCTTGAGAATAACGTTGACTTTGTGACGAATCCCCACCTAAGATGGGCTGGGTCCTCCCGCTTAGAAGCTGCTCTTATTCTTACCACCCTGGGCCATCCTGGGTGGGGTTTCCGTACCCAGAGGGGCAGAAAAGAAAGAGAAAAACAGCCCAGGGACCTCCTGTGGGTGACCAGGATAGGTTAGGCTCAAGGTCTGAAATATAAGTTGGGAGGGTGTTTTTTACCCAAAGGACACACCTTTGAACTTACCTGATGCTCGTTGCTGCCATTTGCAACCTGGCCTCTGCGTGCAGCCTGGGTCGGAGGGCAGGACAAAACCCTGGGCAGGGGTTTTTGTTTCTACTAAGCTTCCCTTGCTTTGTCTACTTACCAAATCCAAGGCCAGGGGGCTGGGGGGGGGGGGGGCGCTTTCGGTGTTGCTTATTAATAACAATAACACACAGGCTCCCAGGACAGCCAGGGAAGCCAGTCCCCAGACACAAGCTGGCATCACGCTCTGCCTGTGGCTGTGGGCCAGGCTGTCTGAGACGGCCCCCCAGGGAGCAGCTCTCCCTCACCCAGCCCCTTCCGCGGGAAGTGAACCCCCCCACCCCACTCTCCTCGCCCAGTCTTTGCGGGGGTGGGGGGCTGCCCTGCTCCACTTCAGTGGGAGGCAGGAGAAGGCAAGGAAGAGGGACTATCAGAAGCAGAGAGCTCCACCATCCCCCGGAAACTAAGGCCCTGAGGGGTGGGACCCAGTGGCTCCAGGTGGTTTGGCAAGTAGGATGCACGGCTGGGACTAGAATCCTGTTTTCCCGGGGCCTCCTGAGGCCAGGAATCTTTCCACTGTGCTCCCTGGTTGTGTAAGAGCTGTTATTCTCACCAACAATGGAGGTGGCGGCGTTTGGCCTACGCTTTCTTGCCCAGCCTGGGGGCTCTTCCAGCAGGCGGGGAGCCAGAGGGCACACATACCCACCATCCTGACCTAGATTTTGGGTTTCCCCATAGGGCCTTGTTTGCCAGGAGGTACATTGAGGCAGGTTCTTAGGTGACATGCCCCTAGCTAGTAATGCAGGTGCTCCAGCTATGCCTCGGGTGGGCAGCCAGACAAAGGGGCAGCTGTTTACCCCTTGTCATTGGAGACAGAGACTAGACACCAGCGACAGCCACGATGCACGCAGCGCCCATGGAAACGAGGCAGCCCGCCGCCGCCCTGGAGACGCCGAGAGAAAGACAGACCGGCAAGCAGGCAGGCAGGCAGGCAGGCAGGCAGAAGCGCTAGCGGCGTGGGAGCGCCGCCGTCCGGCGAGCGGCGCGGCTGCAGGGCGCCCCCTGGAGGGCAGTGGGAGCGGGCCTGGGCCGCGAGAGAGGGGGCGCGGGGAAGCGCCGAAGGCCACCAAACCGACACGGCGACGCTGGGCGGACGCAGGGCCGTGCCCAGGACCGGAGGGACGCACAAGCGGACTCTCGCCGGGAAAGCGGCTCGGGTTAGAGCGCTTCCCCGGCGGAGGCGGCCGGCTTTCGGCCGCAGCGCCGGAGGGGCGGGGGCGCCGTCGAGGTCCTCCCCTCGCCCCGCCTCCCGGTCAGCGCCCTCGGCCGCGGGCGCGTCGTTGGTTTCGGGTTGTCAGGCAGCGGCAGCACAGGCGAGGCTGCGGGGGACCCGGTGGCGGTGGGGGTGCGGCTCGGCCCTGCCCGCGCTCACGGCCTGAGCCCCTCCATCCCCGCAAGCATGAAGGACGGTGGGGACTCCAAGGACCAGCAACTCATGGTGAGACGCCCATCAACCTCCACCTAGACCCCATCTGTGGCCCAGGCTCCCACTCCCCACCAACAAGGCAGCCCTTTCCGCAGCCCCCCACACCCTCTCCCCACTTAAAGCACACCAGGACAGGGGAATGAGACTGTCCAGAGCAACTCTCCCCAAGCCCTGGAGGTTAGGAAGGAAGCCACCCTGCCATCCTGCTGAGGCCCGAGAAGTGGGCCAGCTTCACCTTCCCCCCAGGGGACCCCCATCCCCAAAGCCTGCGCAGATGGGTCTCAGGGCAAGACTGTTCTCTGACCCAGCAATGCCAGGGCAGGCTTGACCCACCTGTGCAGAGGAGGAAGATGGGGGTTTCCTGGGGAACCAAGGGGTCCCCAACCCCAGGGCACTCAGGAGTTTAAAGGGACCAGGGATCTCAGGCAGCCAGACAAGAGGCTCCAGGTGCCAGAGGAGCTGGCTCGGGGTTGGGAGTGGCGGGGTATTGGGTTGCAGCAAAGATGCTGTCCAAGTCAGGACTTTAAATATTTCAGAGAAGTGCTGGAAGCGTCTGAGCTGGCCCCCTAGAGCCCTGGGGTCTGGGGCGGGTGAAGAGGTGTCAGTGGGGAATAGGGGGTTACCTAGAGACTAAAGACAGATTCCTGGTTATCACTGGCGCCCCGGTCGGAGTGATGAGGGGGGAAGTCTCAGTGACCCACACGGCCCTGGCCCCCTCCTAACCTCTGAGATCTGGGAATGGGCCTTTGTTGCCAGCGGGTGGGTGGTCATGGAGCTAGAGGACAATGCTGGCCCCAGACACCCTGCCTATGTAGGGCGAGCTCGCTGCTCCAAAGATGGGCCTGAGCCCCAGCCCTCGAGCAAGCGCCAGGCTCCGGAACATCCTCTGTGGCTGTTTGGAAAGTGTCTCTTGGCAAATGGCTTGATCAGCGTGTGTGGTGTGCCCCCCACCACAGGGAGCGGGGTCCTCCCCTCCCACCAGTGGAGTTCGGCGGAGGAGTCCGGCCCAGGTGATGTAATAGGCCTGTGACAGGCCCTCGGAGAGTGAAGTTCTACCCTCGATCAGCGGAAGCACACACGCCCCCGTTCTTTTGGGGAGGCGCATGCAGAATGACAACCCACCGTCTCTCTGGCTGGAGAGCAGAGGGAGCAGGGGGCCCCATGGTGCTGTCCTCAGGCAGGAATGCAGTCCCCAGTTTAGGGTGAGGAGGGGAAGCTCTCCGGGCCCCGGCCCCACCCTGCAATCCTCAGTGCTGCACCTGTACCTCTGGCTGCAGTTCCTCGTTCACGAAGCAGACAGGCTGCTCCAGCGCCAAGGGCTCCAAGTTCAAAGCCCAAGGGAGCTGCAGTTGCTTAATTTGGGCATGTAACTGATGCAGCCCAGAGGAGCAGACAGCTCTCTCCCACGGGGATCGCCCTGAGTCACGGGCTCCTGGGGGAATTCATAGACTCAGATGTAGCCCGCGGTCTCTGGTCCTCCTACCCTTGACCCAGGCGATTGCCCCAAACCACTGCATTTCCCTTAAGGCAAAGGAGACCTGGGGCTTGCCCCAGGGGAATCCTGCGGTCCTCTGCTCCTTCTCTCTGTGGCCCAGCTTTGTCTAATCTCAGTGATCTGGCCTTCCCTCCCAGGTGGCCCTCCGGATTCGGCCCATCAGTGTGGCGGAGCTGGAGGAAGGAGCCACTCTCATTGCCCATAAAGTGGATGAGCAGGTATGCGGGGCTGTGGCTGGGAGCTGCAGGCCAGGGCAGAGGCCAGTTCAGACCTCACGGGAGCAGGTACCTGCTCACCTGGCAGGGACAAGAAAGGCTGCTACGGCTTGCAGCACCCTTCTTCCTCTACCCACTGAACTCTTGGCTAACAGTGAATTGGCAACATCGTCGAGGAAACTAGGGTTCTTCTTCCAGGAAATCTTCCTCGATTGCTCCCAGGAGAGCTGAAAGCTTCCCTAGCCTGGGTGGGCCCTGATCCCCAGTCTAGCCCTAAAAGTTTCACACACTTTCCAGGTGCCCGTGACATGACTTTCCCACCTTCATGTGTCCTCCACCCGTAGAGCATGTGTGGCCTAGAGCTAAAGCCCGCCTCCAGAGTAGTCCTGTCTTGCAAAGTCCCGGGGTGTCCATTTGTTCTCTTGATCCTCATGTCACCACGATGAGGTGAGCAGGGCAAGTCCCACCTCTGTTTGCACAGGAGGCAATAAATATTTACCAAGAACCCACAACACGCCGGGAAACTATGGCAAAGAGAAGAGACCCTGTCCTCCCTTCGTTACCTTAGAGTCCAGCGTGGGCAGACGAGACATTAATCAAAACATTGAATCGCAAACAGGTGTGGGTTTGCAGCCAACAAACTGAAACAGGAGGGATGATAAAGAGGCAATTAGGACTGTGCTGGAAGGGAGAAACGTCACCCAGAGGGCCTTGCATGTGCAAAGGCCCAGTGGTGAGAGGGAGTGTGGCGCACTTGGGTAACTGAGGAAAGGCTGCGGTGGCTCAGGCAGCAGAGAGATGCAGAGAGAGGGCTAGAGGTGTGAGACGAGGCCGGAGGCGTGGGCAGGGGAAGCCAACCCTGCATGTGGGCAGCAAGGCCTGCGATGCCTGCCGGCCTGTGGGCTCCCCGAGGGGCGGGTGCCCACCCCCGGGGGGGAGCTGTGGGCACGGCAGAGCTGGGAGGCACGGGCCTCCTGCCGTCTCCTCCTGTGCTCCCTCTTTCATGAGTAGCCTTCCCCAAAGACCTCAGGGAAAGCAGGGGATGACTGGGAAGGTTCTGTCTAAGCCGGTTGGGTCAGCCGGAGCGGGAGGAATGTCAGGACAGGCGTGTGGGGTGGGCTCTGCCATTTGCCAGCTGTGCTGCGGCCTTGGGCGCGCTGCTTCCAAGACCCTCAGTGGCCTCCTCTGCAAGTGGGGACAGTAATCGTGATGCCTCCTCCAGAGGGGCCTCTCTGGGCTGACGTGTGCACCAGGCTTCCCCAGTGCCTTGCACGCAGCAGGAGTCTAATAGGCATGCGATCACTGTCTATTAGAGACTGACAGTCCCCAGGGCTGCTAAGAGGGGCCAGCGTGCAGAGCCAGAGAACACGGGAGGAGAAGCTTCCTTCCAGGCGAGGCCACTCCCTGTTTGTCAACTTGTCCCCAAGGGTATCAGGTCCTCGGTGTTGGGACAATAATGGCTCTCTCTCCTGGCTGCTCCTGGCTTCTGGCCGGAATGGGGGCTGAAAGATATTAACTGACGCTGATGGAAATACTCCGGTCTGGGGACAGCCCATTGTGTGCCCACACACGGCAAACACTGGCTCCTTTCTGTCCCTGCACAGTGATCGGGCCCAGCCGTGCCCCCGAGGCGGGCCCGGGAGAGGCAGCCCAACAGGGCCGCCCCTTTTTCAGCCTGGGGATGCGGGAGGGCTGTCTGAGCAGCGTGGGCGCGGGGCTCTCAACACTGGCTCTAGGCCCCCAGGGGCAGCGCGAGGCTCCTAGTCCCGAGCTCCTCCTGTCCCCAGTGGGTTCCAAGATGTGCTTGCCGGGCCTGCAGTTGGAGGTCAGCCACAGCAAAGGGCAGGCTGCGGCTCACCCAAAAAGCCTGCTGTCCCCAGTGGCTCCATCCCTCCGGCCAGTAAGGCCCTTCAAGCAGGAGGCGAAGACCCCGGAGTCCAAGAAGCACAATGGGCCCCTGGACAGCTGCCTCTCCTTGCCTCCCACTCTGACCAGTCCCCACCCTGGACCTCTGTCCCCCTCGAGCGACCCCCGCAGCCTGTCTGTGGCCCTGGCCCGGAGAGAGCCTTGGGGTGCAGGCCCGGGCAGCAGCCTCAGCGATGGGCCAGCTGGCCGGTTGTGGCCCCGTCCCTTCCTCCTGAGGTCTGAAGCCCAGCAGGCTGGTGGGGTGAGTTTGGGAGTGTTTCCAGGACAACATGGCCATGGAGTGTCTTCCCAGCAAAGGTGCGGCGGGGCCCTCATGGCCTGCACAGCGCCCGGCCCCCTCTAAAGAGACAGCCGGTTGGGATGCAGAAGTATTTCCCCACCTGCTTTCCATTGTTCCCCCAACCCCCCGCCCTGGGGGCGGCTGTCAGGGCGCACGTGGCCCAGGCCCACAGAGGGGCTCCGCAGCCCAGCGTCTTCTGCACTGGGCCTCCGGGCCCTGCCTCTTGCCCCGGCCTCCCCTCTGTGATGGGGGTGATCCTTTGTCCCTGCTGGTGCCATCTGGGCCTGGGGGTGGGGACCTGCTGAGTGGTCACGATCGAGGGCTCAGCCCCTTGGTGGTCAGCAGGACGGTGGGTGCTGCCAACCCCCTGAGTGGGGAAAGGTGGGCCAAGGACCCTGTCACCCACTGGACTGGGCCACCGTGAGGGGCCCTAGGACAGCCTTCCTTAGAATCAGGCATTGTTGTCCTGGGGACGTGGGAGATCGCCACGACTAGGCTGTGCAGAGGGGGAGAGTCCCACAGGACGAGTGTCCTTTGGAGACAAGGGGATGGTGTGGCCTGGTTCCAGGGAAGCTGGGGTTAGGGTTTTGATCTGTAAAAGGGGTTCAGCTGCCTTGGCAGGCCCGTGATCCTCAGGGCAAGAATCATAGCAACACCTTCTTCAGACGTCGGTGCGTCAATGTACGCACGGCACTTATCCCAGCACCTGGCACACAGTAGGGGTTTAATCGATGGTAGTCTATCTCAAGGGCTGAGCTAGGGGGTGGTTGTAGGCCACAGAGGGAAGTGAAACGGGGCCCACCTCCTGCCTTCCTGTGGTCCGTGCCAGAGCTCTCAGGCCGGGGGTCCCCACATGGCCGCCCCCGCATGTCTGTGCTCCTGGGAGTGTTGTAGGAGCTCAGTCTCCTAGAAGCACGCAGGGTGGAACCTGGCCCTGACACCAGACCCCTCCGGAATGCCATCGATGACCACAGAGCCGGGGGCGGGCAGCCTGAGAGGTCTGGGGGGCCCAGGACTTCCAGGGTGAAAGCCAGAACCCCGGAACAGCCACCTTCTCCCTCCCTTTCTCCCCCACAAAGCCCGCAGCCTGCTGACCCTCCTCCCAGCTTTCCTGACGGTGTGTACCCACGGGACTTAAGCCACCTGACAATACCTGTAATCCCATAATTAGCCTTTATCTGCTCAAAGACCCCCTGTCGCCCCCTGTGCTCCAGGGGTCCTCCCTGAGGGGCCCTGCAAGGACCCCCGCGTCCTGGGTGGGTCTCCTTTTCCTCACCAGCAGGCAGGACAGGAACCTGCTCCTCACAGCTCAGGAGCTTTGGAAGGATTACAGGCCATCCTATACAGTCAGGGGAGCAGCGGCCACACAACTGGGAGGCTATTGTGAAAGACAAAGTATAAGGTGACAGACGCTGAGTGTCAGGGACAGCGAGTGCCAGGGGCAGGCAGCCCGTCATCAGCCACATTCCCACCTGGGCGGGTGCTCCCTCCACACCCACCACCTGGATACTCCGTGCCCCGCTGCCCCAAAGAACGGGGGCTGGTGGCGAGCGACTGGGAGGAGGGGGGCGGATTGTTCGCTACCGGTCCCTGAGCCATCCCCTGCCCGCCTCCCCAGGCCCCTCCCAGCCCCAGGCAACCACTAACCTACTTTCCATTTCCCCAGAGCCCCCGTCCCGGGCATTTCATGTAAACGGAAGCGTACGGTGTGTGGTCTTTGTGTCTGGCTTCCCTCACGGAGCGTAATGGAGCAGCTGCCAGAACTTCATTCCTTTTTGTGGCTGAATAATATTCCGTGCTATGGGGACACCCTATTGTGTTCCTCCTTCGACCAGTTGATGGGCATTTGGGTCGTTTCCCGCTTGTTGGCTATGGTCACTCATGTTACCAGGAGGCTAGGGTCCTTATACTCAGCACCTGGAAGGCTGAGAGGCAAGAGTGCTGGCTGAAAAGGCAGATTAGTGGGCCTACTTCTCTGGAGCTTGATTCAGGGAGCCTGGGTGGTGTCGGGAATCTGCATTTCGCACGCTCCTTGGGGGTCTCGGTTGAAGGGTTCTTGCAGACCCGGGAGAGATGCAGCCCTTGACTCTCTTACAGGTCACGCCTCTTCCTGTCCTGGGCCTCGGGGTCCTCAGAGTCCTGTCAGCAGGTGGGGACTGGCCAGGACATTGGCCAAGCGCCGCTCTGTTCTCAGCAGCCGGCAGGGCATCAGGGGCTTTATGAGCTCAGCAGGCTCCTTTCCGGTCTTTTCTGTGTATCCTGAGGGCTGCTGGCAGGGCCAAGGGATGGCCTTCCTGGATCAAGGTCTCTTTCTGGAGCACTCACAGAATGACACATTTACAGCTCGAAGTAGGACCAGCAACAAGCTCTCCTTCATAAAGAAAAAACTAACAAAACTCCAGAAACAGCCTTCCAGGGGCACTCTCCTCCCAGAATCAGGCTTCCGATCGGTTCTGTCTAGTTTTCACCCAGAGATGAAGGGGGCCTGGCTCCCTGGACGGGAGGTGGAGCCCTCCAGGCGGGGGCCTTCCCCAGTCACGGTCCTACAGGGGCTTTGAGAGTAGCCTGGAGGTGCCGGTAGGATTTCTTCTCTCCAGCCCTAGCGGCCTCTCCCTCGATTTCCAGCCTGGAAGAACTTGAGGCTCAAGGGGTGATGCCATTTTCTCGGGGCCACACAGCAGTGGGAAGCTTGCACCCCATTGCTGTCCCCTCCTCCCTTGGGTATCTTGGCTGCCAGGTTTGGAGGCTGGAGGAGGAATAGTCTAGGTCAGAGGTTTTCAACAGGGCGTGGGGGGTGATTTTGCTCCTCAGGGGACAGGCAATGTTGCAACACGGGGAAGGCTGTACTACTAGCACCTGGTGGGTAGAGGCGGCTAGACATCCGAGAGCGCGCAGGGCAAGTCCCAATGTGGTCCAGCCTGAAGGGTCAACGGTGCCAAGACTGAGAAACCCCGGTCCAGGTTTAGCCGCTTGGAGGCCAGAAAGAAGCCGCTTCAAATCCCAGAGCTGCTCAGAGCACGGGCAGCCCTGTGGGGCGTGGCAGGAGGGACTCCCGATGTGCTTTCTTCACGATATTTCTCCCCTAGGAGATGCTGAGGACCCGTCTGGTCCCTCACAGGGACACAGTTTACAGAGCAGCCACCCTCGCCCCCTACGTCCCTCGTGGAGCTGGGGTTTCCGGGCTCAAAGTCGAAAATTGTAGAAAGGTCCAAGTCCACAGTGAATTGAGGGCAGGTCTGGGAGTGAAGGCAAGGGGGGCAGGGAGAGGTCACGCTGGGGCCTCTGCCAAATTAGGAGGCCTGGGGCTGTGGGCTGGAGGCCCCCACCCCGGCGAAGCTGCCTGCCTTCCCTGCTCCTGGCCCTGCCCCCCTGCCACTTGACCCGCAGGAGGGGCTCCTGTGTGTCCTCTGTGAGCGATGTCACCATTGAAACCTACCTGAGACAGGTGCCCAGAGTGCTTGGGCATGAAAATTGGGGGAAAAGAATGCCCACCCCCTTAGGGCCGAGGCAGGCGCCGGCTGAGGGCCCACCTGGGTGTGCGGCGAGCCGCACCCACCTCCCTGCCACAGGTGAGCCTGCCTTGGGAGGCACATCCGTTCACAAAGCTGCTGTCGCAAAGTGCCAGAGACTGGGTGCCTTGAACAACAGGAATCTATTCCTTCACAGTTCAGGAGGCCGGAAGTCCAAAGGGTCAGTCCCTTCTCCGGACTACGAGAAAGACTCCGTCCCAGGCCCTCCTCCTTGGCTTGCTGACGCTGTCTTCTCCCCGCGACTCTCCATGCTGGGTCTTCCTTGCTGGGTGTCTGTGTCCAAATTTTCCCTTTTTATAAGGACACCAGTCATTAGACACTCCTGTATGACCATGTTCTAACTTAAGTACATCTGCCTAGACCTTGGTTCCAAATAAGGCTGCGTTCTGAGTACTGGAGCTTAGGACTTCGACATTTGGACATTGGAGAGACACCATTCAACGTATTCACCCAGCCTGGCCACTGTCGGTCCGCACGTTCATTTGAGAGGCAGGGACAGGTGGCCTGTGGGTTAGGAACCAAACAGCCTGAGTCCCAGAAGCTCCGGGTTTGCCAGGCAGCTCCAGGCACGTTCCCAGTCCGATTCCTCGTCGCCACCCTGCCCTAACGTGAGCGTCCACTCTCGGTCATCAGAGAGAACTGGAAAATGTGTGCAAAGCACTTAGCGCTGTGCCTGGCAACTCCAAACGCCCCCACAGGCCGCTTTATTCGGCAAACACCCCTGGGGCCTGGGCCGGGTGCCAGCCAGGGTGACATGTGGGGGGGCCTTGGAGGATGCGCAGGCTCCCCGCCTCAGGGGGGATAAGCTTGTGCCACAGGGGCTCAGACATCTCTCCTCTGTGGCCACGTAGGGTCTGTGCTCTGCAGAGTCCTGCTGTGAAGACGGGGGAGAACGTTCCTCAGCTTTCTCCCCAGCTCTGGGTGGGTTTCTCATAGGACCCCCTGGAGATCCTGAGCTGAGCCTTGCTGCCCGCAGCCCACCCTGCTCCTTGAGGCCCCACACACACTTTTCTCTGGAAGGCGCTGCTCCCCTCACATCTCCCTGCCAACTCCTGCTCATCCTTTAAGACCCAGTGCTGGCGCCACCTCCTCCAGGAAGCCCCCCTCTCGGGGTAAAACTGGATCAGGCGCCTGTCTGCTCCCACTGCCTCCTGGGGCCCAGCACTCACTATGAAAATGACCTGTTCCCACTCGTGTCAGAGGCAGGAAGCCGCACCTCTCTCTCCCCAGGGCCTCGCTGAACGCCTGGTCCATAGAAGGGGCCCAGAAAACATGCTCACCTGGCCCGGCCACCTGGGCTCTCTCTGTGGCAGCCCAGAGCACCCCTTCCCAGCCCTCAGCGGCTCAGCTCCAGCTCACCTGGCCCCAGGCACAAGGGCGCCATTGTGTACCAGAGCGGACAGGGAAGGGGTGCTCTGGAGGCGGGGGCGCGGGCCGGGGCCCAGACAGCTGGGGACCCAGACTGAGCCCTCTTTAAGGGGGGACTATGGCGGCTGTGCTGACAATGCCCCAATTCAGGAGCCTGGCTATCAAAGGAACCAAATGCCCAGGCACCATGACCTTGGCAGCGCTGGGAGGTCGTTTGGAGGGGATCGGCAGGTTAGGGACAGCAGTGAACACTGCTCTCCCCCCTCTGCACCGAAGCCCCCCTGCTCCCCGAGGGTGTCCTCAGGCCCCGCCTGCGTCCATGCTGGCACCGGAGAGGTGAGAACTGCCACTGCTGCTCAGGCTCCCGTTGCGTCCCGCTGGGGCCTACGCCGGCAGCGTGTTGCTGGGTTTATCTTCACTTGGCTCTGAAACGTGATCAGGGCTCACGCTGCTGGCTTTAGGGCGTGAGCGGGGAACTGGATCCTGGAAGAGGCTTACAGGGCAGCGGAGCTGCAGCCCTGAGGAGGTGGCTGGGGACAGGTGGGCACCCCAGGGAGCCGCGCAGATCCCCACAAACTGTGTCCGCCCGCCTTTGGCAAGCCGTGAGGGGGCCTGAGTCAGTGGCCTCAATCTCGCCCTGCACAAAGCCTGAGCTCAGCCTGTCTGGAGCCGGCCCCTCCAGCTGGCTCCCCCGGAATCCTGTCGGGCTGGATGAGGCTTCCAGGTGAGGCTCCTGGGGCTGGGCCTCTCGAGGAGCCACTTCGCCCCTCCTCCACCGTGCTCAGCCCCTGGGGGTCTTGGGCCCGTTTAGATGCAGTGAGCTCAGGCGTGTGCCTGCTGCCGGAGGCCAGGTGGTGAAGGCCGGCGATATCAGGGCGTGTGCAGAATGCTGAGGAGAGCCCGGTGGCAGTCCCAAGGCTGTGGCCCTCCCAGGCCTGGGCCTCCTGTTTCCCCACCCCTGTGACCGAGCCACTAGTGGCTCTTTGCCCCACACCTGGTCTGCCCACTGGCCGGGGAGGCAGGTATGGGGAGGGCAGGGCAGGGTCCTAGGTGCCTCACGGCTGCAGGGAGCTGGTGAAGGTCTACAGGCTTTGACCCAGATGCTGGTTTCAAGTCCGGTCCCGCCACTTGCCGATGTGCAAGCTCGGGCAAGTCCCATCTCCTCCTGTGGAGAGTGTGACTAACAGTGGGCCTCACCGTCTGGCCTGAGCGGGAACTGACAGAGTCCGTGTGCCTAACATGCCCAAAATAAGTGCCGGCAGAAAATCAATGCTTACTGAATGCCAGCCCGTGTTAGCTCCTCCTGCTCTGGGGAGGCGTACAGGGCGTGGTGTTGCAGCTAGAGGAGGGGGACCGCGGCGCTCTCAGCTCCTTTGGGCGTCCAGAACCCAGCGCCCGGACAGGGCACCCGGGAGCTGATGGTGGGCCCAGGCCTCCAGGGCCTGGGGCTGCCCAGCTCTGGGATGTCCTGCAGGGCAAGACTGTGGCCCCTGGCTCCAGCCCCTCCCACATCCTGAGGGAGGAGGGGCGAGGTCAGTGTTGATGGCGTGGGCCCCGGGGCTCCTGAGTGACTGCCCCCTGCCTCGGGGCCTTTGCAGATGGTGGTTCTCATGGACCCCCTGGAGGACCCTGATGACATCCTGCGGGCACACAGGTCTCGGGAGAAGTCCTACCTGTTCGATGTGGCCTTTGACTTCACTGCCACACAGGTGAGAGAAGGCTGGGCCTGGGCATACCCTTTGCCCCACCTGTGAGGGAGCCCTCAGGGGACCTGCCACCAACCCTCAGCCTCCCTCACCTCTTGCTCTCTGGCCTCCACCCTACCGTGCGCGGCCACATGCATGCATGTGCGTGCTTGCCCGCGTGGCGTGTCCACACCGCAGCGGCCCCTGTGGGAGCTGGAGGAAGGCACTTGAAGCCCATCTGCTGTGGGGAAGGCGTCTCGGGGAAGCTGACACCTTCCCAGGGACCCCCATCTTGCCCATCTGTGGGACGTTCCCAGAAGCAGATGCAATGCGTCCTTGAGGCCAGCCAGCCGTCGGGGGAGGTGTCTCAGGTGTCCTGTGCTCTCTTTCAGGCTGGCGTCCCCCCATGGGGTGAAAGTAGAGATGTCTATCCTCCACTCCCACCCCTACTTCTCCCGGCCCAGGGGAGAGTGACTGTCCCTGTTGGGGACAGTGAGAGAGGGTGCTCTGCTCTGCCCAAGCCCCAGGCTCCTGATGGGTCTCCTCTTCCTGCAGGAGATGGTGTATCAGGCCACCACCAAGAGCCTCATCAAAGGCGTCATCTCAGGCTACAATGCCACCGTCTTTGCCTATGGCCCTACAGGTGAGGAGGAGCCGGTGCAGTGGGGAGGACCACATGCTTGTGGTCCCCTTCGAGGAGCGAGCCCCTCGCCCTTTGTCAGAAAGCCAGCCTGGCCCCAGCCAGGGCAGGAATCAAGGACGTGGCTGATCCAAGCCCCCTACCAGGGCCGCACCCCCAGCGGAGACACGTCCTCCCCGATCCCCACCTCCCTGCCATTCCGGGGGTCCCAGCCTTGAGGACACCCCCAGGCGTGCCAGGAGACCCTGCCCAGCAAGGCTGCGCCCCCGACCCACCCTGCTCACCCACCCCCTTGCTGTGCCCAGGCTGTGGGAAAACCTACACTATGCTGGGCACAGACCACGAGCCGGGCATCTACGTGCGCACCCTCAATGACCTCTTCCGTGCCATTGAGGACACCAGCAATGACATGGAATATGAGGTGTCCATGTCCTACCTGGAGGTGAGCCCTCCCCCCATGCCAGCTTAGACAAGCCGATAGGACAGGGCTGGCCCACCTCCCCGGGCTGCCCGTCACTGCCGCTCTCCCCCACACACCGCGGACCCCACTTTACAAAACTCTGAGGCTGAGAGAAGTCAGGCAGCTAAGCCAGCGTCCCACAGTAAAGCGAGAGAGCCAAGATTCACACTCAGGAGCCCTGCTCACGGTCCCACGCGCCCTCGCAGCCTCGCCGCTGAGCCAGGCGTGGCCGCCCTCCCTCCCTCAGGTCCATTCCTGAAGGCCGACCCTGTCCGCCTGCCTCTGTGCGCGTGGGGGCCGGTGGGGACTGCGCACACAGAACTGGGCAGGCTGGAACCTGCCGGCCTCCCTGCCTGGCCACAGCCCCCGGTGCCCACCTGTGGGAGCACCACGGCCAGGCAGCGGTGGGGCAGCGGGGGTGGGCGCTGCAGGGGCCTGAAGAGGGGAGAGAGCCAGTGGGCCGGACTCCATCTGGCTGCTGGCCGCTCGGCTCCCTTCGGGGCTGATAATCTCCTGGGTGACAGCTCGGGAAGGGTGGCACGAGGCATTGCTGCTGGCAGCTGCCCGGACACCGGCGGCCAGCGTGGTGTTGACTTGGCCAGTAAGGCGCACCTGCTGTGGGGGTCGGGGAGGAGTGGCTAGGGGTTGCCTAGCAACAAGCAGGGCTGGCCATCAGTCAGGTCCTCATCCTCTGCCCAGGGCCCTGCCGGCCCCGCAATGGGAGTCCCGCTTGGTGTTGATGTCTTCTGTCTGTAGTCCTGGCAACTCGCTGTATCCCTGTGGATGCTCAAGTCCCCCACCCCCACCCCACAAAAAGGAAGGGGCCTGTGAGCTCCTGTCCCCTTCTTGCTCAGGAAGGATGGGGAACCTGGCCCTTGCCTGGACCTCCTGCCCTGACCTAGTATTAACACCCGTCACCCACCTGTCCCATCAGATCTACAATGAGATGATCCGGGATCTGCTGAACCCCGCCCTGGGGTACCTGGAGCTGAGGGAGGACTCCAAAGGGGTGATCCAGGTGGCTGGGATCACCGAGGTCTCCACCATCAATGCCAAAGAGGCGAGTCTGGCGCAGCCAGCCAGGGCAGTGGGGATGGACCCCGACCCCAGGGGGGTCAGGAGTGGACAGAGGACTGACCAGACAGCCAGCCCCCTCTGTGTACACACAGCCCCTGTCCCCGCCCCCAGGCCCCTCCACACACAGAGGCCAGCCCACCGCCACCTGGGCGGTTTCCCAGCCTGTGGCCCCCAAGAGTGGCCTCCCTCCCGCCCTCCCAGATCATGCAGCTGCTGATGAAGGGGAACCGGCAGAGGACCCAGGAGCCCACGGCCGCCAACCAGACGTCCTCCCGCTCCCACGCGGTGCTCCAGGTGTCCGTGCGCCAGCGCAGCCGGGTCAAGAACGTCCTGCAGGAGGTACGGCACGGCCGCCTGTTCATGATTGACCTGGCCGGCTCTGAGCGTGCATCCCAGGTGAGGCCAGCTGCCCTGGAGGCTGGGGAGGCTGTGTGTGTGTTGGGTGGGCGGGAGATGTGGCCTCACAGGTGAGGTGAGCTCCCCCAAGCCTGGGGAGGGTGGTTTTTTGAGGGGGGAGGGCAGAAGAGGCTATGCCAGGGTGGGTAAGGCTAGGGGGGCCCAGAAAGAGGGATGAGGGTGTTGCAGAGGACCAGGAGGGGAGGGTGGGGGCATCCTGGGGTGACAAGAAGCTGGCTCTCTCAGCTCTCCCAGAGTCTTCAGTCCATCACTGTCATCAGAGGCCTCCTCCTTCCCTGACCTTGGAGATTGTCCTTGGGGGAGGGCAGGACAACGCCCTCAGTCACCTGTGCATTTCAGAGTCCTCGGTGAGCGGGAGGGGTTTGTATCCCAGGATCCCAGGGCGTTGGGGGTAACAGCCGTCCCCTGCCCGCCCCCAGACCCAGAACCGTGGGCAGCGCATGAAAGAGGGGGCCCACATCAACCGCTCCCTGCTGGCCCTGGGCAACTGCATCAACGCACTGAGCGACAAGAACAACAACAAGTACATCAACTATCGCGACAGCAAGCTCACTCGGCTCCTGAAGGTACCGGTCGCAGCTGGAGCCCGGCCCCAGGCACCGAGGGCGGCCGGCCAGGCTTAGCAAATAAAAACACAGGAGGCCCAGCCACATTTGAATTCAGATAGACACCAAATGGATTTTTTTTTTTTTTTTTAGCATAAGTATATCCCAGAAACGGCATTGTATTTTATCTGACGACTGTCACCAAAGAGTAGGGAGAAGACAACACCTGGATCCCGCAAGGCTGTGGACTTGAGGGAGCCAAGAGCTACCTCGATTCAGAGGGACAGGCGGCCTCGTGGCCCACAGAGTCCACTGCTCCGGGGCCCGCTCTGCGCTCAGCGCTGCACCTCACTAGCTCACTTCATGCTGGCTGAGTTAGGGGATTAGCACTTCCATCTGCAGGTGGGGAAACAAAGGCACAAAGAGGCTAAGCAGTCTTCCCAAGGGCTCTCGCTAGTGAGTGCTGGAGGCAGGATCCAAACACAAGTCTGTCGGGCCTAGTGTCCTGGCTGCAGTTAACTTCCTGCCCGCCGCAGTCAGCCGGCCTTCGTCACTGTGCCCACGATCTGGGAGGCAGGGACAGCTGCACAGTTGGTGCTGGTTTAAAACGCAGGGAAGCTGAGGATTAAGGCGGGGAGGAGCCTGCAAGACATCACTCAGCCGCATGGGGCTCCAGGGCACGGTCAAGCCTAGGACAAGGGAGGGGATGGCCACAGGCCAAGTCCAATCTTCACTCGAGGTCCCCATTCCTCACTCCAGCCAAAACAGTGCCATCAGCAGTCTGCAAACTGGGGACCCGGGAGGCTCCCAGGGGTGATGGGAGGGAGGAGGGAAGGGCCCCCTCTGGCTCCCAGCCAGCCTCGGCTGTCTTGCCTCGTCCCTCTGTGTGAGGGGGGCGGGGGGGGGGGGAAGACAGCCAGGAGGCCCCACCCAGGATACTCGAGATTTCCCACTGAGAACTTTGGAGAAGAAAGTGGAAGTGGGAAGGGGGACACAGGAGTGGGGAGGGGATATCTGGACTCAGGGGGTCCATGTGTTGCTTAGCACCAGGACCTGTGTGTGTGTGTGTGTGTGTGTGTGTGTGAGAGAGAGAGAGAGAGAGAGAGAGAAAGCACACCACAGGACACCCCGAGCAGCCAGGCAGGCGCAGCATCGTGGGGAGGCAGTTCCTGGCCGGCCACAGGCGTGCCCTTCTCCCTCCCAGGATTCCCTGGGCGGGAACAGCCGCACCGTGATGATCGCGCACATCAGCCCAGCGAGCAGCGCCTTTGAGGAGTCCCGGAACACCCTGACCTATGCCGGCCGGGCCAAGAACATCAAGACCCGGGTGAGGGACCCTCGCCTGTCCCCCCAGAGCTTGCCTTCCTGGGCCAAGATGGAAGCCCCGCGGCGATTCCAGACCCTTCCACTCCTCCCTGCTCCCTCTGGAACCAGCCACCTCTGCACTGACCTCATTCCCCACCCCCGCACCAAACGTGGCCCCCATGCCCTCCCCCTGCACCTGCTCACCGGCCAGGAAGCCCAGAGCTCCCGAGGGTCCCCCGCCCAGCCCCCTCCACCTCCCCCTTTCCCTCTTCAGCTGCCCGTTCAGATGGTTACTTTTCGAAGCACTTCATCGTCACAGTCCTCGACGCCGAGCCCTCTAACGTTAATACCATCTCACGGGCTCCCCAAGTGAGGCGGGAGTTACCACTCTCACATTGTACGGTTTAGGAAGATGAGGCTGCGGGAAGCTAAGCGACTTCCCCGCTGGGCAGTGATGGCGGTGGGACTGTCCCCGCTGTCTGTTAGGGCGTCTGAAGGGGCAGACGGCTAAGTGCCAGATAGGCACACTCTCACGACACTGCAGTCTTCCAGGCAACGCCCCACTCCCGCCCTCGGGGCGGGGGGGCACGCCCTCGAAACGGGGGGGCAACCCTCGAAACAGAGGGCAGCTCAGTGTGTCGTTAATAGCAGGTCAATGGTGCCAGCCGTCGGACTGGTGGGATTCCGTGGATCTCTTTGGAAAGTGTGGGCAGGACTCTGAAGGATGGGAGAACCTTCCAGAAGGGGGGAGCGGCAAGGGTAGAGGTCCCAGACACAGGACGGAGAGGGTGTCTGGTAGGGGTGGGGAGAGCAGGAGAGTTCCTTGGCTATCACAGAATGTTCACGACAGAGCAGTGAGTCAAAAGAATATTCCAGAAAGACAGTCATGGGTCTTCAGCACCAGGTGAAGGGATTAGGGTATTTCCCTAAGCAGTGGCGAGCCCCTGAAGGTTCAGCAGGCAAAGCAGCATCTTAGGAGCAGGGCTGTATTGAGGGGCCATCGAGAAGGACTGGGGAGTGTGGGGAGAAAGAGAGAGGAAGACCCAGCTGGCAGAGGCCAGCCCCTGGGGTGACCGTACCCGCTCTGCGCCGTCCCATGCTCCCCGCAGGTGAAGCAGAACCTGCTCAGTGTCTCCTACCACATCGCCCAGTACACCAGCATCATCGCTGACCTGCGGGGCGAGATCCAGAGGCTCAAGTGCAAGATCGATGAGCAGGGCGGGCGAGGCCAGGCCCGGGGACGGCTGGAGCAGGGTGGCCTTCGCCACATCCAAGGTGTGTGCTTGGGCCTCCGTTGGGGGCGCCCCTCCCCCGCGGCCCTTCCAGGCTGTCTCAAATTGCTCAGGGGTCAGGCAGGGCTGGGTTCAAAGCCAGACTCTGGCTGCGTAGCCCTGGGCTAGTCACTCAGCTGCTCTGGGCCTTCAAGTATAAACAGAATCAGGGTCTCTGAAAGTTAGGTGGGATCAATCACGCGAGTGAGAGACACGTGAGCATTTCACTGTGTAGAACGTCCCCCTCAGGCCTGCAGCGTAGGGTCACACTCAGCATCACCGGAAGGGGTAGCTTCTACGTTCTTTTGTAGACTTGTGAATTTGCAGCGATGGTTTTCCAGCTGATGGCAGTGAAGTGTTGAAGGGGCACCTTTTTAAAGCAGATACAAAGGTGCCGTTAGGGCCCGTGGGAGTCCGGTTCACACAGAGTGGCTGGGGATCCCCTTCGGGCCACAGCCTGAAGGCTCAAGGTGGTAGTATCATGTGGGAGGAGGTACTCATCCAGGAGGTCTTTCTAGAGGAGGTGGTTGGACAAAGTGGTCTGGGGAGAAAGGGAGGCGAGGGTCCCAAATGGGCCCCTGCTTTCTGGCCTGATGCTTCCCCCTTTACCGAGCTCCCCCGCACCCATCTGATGGGCAGCCGAGGTCCAGCAGTGCCGCGGGCCGGGGGAGCAGGCCGACATGGGACAGCTGCGGGAGCAGCTCATCAGCGCCTTCCAGGAGCAGATGGACGTGCGGAGACGCCTGCTGGAGCTGGAGAACCACGCCATGGAGGTCCAGATCGACAGCTCCCGCCACCTGCTCACCATCGCCGGGTGAGCATCCCCGCCCCTGGCCTCCTGGCCCCGCCCTGGGCCCCCGGACAGAGGGGCTAGGGGCTGTGCCTGTTTACAGCACCCTGCTCCCCGTGGCCTGAACCCCACGTCTCCCCTTGGGGACGGGGCTGCAGCAGCTGGGAGCAGGAGAAGTCGCGCAGGGCGCTCAAATGGAGGGAGGAGCAGCGGAAGGAATCCTACACCAAGGACGACAGCGAGAAGGACTCGGACACCGGTGATGACCAACCAGACCTCCTCGAGCCCCCGGAGGTGGCCTCCGCACGGGAGAGCATCGCAGCCCTGGTGGGCGAGCAGAAGAAGCTGCGCAAGCAGAAGGTGCCCAGGGTGCCGGGGCCGGGAGAGTGGGTTTGCGAGGCAGGAGCCAGAGGGGCTGGGGGCAGGGTGGGGGGGAGCGAGCCCTGGGAGCTCGGGCCACAAATCCTGTGTGGCGTGACTTGCAAAGTTCCTTAGTAACCTCCTTGCACCTCGCGTTCCTTATCTGTAAAATGAGAGGCGTCATGGTACAGCCTTCATGGGGTTGTTGGGAAGAGTAAATAAATGCCTTTCACATACCAAGGATTCAAAAATTTTAAAAAAAAAATTTTTTAAGGTAGCCAATATTATAATCAAGGTTTTCCGGATAACAGATTTTCTTTGCCTTCTGTACTGAAGCATGCGCAGACCAGGGGCCTTCAGGGTACCATGAGCCCTGAGGACAGTGGACAGGCTGGGGTTCAGGAGTAGGTTGTGGTCAGAGCAGCCAGAGGTGGGCACAGAGGGGACACGGGGGAGCAGCCCCTGGTTGCAAGGCCCAAGATATAGCTTCAAGGGTTGGCCTCAAAGTGGAGCTTCCGCCCCTGGAACTTCAGCTGGGAGCCTGGGAGTCCGGGGTCAGGAGGGGCGCCGACCTGCTGGGTGCGGAGGAGCAGCCCCGGCCCGCTGCCTGGCGCTGACTCCACACTGCCTCCAGCTGGCGCTGGAGCAGCGCTGCCGCGAGCTGAGCGCACGGGGGCGCCGCCTGGAGGAGACGCTTCCGGGGCGCATTGGCTCCGAGGAGCAGCGGGAGGTGCTCAGCCTGCTGTGCCGCGTGCACGAGCTGGAGGTGGAGAACACCGAGATGCAGTCGCACGCGCTGCTCCGCGACGGCGCGCTCCGCCATCGCGGCGAGGCCGTCCGCCGCCTGGAGCAGCACCGCACCCTCTGCGATGAGATCATCCAAGGCCAGCGGCAGATCATCGACGGTAGGTCCTGCGACTCTGAGCCACCCCGGGGCCCCATGGACCCGCACAGAGCCAGAAGGCTCGGCCTGAGCCCTGTCCTGCCTCCAGCAGACTACAACCTGGCTGTTCCCCAACACCTGGAGGAGCTTTATGAAGTGTACCTGCGGGAGTTAGAGGAGGGCAGCCTGGAGCGGGCCACCATCATGGACCGGGTGGCCTCTAGGGCCCTGCAGGTGGGCTCCTGGGCAGGGGGTGAGGGAGGGGCCAATGCCTGAGGCAGCGCCTGCAGAGAGCTGGGCTGGCCAAGGGACCAGGCTGGCTGACGCCCCACGAAGCTGACTCCCTTTCCTTCTCACCCCACCCAAAGCCTTTCCAAGCCTGGGTTCGCTCCTCTTCTTCACTGAGGGTCAGAGGGTCAGGGTTAGTATCTGAGAAATCAGGAAGGGCCCTAAATTCCCTCGTGGGAAACCAAGCCATCAGGCACGAGTGCCACTGGGGAGGCTAACAGCCACGCTTGCCCCTGGGGACCCAGAACACTGTCCTCTGGGGCTCCCAGCCCACATCCCGGCCCTGGTCTTCCTGTGTGCCTTTGCCACCCAGCGCTGTCCTCTGGTCCAGGACCAAGCCTCCTGACTCTCCACCCCGCCCCCCTCCCCAGGACAGCTCCTTGCCCAAACTAAGCCCAGCAGGAACCATGCTGACGCCAGAGTCGGACCTGGAGGGCGTGAAGCCGCTGAGCTCCGGAGCCCAGCGCCTGCAGAGCAGCGCCCTCCCTCCCCTCGGCACAGAGAGGTGAGCCCCGGGGCCACTGCCCACCTGCCCAGCCCGCCTGAGCCACCGCAGACGCCAGCCCCGACGAGGGCTTCCCGGGGAAGATGGAGCAGGAGCGAAAGGGAGGAGGTGGCCCAGGTCTGGGGCCAGGACTCCTGGGTTCTCTCTCCCCTGGCGTGGGGGTGGAGCCTCTGTGGGACCAGCTTGGTCATCAGAGGCCCACCCTCCTCTGCCAATCTCAGTGAAGCCAACCCCGCGTTCAAGGCCAGTCCCCGGGCGTGGCAAGTGAAAAGCTCCTCGGTGCCCACCCCGCCTCCCATCCAGATCAGCAGCCTGGTGACCCAGGAGGTGAGCACCGGGCACCCAACGGCCCCATGGGCCCCTCTGCCGGGGGTGACGGCACAGGGGTGGACACCCCGCTGTTGGGATGGAGCCTTTCCAAAACGGCCACCACCGCTGACACCCTGCTGTCTCTGCCAAGTGGGGCGGGGGTCTCGGCTGAGTTCAGTGTCTTTCTCTTCCCAACTCCTTCGTCCAGCAGGTCGCTACTCAGGACAGCCTGCTCAGCCTGGGCAGCCGAATCAACTCTTCCCCTGACAGCAGCGAGAATCTGTCGGAGATCTCCTTGTCCCACAAAGGTGTGCCCCCTGTCCCCCCGTCGGCCCGATCCTGGCCTCATCTGAACCGCTCCGGCCACCCAGCGTAAAGCCCTTCCCTACCTCCGAACGCACCCGCGCCTCAGGCGCTGCCCATTCCAGGAAGGAGGCCCCGATGCCCAGAGACTATTAACCACTGGGACACACAAGTTAGGGGCACAGTCAGGAATCAGGATGGGAGATGCATGGCACTTGGGACGTGGTCCCCCTTCCCACTCAGTAACAGCTGCAGTAGCAACTACAGAGCGAATCCACACCACTTGGCCATAGGCTAAGCCCGTTATCTCCGTTAATGCTCACAATAACTCTGTGGGGCTAGTTTTATCACCCCCAGTTTACAGATGGAAGTGAGGCTCAGGAATTTGCCCCAGGTTTCTTAAACAGCAAGCAAGTGGGGGTGCTGGGATCGAAACCCAGACATTCAGGCTCCTGCCCGTCTCTGCCTTGGCCAAGGAGGGGGCTGGAGGTGCAGGCGGCAGAGGACTGGGAGGCCTAGACCCCAGGTTGGCTGCCCCCTCTGTCCTGCTGCAGAAAGGAAGGAGATTCTGACCGGCACCAAGGGCATCTCTGTGAAGGCTGCCCGGAGGCGCTCCAGGGCCCTGGGGGCGGAGGGGTGCCACCTGCTGGCCCCTGTGATGCAGCGCAGCAGCCTGTCCCTGCACTCGCTGAGCGAAGCTGACGACTCTCGACCCCTGGGCCCACTGGCCTGCAAGCGGCCGCCCAGCCCGACGCTGCAGCACGCTGCCAGTGAGGACAACCTGTCCAGCAGCACGGGCGAGGCCCCGTCCCAGGTGGCCGGGCATCGTGGCGATGGCCCTGGGCCCTGGCTGCGTGGCCAGAAGAAAAGTCCGGGCAAGAAACGGGAGGAGTCGCTGGAAGCAAAGAGGAGGAAGCGGAGGTCCCGATCTTTCGAGGTCACGGGGCAAGGGGTGAGGCCAGGGGTGGGGCGTCTGGGCCCCTTCCTCGCGGGCGGGGGCCTCAGGGCTGGATTCCTCCCGAGGCTCAGAAGCACGGGCACCAGCCCTGCACCGCCCCCCATGCCCCGTCGCCCCGTCACCCCGTCACCCCGGCTGACAGGAGCTGGGGCAGACGCCTGGACGTAGCACATCCCCACGCAGCTCAAGCCTCACCTCACTGTCCCCCAACCAACACAGCTCGCCCGCTCCAAGACACACCTCCTGGACCCCCGCCCGCTGGGGAACATCTCAGACCGCAGAATGCCAGTGTGTGGGCACCCAGCCCCTGGTATCCGGCATCTGGGGAAGGTCACGCTGCCTTTGGCCAAGGTCAAACTCCCTCCAAGCCAGAACACAGGTCAGTGTCAGCAAGAGGGGGCGGGGGAGGGAGACCTTGGTTTGCCCGAGGAGGCGGTGTGTTGCGCTGCCTGCCTCTGTGGCCGCCCCTGGCTGGAAACAGGGTTCTTGCAGAATATGGTGGGACTGGCATTTTGGGGTTGTGCCCCTCCCCCCAGGGAGTTCAGGACCACTGGGAGACCAGAGAGGGGACAAGCGGATTCCTAACCCCTGCGTCTGGCCCTTCCCCTGTTCCAGGCCCTGGGGTTTCCTCCCCCATCGCTGTTCCCTCCAACCCAGCTGGAGTTTCCCGGCGGGCTACGCGAGGGCCACGCCTGCCCCACGGCGCAAGCACCCATGGCAAAGACGGGCACTTCCGGCGTCACTGAGGGACCCTGCCTGGAACCGGCTCTCCTGCCCCCCCCCCCAAGACTGAATGGGGCATAGCAAGGAAATGGAGACTAGGCAGATGGGGGTGACGCGGAAGCAGAAGCTCAGGATGGCAGACGGCCAGGGCTCCGGAGACCCGGGAACTGTGAGGGGGGCTGCCCACCCCTTCCATGTGTGCAGTGCCACCGAGGAAGGGAGGCGAGCCCAGGAGGCACCGCTGTTGTGACCGAGCTCCCTGGCCTCCCTGCCCTGGACAGAACCCTGTTGCCAAAACTCTGCACAGGCCTGTGGCCAGACTTGGCCTCGGAAATGGGAGAAGAGAGTTGTTGGTGGGCCAGGGCTCCCGGGCCCCCGCCTGGGCCTTGGGCATCCTGGACGGTGGGGGAGGGGCCCGTGGGTATTCCTCATACTTCGGGGTGCGGCGGGGTGGGGGGAGGGAATCTGGTTTCCTCACTTGAGCAGTGGTTTCCTTTTTAACAGTAAAATCTCATTTGGGTCTTGACAGTCGTGCTGGAAACAAGCCCTTGTCTGGACCGGGGTGGCCATGACTGATGAAGATTAAGCCCAACTCCCCTGCCCCTCCCTCCCCTGCCACTCTAGCTGGCAGCGGAGCACCAACCTACAAACACCTGGGGGATGGGGGTGTTTCCCCGAACCCCCAGCTGCGCCCCCCATGAAAGGCGGGGCTCGCAAGGCCCGCTCACATCCCAGCGCTGCTGTCCAGGCTCCCTCGCAAGTGAGGTGGTTCCCTGGGCGAGTCCAGGCCCAGACGCTGCCCAGCTAATCCCCTCGGCTTCAAAGTGAGAAAACCCCTGGGTCCGGGGCTGCCCAGGCTTCCCAGCCCGGCCCACAGCCCTGATCACTCAGATGCCCTGTTCCATGTCGGGGCTGGTGGGGGGCGGGGGTGGGGGCTGGGGGAAAGCTGAGGAAACACAGGGACCCCCTAGATCTGTGGCTGATTTTTGCCGAGGCCTGGGTGGTTCAATCACCCCCTTGCTTCTCTGAGCATCGGTTTATTCAACCAAAAGCATGGTCTTCAAGTCAGCTGTGAATCAGCTTCTGTATCCAGGCACCTGGTCTATCACCCCTCACCTGGCCTCCATCTGAGGTCACCAGCACCTGGCTACTCGGGGAGCAAGGGTAGGCACCGGCGCCTGCCTTGCCCTTCCCAGTCCCTCCAGGCCATCTATGCCCAGCCTTCATTTCCCGATCCCGAATCGCCCAGGGCGCCAAGCTCCCCGTCCCCACCCTGCTTGGCTACTTGGGGGTCCGGATGAGGGTGTGGTAGACAGGTTTGACGATGAGGTGGAGGTGCAGGGCGTTCTCCACCAGGTACTCGGAGTTGCGCCGCTGCAGGTCGGCGTGCGCCAGGAAGTCGCCCGCCTCCTCGCTGCTCTGGTGGAAGCTGTAGGCGTGGCGGACCAGCAGGCGGCCGTGCTGGCGCGCCCCGACCAGCACTGTCTTCTGGAAGCTCACGCCCGCCGCGTCGCCACCGCTGCTGGCTGGCGTGACCACGAGCCGCGGCCGGCCATCCTCGGGGCGCGCGGCGGGCAAGGCGGTGCCCGGGGCGTCAGCGTAGACGGGCCGCAGGCTGACGGGCAGCCAGCGCGGCGAGAAGAGCACGTTCCACGTGACGCGGCGGCCCGAGTCGTGGCCGCTCGGGCCCAGCTGCGTCTGGAAGCTGGTGCTGCGGTCGTCGCGGGCTGGGTTGTTGATAACCCAGGGGGCGCCCCAGGCGGGCGCGAGGTAGTTTCGGGGCAGGAAGGCGCTGCCGTTGATGTCGAAGAATTTGGCGTAGTGCAGCGGCGAGGCAGCGTGGAACTGGTAGGCCTGAAGCAGCAGGTCAGCCACCGCCTGGCCATGGCGCGCCAGGGCGGCCGAGCGCGCCTGCAGCTGGAACAGCTGCGCCGGCGGGATCATGGGGTAGCGGATGGCGCGCAGCGCCCGCTCGGCCACGGCGGGTGGAGGCCGCGCGCGGCCCAGCCAGGCCTCTAGCGCGTGGAAAAGCTCCAGCTCGTCCTGCAGCACCAGGTCTGAGCGCAGCAGGAGCTGCGCCAGCAGCTCGGGGCTCACGGAGCCCCACTCGGCGCTTCCCGCCACGGCCGACAGGTTCCAGGCCAGGAACTGGAGGCAGCTCTGGCGCAGGGCCTCGTCCCCGGTGCTCACCGCGTAGTGGTACCAGCCCACCGCTGGGCCCGCGCCGCCTGCCAGGTGCGCGCGCATGTAGTCAGCCACGCCCCGCTGCAGGGAGGCCACACCGTACTTGGTGGCCAGCTTATGCAGGGGGATGGCCTGGGCCAGCAGCACCGTCAGTTCCCCGCAGTAGAGGTACCTGCGGAAGAGGTGCAGATAGGGGGCGGGGTCGGAGCGCAGCCGCCTCCGCCCCCAGCCTGCGGCTGTGCCTTCTGTGTCCAGAGGGGACCTGGCCTGAGGTGGTGATCCCTGCGATCAGGGGTGCAAACAGAATGGCGGGCCCTGCGGCTTCCTGTCTTTTCCTCTCTTGCTCATTCTACCTCCCAGCCTCCTCTTTCCAGTTCTCATAGGGACATAAAAAAAGCATGTATTTATGGAGCTTCTACTAGACGCTGAGCTCTACACTGGAACAAGACAGATGTGGCTCCTACAATTCTGTGTCCAGATCCAAGTGTTATCGCCTGCTTGCTGTGAGTGGACAAGTCATTCAGCTGCACTCACCACTCGGCCTCATGCTGAACCTCTAGGAAAGGGAGAATAACATCACCCCTCAGAGTTACTGTTACAGTTGGAGAGAGACTGGTACTTGCTACAAAGCAGGTGGTCACACAGGTTAATTCCCATTTCCCCTCCCCCTTTTCTCGCAGCCTCAATTTCTCATCGTGTCTCTCGCCCCTCGTTATCTGCTATCACTCTTGCTCACTCATTTGTTCTCCATCTGCTGCGTCCCCCTGTCCACGCTCCTGCCAGTCCCCACTGGCACACACTGGATGGGCGTGTGGCAGCAACTGTCAGCCACCAGCCCCGACACCCGGGTCTCCCCTCTCCCGGAAATCCTGCTCAGCAAGTTTGCCTCTGGGAATAAAGGATGTCTCCCTGGGCTTCCTCAGAGTGAGTGTGGCCGTGTGACTAAATTGCAGCCAGTAAGAGGTCAGCCCAAGTGCAGCATGGGATCGAGGGGGAGGATGGTTAAGGAGAACCACCTGGGGTGAGGGGAAGACCCTTTTTGCTCTTCTGTGTCATCCGTCTTCCTGTTGTCCTAGAACTTGGATGTGATGGCTGGAATCCTGGCAACCACTTTGTCTCAGCCATTAAAACAGTTGCTTTCTCGCACTGTGGTGTGACTGGCAGCCCTGGTGCTGTGCGCACTGGCAGGAGGCAGGAAGGGGCCGAGCTGGCTAACGTTCGCAGCCCCCGAGCCCTGTGGTTCCAGACCGGGCTGGAAAACAAGCCACATGGAGGCTTTAAAGATTAAAAAATGGCTGCGGAACCCCGACCGGAAGCCAACGATCCGGGGTATAGCGCCAGAGTCTGTGGCTCCGGTAAAGCCTCTCCTGGCCAGGCTTGGAGACAGCTCTGAGGGCATTTGGTAACTGACGTCAAACGACCGAGCTCACACGCTGGGCAGGGAGTCACGCTGCATTTGCAGGAAAGAGGGCAGAAGAGAAGGGATGGGGAGGTAGTGGCATCCTCATCCTAATGACATCGGGAGATGGACATAGTGACCTCTCCGTGACCCTGTGAGTGGAGGACCCTGGAGCCTGGGAAAGGAAGAAGTGCCCCCGCCCGCCCCTGCCCCTCCCCACCTGAGGAACTTGTCAAACACGGCAGCGCAGTCCCTGGGCTCCTGCAGCACCACCTCGCTCTGGTTGCTCAGCAGGTCCCGGAACAGCTCGCTGTGCAGCCCCAGCAGCAGGCGGTGGGCATGGAAGACTCGGACCTCGTCGGTGCCCGCAGCCTGCACCCGCAGAACCACGTCGCTGGCGTTGCCCTGCCGCATCAGCTCCTGCAGGCGCAGGAGCAGCATCTGGGCGTGGTTGATGGAGGCGCCCGCAGCCTCGCCACCCACGTCCGCTCTCTGGGCTGCAGCGGGAAGGAGCACAGCACAGTCGGAGGAGGCCCCGGGCCGGGAGCCGTGATCCAGGGGCACAGAGAGTCCACCTGGAGGGGCACGTGCCTGGATATGGGCAGAGGGTGGGCAGGCCTGGGAGGCCGTGCACACCTGCTTGTGCCCTTGAAGTGCGTGGATCCCTGCGTGTGCACACGGCACTTCCTGGTGGGGAAGTCGTGAACCTGACCCTGAGCAGACCCTGCAAGGATGCTCTGGGAAGGGAGGGGGATTCCTGGCAGGGGAGGAGAGAGGTGCATGAACCAGGGTGGGGCAAAACGCCCAGAACGGGTCCCCAGAATGCCGACCCCCAGGCAAGCCCCGCACTCCTGAAGAACTGCCCGCCTAACGCCCAGGACGAGCTGTGTGCTAGCCGCTCCCCCGGGAGCTTGGACTATGGCCGAGACCAAAACGAGCCAGGTCCTTATGCTCATGAAAGTTCACAGCAAGTACCCAGATAAGCACTCTCGCTTCAGGGTGTGATACACAAGGGAGGTGATGATGGTAGTGGGACTGGGGCTCCTTCAGGCCCAGGAGCCACGGGTGGGCTGGCTGAGGGAGAAAGAAGGACCCGGAGGAGGAGCGTCAGGCTGAGAGCCAGCCCCGTGGCGAAGGATGGGCTTGGGGTGCTGGGAGCCAAGAGAAGGTTAGGGGGCCAGAGGCAGGGAGGGGGGGGGAGGGGCGCGAGACAGGCTCCAGGCATGGAGGGGTCCGTTTCCAGGCCCAGCCGCCCTCTGGGGTACCCCTCTGTGAGAGGGACCAGAGGAAGTACAGAGAGGAGCCGCTGCTGGACTGGGACTCTCGCGGTACTTGCGCATTGAGGTGGCATCGCCCTTGGAGGCTGGGCCCTTCTGTCGTGTTTCCAGGGGCGCCATGAGGGTCAGATGGGGACATGCACTCAGTTATAGAAAACTCAGTGACAGAAAATGGTGCCAGCAGCTTTCCCAAGCTGAGAGGGGTGTGCGGAAGAAAAGGGGGGCGTCTGACTGCAGTCGGTGGGCACCCGCCCCCTCCCCCCCAGACCCCCAGCCCACGTGAGCTATTGGAGAAAAGGCTCACCCAAGAGCCGAGCATCTGTGGGTAAGAAAGAGAGACAGCAGGAGAAAGGGGGGCGGGGAGCTGGGTTAACTCCCCAACCCCGCCTCCCCAAGCTGTCATTTTGAAGGACCTGAATGCTGATGGCACCCAATCGGCCTCTGCCTGGGCCCGCTGCCCAGGACAATGGACAGCAGAAGGGTCTCCTTGTCATTAGGACCCCGGCCCATGGTCACCCCTCCACCCCTGAGGCAGGCTGCCCTCCTCCCAGGCTGCGTGGACTCGGGCTCCTCCTGGCTGGCTGGACACTGTCCCTCCAGCCAGTGTGCAGCTGGGACAAAAAGGGCCTGCCCTTCCTCCCTGCCCCACCCCCACCCCACCCACTGCCCACTCACCTGCGCGCGTAGCCAGGCCCACCAAGGTGAGCACGGCCCAGAAGCCACCCCAGGACCCGGGCTTGGTGCGGCCCAGCCTCAGCATCTTTGTGCCCCTCCCTGGAGCCACTGGAGGGACAGCGAAGCCCAGGCCACTCCTCTCACATCCCTCCTCCTTATATAGGACTGAGCACAAGGGGATGGCACCCCCTTCCTGGCCGGCCGCCCCCCCCCCCCCCCCCCAGCCTCTGCCTTGGATTGGTAGAAACTGGCCCCAGCTGTTGCCCAGGCAACCTCTTAAGCCCCAGAGTGGCAGCCCCAGGGGCTATTGTGCTGCTGAGGGCCTGAGCAGGACAGATCCGGCACCCTCCCCCACACCTCCTGCCCCCACGCAGAGCTAGCCCTCCTCTCCCGGGAAGTTTTAGGCTCCGTGAAGGGCAGGCAAGAGGCTCCAGGCTGACTGACAGCGCCGGCCCAGAGGGTCCCCAGCCCCCTCCCCCAAGCTCCAGGCCGGGCCTCGGCGCTGGCTCAGTGCGCGCTTGGCAGCCTCTTGGCTGGAGAACCGTGGCGAGCAGGCTGCAGAGAAGGGCCTGGGAGAGGAGAGGGACAAGGCGGCTCGGGGCCCCCACCCCCTCCCATTTTGGGCTGGGCCAGCTCTCCAGTGAGGACAGGGGTGTCGGTCAGGGCCCCATGGGTAGCTGGTGTCATGTTCATGATTTTTGTGGGAGAATGTTCCTGGCATGCTCTGGGGAGCATGATGTGACCGTCGACCCCATCAAGGGTCAAGGTGAGCCAAGGTGGCAGGGCTGGGCATAAGGCAGGTGCACCCTACCCTCTGTGTCAGCGCAAGGGGACACCCCCGCCCAGAGCAAGGCTGGCCACCTTGGCGGCAGCCCAGCCAGCCTGGGCCTGGGCATGGGGACTGGAGGTGTTGGGATGCACCCCTGTCCGCCCTGTCACCCCTTCCTTGGATTCACCTTCCCAAGTGGCCTCAGGTGTCTGGGGTCACCTGCTTGTCCCGCTTCTCTTACCGGCTGCTGTCCAACTGCCAGCTATAATGTTTCCCTTCTCAGAGTTCCAAGGAGACCCCCAGTGGACGCGGCGCCCCGCCCCAACCACAGGAGACACCCAGGCGGGGAGCTAGGGCAGTCTCTGCCGGTCAGTGCGGATGAGTGATCTTGTCAGCACGGAGGAGCAGAGACAGGAGAGAGGGCCTGGAGGCTGGGGGAGTGAGGGTGGGTGGGTGGGCAGGCCCTGAGGAGACCTCGCGATTTTAGGGGGTGAGCGGGGCTTGCCTCAGTCCTGGCGGGAGACACTCCTCCAATGAACTGAAGACCGGGGCTCCCCGGAGGCCCAGCACAGAGTGTCCCCTGAGGCCAGGTTCTTGACGGAGGCCGGCCTGAGCCCGCCCTCCCTCGCTCTCTGGATCCCAGGGAACCGCTCGATGCATTGATTTCTGCCCCTGGTGGGTGCAGGGGGACCAGCAGCTCCGCCCCCTCTCTGGTGCCACAGACAGAGCAGAAGCTGGGTCTGCCCCATCCGGGTTGGCAGAGATGGAGCAGACCACCCCAGTGGAAACCCCTTCCGGCTGCCCTGACCTTCACACTGGTTCCCCTCGTCCAGAGCCACCATCCCTTGTCCGCTGGCTGCCCACCTGCCCTCCCCATGGGCTGCGCCATCGCCCCAGCCCAGCCCAGCCCTGCCCGGCCGGACCAAGCCTCCGTGTGACGGGGATCCGGGCCTCTGAGGGCGTGAGATTTCCACACGCAGTACTTTTCAGTGGGAATGTTTCTGATGAGAAAGAAGTGGCGATAAGAGAACCCACTACTCAGAAAGTGGTATTTTAGTAAGCACACTTCTTAACTCCAGCAGTCTTTCTAGAAGTGTAGCCCACCTGCACTGGGAGGTAGACCCAAGCTAAGGTCCACCTCCCAGGCCTAGACAGGTGGCATTGCAAGTGTGCAAGGGCTGGAGGAGCCCCTCTGACCCTCGTCCCTGCGAGGCCCCACTTCCTGCTATTTCTCACTTCCGTTATCCCCGAACTTCGTCTACTGATTTCGAAACTGGCTTTCCAGAATAGGTGTTCCCTGTTCTCATTTTCATAATCTGAAGGTTGCTGGAGCGTGTGCATACATGTGGGCAAGTACATGTGTGTGCAGGCATGCACGTGTATGCGTGTGTCATTTGCAAGTGTCTTGGAGTAGAAGAGAGGAAAGAAGACCTTTGCCCTGCACGGTCCTGGAGACAGAGGATTTGAAATACCCTGTTTTATTTTGCCCTGAGACTCTGGAAGCTCTGTAATTCCTTGAGAGCAAGTCTAATGAGCTCACAGGCTAAACCAGTTCCCAGAGGGCTCTGCCACTTCCTGCCCAGGACACGAGTGTTTATAACCTAAGTGACTTGGTCTCACGGCCAGGAACAGGCAGAGCCAGGACTCAGATGTCGCTTTTCAACTCAACTTTTCTTCCCACAGCCCCACGCTGTCGCTTCTGGGCAGCTCGCGCAGTGACCCTAACAGACCCCGCTGGGCAAGTGCTCTCTCTAGCGCTATAAAAGCAACGGAAAATCCTTGCAAGCTTGGGGCAGGGAGGTGAGTTTCTGAACCTCTGGAGCGGGGGCTCAGACGCTGGGCTACAATGACGCCTGCCCGCCTCAGCCCTGCCCGGACGGCAGCCTCTCTTACGCTGTAATGTCCCCCCTCCTGAGCTAGCGTTTCCTGGGGCGCTGAGCTTCGGGAGCAGGGAGTCACGAGTTCAGGGTCCAGGCCCCATGAGCTCGGGGGTGGGGGGCACACTAATAACGTGCAAGAAAGCATCTTTCCTTGAAGTCACTCACGCAGTATGGAAAGCTTCCCCGGAGGCCAGGCTGTTGGTCCACGGGGTACACTCGCTCTTCAGCCTCGGCACCCCCGTCAGCGGTCCCCCCGACTGGAGCGGCCTTCCGCGGCCGCGTGCTGTCCATCTGACCCGGGTCCCCCTCCTGGGCTCACAGTGGCCTCGCCTCCCCCTCCTCCAAGCTCCCAGAGTAGGTGTGGGAGGCAGGAACAAGGGAACAGCTCAGGCAGAGGGGCAACCCAAATTCAATTCCATCGGCCGCTCTGCGGCCTTCACCTTGTTGCTGAGCTCTGAGGCTTGGGCCCCTCTTGCGTGAGGTGGAGATAACCAGAGTTAGCATGGAGCTGCCACAAGGGCAGCAAGTGCAGGGACAAAGTGGGTGCTCAGGAAATGCTGGCGGAGCCCCTCGCCCATGGGCGCTGGCCTTTCTAACTTGACTGTGAGCAGCTCCTTGCTCACGCGGTGCCTCGTGGTGCAGGGAGGTGGCGGCCTGGGGATTATCTGTGCTTGCTGGGGACTCGCTGCACTCCAGGGCTGGCATCCTGGACACTCTCCCTTGGGGCCTGGGTGGGTAGTTTCTACTCTGGTCCCACTGTGCCACCCAGGGGACCTGGCCAAAGGCAGGAGATTCTCAGTCCTGCAGGGTCAGGATATGGCCACCAGGGGGCAGCAAGACTTCTGTGGTTGTGGCCAGGGCTGCCCTGGAGGTGGATGGCGGTGGGAGTCCCAGTCGAGGTAGCTCCAACCCCAGATGTGGGCTCTAACTTAGGGAAGCTGGAAGCCAGGCTGCCACATTCCCAGAGGGCGAAGGTGGGAGGCGAGTCCAGGCTGGGCCTCAGCTCCCCTCCAAGTCCGCCTGTGCGTTGCTCGGAGCCCCCACTGTGGGCTGCGCTCACGACTTTCCCCCGAAGTGGCGGGAGCCAGCCAGGCGCAGATTCCAGCTCCCCCACGGTGCTCACCCACCGTCTGGTGTTTATTTGCCAGTGGCTGATGTTCTCTGACGAATGGTCCATTTCAGCAGGGCCAGGAAAACAGCAGCGTGCGGGGGGCCACCAGACCTTGGTTTCCCAGCACGGCTGGCAGCCTGCTCAGACTTCTCTTAATGGTACAGCTACCGCTGTGCATGGCTTCCTGACACCCTTCCAAACCAGCCGCCCCTCAGGAGCCTCCTCCTGATCGCACCCCCCTGCACCGCCTGCAGCAGAACCAACTCCCCCAAACGTGGCCATGAGACTTCTCTCCGGAGCTGGGTGCTGTCTGCGGCGACCTCGCCTCTCTCTCCTCAGCACTGGTTTCCCCCACCTCTCTCTGCAGACCGAACCGCCACCCCTGATGCTGGTAGTTGGCTTCCCAAACCCTTCTGCCTTTCCCCGAAGGCCTCCCCAGGGCGAGCCGGCCTGGTGGAGCGCAGGCCAGTTCCCAGAGTGTAAGCACACAGAGGGAGCATGAGGTCTCCCATCCAGACCCTGCCCCCCAGCCTGTGCACCACCCCCCGCCCCGCCGGCCTGCGCCCCGGGATCCTGGTGCACCAGGCCCCCCTCACTGTGCAGCCGTCTTCCCCTGAGGCTCAGCCCCGCCCTTTCCTTCCTCCTCCACCCTCCGCCCTCCTCCCCACCATCCCACCTCTCTGCACTGACGGCTCAGTGGGGCTGGAAAAACCTCAGAGCAAACAACTGCCTGGAGAGCTGGCGATGCGGGGAGGGACCTGCAGGGACACCCAGGAAAAGCCCCACGGTGACCCTGGATTCAGGACCCAGGAGCATGAGGCTTGAGGGACAAGAGACAGGTAAAGTATATAGAACGGGGAGGGAGGGGAGACTCAGGTGGAAGGACACGTGTGGAATCCGGAGACCAGGACTGGGGAGCTAGACGCTGATGATGAGTGGGCGGTGGGATGGGGGAGCCAGGTTGAGCAGGGGGCTGGGGAGGGGGCTTCAGCAGGAAACCAACTAGAAGGTAAAACCTACAGACCTAAAGTGTGGGCTGAGGGGCACAGGGAGGTCACCTTACTCCCCTGGACTGAGGTTTCCCACCTGAAAACCAGGGCCGTTCCAGCTCCAGCAGAGTTAACCTATGAGGAGGGGTTTTCTTTAGCATAGAAAAGAGGGGAAACTAATAACATCTCTTGTTGAAGAGGGGTGGCTGTCTCAGAGAGCCGGGCAGCTGCTGGGGGTCCCCGTGGGTCAGGACCACCTGGATCCTCATGAAACACACAGCCCCAGCCAGCGTGGCTTATTTGGTCAGAGCATTATCCCTGGTTTAAACCCATGATTCCCCATCTGGGCACGTACAGGAAGCGACCAATCGATGGTTTCTCTCTCACATCGATGTTTCTCTCACTTCCTGCAATAAAGAAATGTCCTTGGGTGAGGATAAAAAAATAATAATATGTAAGTAAATAATGAAAACGACAGCTGCTCAAGCCCCCCAGCAGACCCTCCGGCGTAGACTGCCTGGAACGAGGTTTGGGACGCTGCTTTCACAGGCAGCCACTCCCGCGCCCCCTGTGCGTGAGGTCTGCGGCAGGACCCAGCTTTCCAGGCTGAAGACGCACCAGGAGCGACATGGTGGAGAGGCCACCGAGGGCTTCTTCTCATCCTTGGGGAAGCCAGGCCACTGGGGGGGGGAGTGAGGACTTGGCAATGGGGACAGTCATTTGGCTGGACCTGATCAGAGGGCCTGCCCAAAGCAGGGCGAATAAAGACCTCAGGGTCCGGGGCAGGGTCGGGGTGGGGCGGCTGCCAGGCCAGACTGGAAAGAGACCAAATGCTCTAACCCACACCCTTCCGCCCTTCCTAGCCGGGCAGCTGCAAGTGACCATGCTGTCCACACCCAATGGCAGCGGGCCCAGCCAGGAGTTTGGAGGCCATTGGCCAGAGACCCCAGAGAGGTCCCCATGTGTGGCCGGTGTCATCCCTGTGATCTACTACAGCATCCTGCTGGGCCTGGGGCTGCCTGGTGAGTGGGGAGCTGGGGCCTGGGGTCTTGGGCTGGCTGGAGATTGGGGTCCCCCTGAGACTCAGGGTCACAGACCCCATAGGCCCCCCGGGCTCCTGTTGCCTTTATGGGGATGATCTGGGTCCCTGGGGAACACGGCATAGTGGGGAATATAAGTGGAGGACAAGAATTGGGGTCCTGAAGCTACACCCAAGACTTCAGCAGAGCAGTGGGCCCTCTTCTGGGGTGACCAAGCTCGCACAGGACAGCCCTCGCTCGGGCGAAAGCTCCCCGTCCCGTCCACTGCCTTCAAACAGCAGAGCTGGGGTGGCGGGTGGGGTGCAGGTGCGGGGAAGGGCAGGTGGGCTAGGCCTCGGGGAATCACCCCTCCCCACCTGTCGCCAGGGAAGCCTGCATGTCGGGCAAAGGCCCAGCCCAGCGTGAAGTCAGTGGCCGGTGGGACAGAGTTTGGATGGACAGAGCAGGGCCGACCCAGTTAGCCTTCTGACAAAGTGAGTTTTAAGAAGAGTCTGGAAAGAGGAAAAGGATCCAGAACAAGCAGGCAGGGAGGCACGGTGGTAACACCTTGGGAAGCTAAGTCTGAGCCACCCTCCTAACCCTCCCATCTCTCCCCTCGGTGACCTGGGCCACCCTCAGTCAACCTCCTGACCACGGTGGCCCTGACCCGCCTTGCCACCAGGACCAGGAAGCCCTCTTACTACTACCTCCTGGCGCTCACGGCCTCGGACATCGTCACCCAGGTGGTCATCGTGTTCGTGGGCTTCCTCCTGCAGGGAGCTGTGCTGGCCCGCGAGGTGCCCCAGGCAGTGGTGCACACGGCCAACATCCTGGAGTTTGCCTCCAACCACGCCTCCGTCTGGATCGCCGTTCTGCTCACGGTTGACCGGTACAGCGCCCTGTGCCGCCCCCTGCACCACCGCGCGGCATCGTCCCCAGGCCGGACCCGCCGGGACATCACCATTGTCCTTGGAGCTGCCCTGCTGACTGGCATCCCCTTCTACTGGTGGCTGGACGTGTGGAGGGACGCAGACCCTCCCAGCACGCTGGACGAGGTCCTCAAGTGGGCTCACTGCCTCACCGTCTATTTCATCCCCTGTGGCATCTTCCTGGTCACCAACGTGGCCATCGTCTGCCGGCTACGGAGGAGGGGCCAGGGTGGGCTGCAGCCGCGGGTGGGCAAGAGCACGGCCATCCTCCTGGGCCTCACCACGCTCTTCACCTTCCTTTGGGCGCCCCGGATCTTCGTCATGCTCTACCACCTGTATGTGGCCCCCGTCCACCGGGACTGGAGGGTCCACCTGGCCTTGGACGTGGCCAACATGGCGGCCATGCTCAACACAGTAGTCAACTTTGGGCTCTACTGCTTTGTCAGCAAGACCTTCCGGGCCACCGTCCGAGGGGTCATCCACGACGCCCACCTGCCCTGCACGGTGGGGTCACAGCCAGAGGGCACAGGGGTGGAGCCTGTGCTGAAGCCTCCAGGGCTCCCCAAAGGGGCAGAAGTGTAGAGGAGAGGCCCAGCCAGCGAGCTTGCAGTGCCTCAAGGCCAGATGTACTGGGCCTTTGTGGTGGTGCCCACAAAACTTAATCAACACCCTACTTTGCAATCTGAGGGCGGAGGGAGAGGCTCCTTCCTTTGGGGGGGCCCCCAAATAGAGGGGAGGACATTTTATTGAACTCTTGCGCTAGCTTCACCAGCGAGTCCCGTTTCCTGGGACAAAGCTAACCATGTCAGCTGCTATGGGCATTCCTTTGTGAGGGACATGTCACCTGGCACATCTGAAGGCCAAAGTAATGCTTGGCTGAACGTGTGAATGCGCGAATGGAAGAAAAGACGGATGGATGATGGATGGATGGACAGATGAATATGACTTGTTTCCAGCCCACCCCTTTCCTGGGGCCCACCTCTCATTCCCTAAATTGGTCACTTCTCTGGCTTCCAGTGACAATGCCAGTATGAAAAGGAAGGTGTCCCCAGGATTCCTGGGCTGGGGAAACCAACTGCGCTGGGCCAGGCGCCGCAAGGGGGCTGCTCGGGAAAGGGGGTTAGTCCTGAAGCAGAGCCCCAGCTCTAAGGAGACTCGACTCCTTGGGCTTCCTTCATTCTGGTTTGATTCCACTGAACTCCCTGCCCGGAGCCAGAACCCATTCGGAGGCCTGCAGGTTTCCTGGGGCTTCAGTTTTCATTGTTGCCATGACCACGCCCAGAAGGAAGTGCCCTCTCAGCGCAGGGGCCAGGGAAGGGGGAGCGGGGAGGGAGGACGTGCCCCCCACCCCCACCGAGCCCACTTCACTCAGGGAAAGGCCTCTTCACCACCGGGAGGAAGGAGATGGCTCCGCTGACCTGAGCCTGACCCCAAGGGGCTCCGCGGGGCCCCTCCAGCCTCTCCAGGGCCCCTGGCTCCTGGAGTAGCAGCTGGGAGAGACCAGCAGATGGACCGCCCACCTGCTCCAGGCGCTGGGTAAACACATTAGCAGCGGCAGCTGAGCTGACCTTTCCCCTGAGCGGGAGCTGCGGGCTGGGCCCCCACCCGTACCCAGCCCTGTAATGGGGTTACGTAAGTGCAAGAGCCAGATGTATGCTGGGCATACAGTCAGTGTACAATAAATGCTCGGCTTTTCCCCGCTTTGCATCTCTTTCTACCCAGAGTAGGGCCATCCGGGAAAAGACAGCCGCTTCCAGAAGGAGGAAAAGACAGGTCCTCCCAATCCCTTAGCTACAATTCTCAACTCCAAAAAAGCTTGAAAAACCTCCTGAGTTTGCCACTAACGTTCAGTGGCGAAGCCGGACCCGAACCAATGGGAGGTGGCACACACTATGTCTCTGCGCGGACTGGCTGCCTGGGCTCTCCTGCCGACAGCGACAGCACAGTTACAGGCTGCAGCCCCACGCCCACTAAGATCGAGACCTAACACCTAGACTAGGCCACCTGTGACTTTATTCTGAAAAATTCTGAATTCTGAGACACATCGCGTCCCAGGAGCTCAGGGGAAGCGCTGAGGACTTGTAAGTCCTGCCCTTTCTGCCACCACATGGTCTCAGCAGACTCTGAGTGGATTGGGGGCATGGGGGTCCCCCCGCTGGTAGAGCTGATGCACCTTTCAACTGAAGACTGAAGCTGGTAGGGCTTCAGTCCTCGCTTAAGGAGGAGGAGGTGCAAGTGCAGGACCCCCCGGAGGGAGACGGGGACCCTCGAGGGTGAGAGGATGTCTGCCCCCCAGCCTCGCCCGAGGGTCCAAGTCCGCACGCTGCTGAAGGAGGCTCCTGGAGGAAAGGGGCTTTGGGGATGCAGGGCCAAATAGAACACAGCTGGAGAGGGACCGTCTTCCCGCTCTGTATAAAATTGACAGGACCCTAAAGAGAGATCCCCCAAACCAAGGAATACCCTTGTCTTGGAAGGCAGCTGCTGGCGGGGGGGGGGGGGGTGGGTAGCAATAGCAGGAAGCCCCTTTCAACTGGCTGGTGAGCTGCTCTCCAGGACACAGATTCACTCACTCGTCCCCGACACCGGGGAAGCCAGGAGCCCCCCAAAACAGGTGGGGAGGCTCTGCAGACCAAGGAAACCGATGCCCAGGGAGGCGAGGTGACGGGCACATCGCCCTGAGCTGGTCAAGAGAAGCGTAGGTTCAAACCCGAGTCTGCAAGCTCGGGGTTCGTCCACATCCACCACCTCAGGTGCGGAAGACGGAGAGGAAGGGCACCTTCAGGGACGCTTGGCATCACTCACAACCTTTAGTCTTGGGCTTACCAGATTTGGGAACTGATAACTTATTTTCCTATTAAGTTGCGTTAGGTAACAGTTTTCTTTTTAACATTTTGGTAACCTTTACTGAAATGAAGAGACCATGGCTTTGATAAGCACGTCATTGAAATGTAAATGAAAAGTATTATTAAAATTGCTCTTGCCCTGGGGGTGGGGGGTAGCTCAGTTGGTTAGAGCATCCTCTAGATACACCAAGGTTGCAGGTTCGATCCCCGGGCAGGGCACATACAGGAAGCAACCAAGGAATGCATGGATGGGTGGAACAAGTAGATGTCTCTCTCCCTCTAAAATAAATAAATAAAAATTAAAAAAATTAAATTAAAAAGCTGCCCTTGTTCCTCTTATGTGTTTTTACCATTAAACTCCCACGGGCTCCTAGAGAAGGAGACTGAGGTACTGTGGGTCCCGCTTCTCTCAACCCATCTGCTGAAACACCTCGGCGGACGGGACTCCTCTACGACGTCCTGTTTCTCCCTCACGCTTCTCCGCTGCTGCCCTGTCTGTCCGTGGCACTTATGTTCTTAGCATTAACTCTCGGTTACTGTTTGAGGGCAGTTATTTTTCAAGCATCTTTCACATCTTCCCAGACTATATATGATTTTTGCTCTTTTGGAAGCTGGTGGAAAAATTGGTTTCTGGTCTGTCTATCTGTGTGTATTGGTGTCCTGCGGTTGCCATAACAAAATACCGCAGTCTGAGTGGCTAACACAACTGACATTGATTTTTGTATAATTCTGGAGGCCGGAAGTCCAAGATCAAGGTGTCGGCAGGTTTGTGTCTTCCCGGCGCTCTCGCCTTGGCTTGCAGGCGGCTGTCTCCTCCCCGTGTCCTCACGTGGTCCTCCCTCTGCGTGGGTGTCTCCCTGGGGTCTCTCCACGTGTCCAAATCTCCTCTTCTTGTAAAGACGCCCGTCGGATTGGATCAGCACCAACTCTAACTGCCTCGTTTTAACTTAATTACCTCTTTGAATTCACATTCTGAGGTACAGGGAGTTAGGGCTTCAACTTAGGAATTTGGGGTGGAGAGAATCAGTCCATAACGCTGGTTATTTTAAAGAGAAATGTTAGTCTATCTAGGTATCCAGTTTTTTGATGAAAGTAACTTTTCTCTTAACTTTATTTTTTTAATTTTATTTTATTGATTATGCTATTATAGTTGTCCCAATTTTTCCCATTTGCCCCCCTCCACGCAGCAACCCCCACTCCCTCTTATTGGTTGCTTTTTGCTTCCTTATATTCCAACTCATTGATTTGATTCTTGGCTTCATCCACTCTACTGTTATTCTCTGTAAATTGTTTTTTATTTGAATTTCAAGTGTATCCTTTGTTTCTGACTGGTTCTTTTTCATGCTGCTGAGGTCCTCACAAAGTTCCTTGAGCATCCTTATAACCAGTGTTTTGAACTCTGCATCTGATAGGTTGCTTATCTCCCTTTTGTTTAGTTCTTTTTCTGGAGTTTTGATCTGTTCTTTCATTTGGGCCATGTTTCTTTGTCTCCTCATTTTGGCAGCCTCCCTGTGTTTGTTTATATGTATTAGATAGAGCTGCTTTGACTCCCTGTCTTGATAGTGTGGCCGAATGTAGTGGGTGTCCTGTAGGGCCCAGTGGCACAGCCTCCCCTATCACCCTAGCTGGGTACTAGAGGTGTGCCCTCCATGTCGGCTGAGTACACCCTCCTCTTGTAGGTGAGCCTTGATTGCTCCTGGCAGATCAATGGGAGGGATTTACCCAAGCCAGTCAGCTGCAAGGACTGGCTGTGACCACTGACTACCACCCTCCGCCCTCTATGGAGAATCAGCTGTGCAAGGGCAGGGCGGTGGTGCTCTGATGTGGTCTGTAGCTGTCCACCGGGTGTACAGGCTCTGGGGTTTCTCAGGTGGTGCAGGCCAAGGTCAGCCCCAACCTGCGTTCTGTCCGGGCCTCCCTGCCTGAGCTATAAAGCAATCTGAGATGGCTGCTGCTACTTGGGCTGGGCTTGGAGATTCCCAGGTGAAACCAAGCTGTGAATCTAGGCTGGCTGCTGCTGGTGCTGGGCGTGGGGCCAGTTATGGGGGAGCTAGGGGCTCACTGAGGCTGGCTGTTCCTTGTTTGAGAAGATTTAGGAAGTTGTGAAGCCTGAGCCAAGGCCGGCCACTCATATGGAAAAGCAGCTTGGGCGGGCCCATAAATTGGGTGGGATGGAGCCTCGGGGGGCCTCCAGGGGGTGGGGGATAGTGTCAAACAATGTTAGCCAGGTTGATGGGTTCTCAGATATGGCACAGCCTGCCGGCTCTGTGGCTCTGTTGGGGGTGGGGGGGGGTGTTTAGAAAAGTGACAATAGCCTCTACCCAACTTTTTGTCTGGTAGAAAGCTGTCCCCAGCTCTTGCCTTGATGCCAGACACTTCAGTTCCTCCCCATGTGCCACTGGTCCCTTCCAAGTTGCCTCCCCAGCGCTGGAGCTCAGAGGGAGGGAGGGAGTCTGAGTAAGTCTGTGTGTGGTCCTTTAAGAGGAATTGCTTGGCACTTCAGAAGTTTCTTCTGCTGACTCAATCCCTGCTGGTTTTTGCAAGAAGAAGTTACAGGGATTTATCTTTCTGGCCCTGGAACCCTGGGCTGGGGGCGCTGGTGCGGGGCTGGGACTCCTCGCTCCGGAGATATCCCTCCCGAATTTTAATCCACCACGCAGGGTGTGGGACCAGCTCACTCTGTATCTCCCCCCGCCCCTCCTACCAGTCTGAATGGATGTGGTTTCTTTAATTCTGTAG